GAAAAATGTTAACCGCAAAGAACTTATGTCGTCATCATGTCAACGGCTGTTAAGTTGGGGTTAAGGGTCCCTCGGTATACGGGTTTTGGGTGCTGGTCCTGTTCACTTGACCGCAAAACATGAAATATGCCACTGCAAATTGAAAAACCCATTTTATTGACCCCCGGGCATCGAAACGAAAAGGCGAAGAGTATTGGAAATGATTGAAATGAAATTGGAATTGAAATTTCATTGAGGAGGAATTGAAAAAGGACTTCGTTTTAAATTAAATAATCATTAAATGGCAGTTTCAAATTGAAAAGTGTATAAAGGAAGAAAACTTTATGTATAAAATTGGTTTGGTAATATTTTAAATTATTTACGTTCTGAAATTTCCAAAAACTTTATACTTTCAAGTCTATAATTGAAAAATGAACTTTCACGAAATACCTGGGATATTAGCCTGCAATTAAATAAACATAAAATGTCAGCGACTTGGCCAAATAATTTCAACAACCAAAATTGGCTGCAAAATGGTCTGTGGGAAGGACCTTAGATGGGGAGTGCTGCTTGCGGTCGTTTTAAACAAACCGCAGGTGTTGCATACATTTGCCAGCTTTGCATTAATTATGATGTGTGTCTCGGGAGAAACAGGAGAAACGGGAAGAAAGGGGGCAGTTAGTGTCCAAGGGGCGTGGCGGCAAAACTATTTGCCGCACTTGCGACCAAAAGCTGGGAGCTCGTACGTAAAATGGTAGCATACTTATGGGCTAAAGTAATTTTATTGCCATGCACAGGAAGCTGCACAGACGACGACGGCGACGACGTCGTCCTGGTAGAGGTCCTGCGGAAAAGGAGTGGAAATACGGATCCCCGTAGAGCTCCTGGCACATTGTGTGACCCGTAAACTTTACAGTTTCTTTGTTTGGACTTGGCCCAACGTGCCGGGCCCAAGTTTGTTGCCGCTCTTATTATTTTAGTTGGGTAGTTTTCGCTAGTTTCTCCCATTTGCTACTGCACCGACCAAAAAATCCTACCCAATTACACTTGATTTTACAAAAATTAAATTTCTTTTAAATTGTTGTTTATTACAGTATTCATAACTATAGTATCTTTCGCCTTATAGGATTTATAACATATATTTTAAGATTAATACTATAGTTTTTTTTCTTACTGTTTCAGAGAGTATATGATGTCGAGATCCTGCGTCCTGGTATGCGTCTGCACATAAAATGTTATTGCGAAAAACTACTAAATTTCTCTAGAGATGAAAATATGATCAGAAATTTAAATCGATTTATTAAAAGCCGTCGCAGTTGTTCGTTCAAGTGATTGGAGTTGGTTCGTTACTTAGCCAAAAGAGGACTTCCAACTGCAAAAAGGAACATGTGTTGCCGTACAAAAGTTTTGTGGCCGAACACCGAAAAGGTTTCCAATGTGAGGCGATTTCTGATTGATGGGAGTGAAGTTGGTACAGTGGCTTACACGAGAAATCCTTTCATAAGTTTGAAAAGTAAATGATAAAATAAAAAAAAAAACAACAATAAAACCATCTTAAATTTTAAAATGAAAGTTGAAATAAATATATTTACAAAAAAAAGACAAGCTTCTTGAAAACATTTGAACATATTAAAAGACTTGACAGCCCACTGTGCCGAGCTTCTATCTCGAGCCCATAGACATCCTTAGTGGCAGTCATATTTCGGCCAAAACTGGGGAAAACAAAATTTACTATGTACACTTAATGTCTAGACAAAGCTTCCCAATTACCTTATCCGATTACACGAAGATTTGGGCTACGAAGTGTTGGACATTGACTACGAACCCCCAGAACCAGAAGTAAACCCGATCCCAAAACCCAAGCCGAAAAGCATTGCTTTTTGGAAACCCTTGACCCGGCATGCCGGGAACTCTTCGAGAGAAATCTTCATATTACTGTTGTCCCTTTTTCTGGGACACACCAGCCCCGTCCACACTCCTTTGGAGCGGAAAATGTTGAAATAATTTGGGCAAAAGAAATATTCTCACACCTTTTGCAGGGGAAAGGAGTAAAAAGCACTTAAGTGCCTTGGCCAGGACTCGGGTTTTTAATTGAAGTGCAGTCCAGAGTCCTTGTGCGTGTGTGTGTGTCGTTTTTCAAGCAGGTGTAAAGTTAAATCATAAAATGAAATTAAAATAAACCAAAGCCGAAGCCGAAGCCAAAGCCAAACGTAATGAAGTACGGAAACTCTACACAAAAAAAAGGAAAAAAGGATTAAGCATGGGCTAACTCGACATCCCAAGGGTTTCCGGTTGCCTCCCTCGGTGCCCATAATTAGCTGCAAGTTGGCTAACAAATTTTTCGAGAAATTTTTCTACAATTTTTTGTTGGGTACATTTTTTTAGGAAAGCAACATTTTGTTATTGAAAAATTCATGAGCCCTTGCCTAGAACATTGACACGACCACTCAGGGGCGGGCCACATGACATATACCCGGTTTTTTCAAAGAAAAGGATATGATTTTAGGGAAAAAATAACGAAAGACAAAATAAATTGAGTTCCTTTCACATTTACTTGGTTTTAAAAGAAATCAAAATAGAAAGTATTTTAAGCATTTTCAACTTCAAACTTCCACCAATCAAAACTAAACCCCCTTTTTGTCACTTAACCCTTTGAGAACCATACGCCACTGCCTGTGCAAACGTTTTTGTCATATTACAATATAATTTATTAAAATTCTTATTTGCAACGCAAAGGACGACAGCAGGAAATAGCAAGAGTTGGCTAGAAAGAGACAGCTGAGGAGGACTCTGCTATAAAAACAAAAGCGCCTCGTTAGTGTTGAATTTTTAATAAAAAGCCGCACATGATACCGAGTCAAAAAGTAAATTACAATATTCCTTCTATAATTTGTTATAATGAGCTGCATTTCTCGCCAACTCATCCTGGTTTTTGCCTTCTGTAATTTGATGTGAGTGTAATTGCCTTTTTGGTGGCCATTAAATAGATAAAACCCGACAAGCCTGGGCTTTTTCGAGCTGTCCTTTTCACATTTGCATATGGAAACGCAATCAAAACGCCAGAGAGTCAACAAAACCGCTAAGTAAACTCAAACAGAAGAACAGAGGAAAACCCACCTGAAAATCCGAGCATTTTATTCGACGCATTTGTTTGAACTTCAGTCAAATGCACACGCCCCCGTACAGAAACATATACAACAGTATATATACATATATATACGACAACCGCCGACATTCAGTTCCGGTATTCGATGTTTGTTTTTGCGGTTACGCCTCCGGAATCGACCGGCGGAATCGGGTGGGTCAGCGACTATAAATGCTGGGTCAGCAAATTGCGCATACGACCGATGGTCAGTTGCGCATTCGGTGATTTTTCAGGGGTGTCACAGAAGTGTCTCATATTAACTTAACTTATTTAGAGTCAAAATATTATGGAAAAAGAAAGTAAAAGTAATGAAAATATGTCATGCAGAATGAGCAAACTGACCAAAAAGAATAGCATTGAAATGACCCATAAAGAATCAATGTAAATATGAAATCGAAACCAGCGAACTTTTGACAAGCAAGTGCAAAGTGAAAGCCAAACACCAAGTTTAAGAAGAAGATCCAGACCATTAAAAACAAATAAAAAGAAACAAAAATTGATAAATATTTACTTTGTTCGTTGAGTATTACTTCCCCTTATATATTATTATCAATAAAAACAATGTAATATAAAATGTATTGATATTTAAAATTTTTAGCCTCCCCCCTTTATAACTAATTTGGGATAAAGAATTTTTCCAATTGTTCTTTCCAAGCCAGAGCACAACAATTTCCCCCTGGAATCTTTTAAGTTCGAAGAAAATTAGCCCAACAAATGATGCAGAGAAGGAAAAGCGAAATGCCAGGAACAGGCAATTAAAGAGCAACCAATACCCCAACCCAAATCCAAAAATCCCTCCCGACCTTCGGGCCAGGCAGCCAAGCAAACGGAAAATTCATTACAAACAAATTAACAAATAAATCAAATTTCAATACGAAAATTTGTTTGCGAAAACAATTTTGAGACGGGTTGGTAAGTTCTTGGCGTAAGTCTGGGGGGATATATTTATACAAATCGCATGCCACGCCCCAACGCGGAAACCCGGAAAAGGGGGCGGGTATGGGGAGAATGTAGAATCCGTTTGACTGACAGGCAGCAAATCGTCTGAAGCCCAGCCAGCGCACTTGAGAAATCATTTATCTAAATTAATTCCTGTCGTTTACATTTGCCAGAAACAAAGAGGTCGGGGGTTTTTCACGATGAGCGAAGGATTTATTTTGGGGGTTAGTTGAATTTAAATGCTTACGAAAACAAAAATCAAAGATTAAGACAAACATTCACTACTTTTGGGTTTGGGAAACTCTGAGAATGAGTTGGCAATTGCCTGGAAGCGAGACAAGCTCACGCCTCAAAAATGTTAAACCCACTGATAAATGACATGAATGCTCATTTCTGTCCACATGGCGTTTATAACTCATTTTGAAATTCCACAACAGACTCTGACATACGTAACCCGCAGCCGAAACAAAAAAAAAAATCAACAGGAAAAACAATTAAAATTGCTCTTAGACTGAAACGGCAACATTTTCAACCCTTTCAATTCGGTCTACCCCCAATATTTCAAACGCAACGGGCGGCTTTTCGTCTCAGGAAAAGTTTTGATACATCAAAATCGCGAGGGAAACGCGCGGTTTTTGACGTTAAGCTCTGGAAAAGATGAAAAGTTGTGTAGAGAGTGAGAGGTAACCCAAACCAACTAAATGTAGCACTAAAAGTTTCCAGGAGAGTGAGAGAGTGCTATACTTGCTGTTGGAATAATTGGTTCTGTCATGAGCAGCAATTATAATGCCTAAGCCTCTCTATAAATGATATATCAAATGGAATTGTTGATTACATATTTCCCTTGCAAGCTGCTATTATTTGTTTCAATCTTTAACAATAATCTTGTATAATATAGTATGGTAATACAAGTTGAATAATATGGAAATTATATGAATCAGATAAATACATTCTTGACTTTATTAATTTAATTACGTCTCTTACAAAACTATTAGAAAATATCTTAGCAATCACCCTTGTTTCTCGTATGTTTGGTAGATTTTACTAAGCTGAAACACTTTTATTTTACTGGATACTGGGTACTGACAAATTCTAGGAACTTTTATTTATTTAAATGGTAAGTACATTATTTGGCTTTAGTAGACTCTATTAAAAAAACGAAATCGTGTTTAAAAAAATAAACAAAAATTACTAGTTAATTCCCTTCAGCAAGTTTTGATGTGAGGGTTCGAGGAGAACATTATTTACAAACTCAGGTGTCTTGCGAGCATAGGCCACCACCAGTTTATAGGGCGACAGAAACTTTTGATCCTCATTCCTTTCGCCCTGCTGCAAATTCATGGATATAACAATGTCTATGAAGTCGTCCAGGAAATCTTCATGCAGGTCTGTAGGCATGCGCTCCAAAAATGGACAAATGGCTTTCACATTATCTAAGAATCAAAATTAAAAGAATTAATAAGTCATTTAGAAATGGTTTAAGCTTAAAAACTCACCTTTCAGAGTCCTGACACCTTCGTATACAAATACCTCATTTCGTATTTCCACATTGTGTTGTATGAAACCCACATCGTTCAGCAAGTGACTAAATTCCTCGCCAGGATTTAGGCTGTAGTGAAGTGGCGATATAAATTGCTCCACATCCTGCATGTAAGTAGACCACTTTTCATTTATCTTTAGCAACTTATAGACTTCATAAACTGGATTGGAGGCCAAGAAGGCCAGGAGACAGTCACCACCTTCCGGCTTTAGAAGATTGTAGATATTGCCTAGGGCTCCTTTCAGGTTTAGCACCCAATGGAGGCAGTAGAACGAGGTGACATGATCGAATCTCCCACTCAACTCCTCAGGCAGTCTTTCGCAACCTATGTCTAGAACTTGGAACCGAGTTCGTTCCTCACGCTGATAATGCTTACTGGCATAGCCAACCATTTGACTGGAGATGTCAGTGCCTACCAGTTGACCACGAATCGGGAGTAGGGGCTTTACGAAGTCCATGAGTACATTCCCGGAACCTGAGCCTACATCCAAGAGGGCATCCTCGCCATCAGACCGCCACTGCAAAGTCGAGGCAAACTCGTCCAAAATCAATTTGGCATCATGCCTTTGCACCTGGTTGGCGTGCTGATATAGAGAGGCCTGATTCATTTCAACAACTGATCGGCGATTGGGGCCGATCTCAGCTTTATATACACCTCCGGTTGTGATGCCATCAGTCACGAATTCTAATTTTTCTCCGGTCCGAAACTCTCGCTCTTCAACTTATGACGTCGAGCTAATTACGTACGAGTATTATTTATTTTTAAAGCTTTGTAATTTTATTGGTTTCTCCGTTAAGGGGAAAATGACAAGATGAGAGAGCGAGCGGATGACAGCTAGAGAATGCACTGCTCCACAAAGTTGATGACTAATTTTATGTTGACTAAAATATATAAATATAAAAATATTCATATTTAAAAAAAAAAGTAATTTTTTTAATTCTAAGAATTAATAAGTATTTTAGAAATGTTATTAAATTAAATTGAAAAACATAAGAATTCAATTTATGTATGTAAATATTAAAGATAACCCACGCGACAATAAAAAAAAAAACGATAACAAACCTCGTGCTCCATTTTATCTTTAAAAAATCGGGCACCGAAAGCTCAAGTTCTAGGTCAATAGAGCTTAGCTAATGCTTCCTTCATAGAATTATTATGACTGGTAGTACGTAACCAGGCATAGACATGCAAATCGCCAATGAACTTGAGCACACCCCTGGAAGTGAATTCCACACGAAATTAACATAATTTTCATGACCAGTGTACCAGCCTCCAATTGAACAATGGAGCTAAGCCACAAAAACTGAATGAGAATGCCCCAAAAAATGCCCATAACATTCGGTGAACCCGAAACAGTGCAGTAGTGAAATGTTTTCGAGGTGCATTCAACTCAAAGAGACATTTAAAAAACAAAACTGAAGTTAGTTCGATGACCTACCCTAAGAAATAACTCTATTTTTGGATGTCTTTACCAATCATAATTTTTTAATCTAGAAATAGAAAAATACATTTTTGGCTTGACTTGAGTGGGAGACACATAGAGAGAGAGAGAGAGAGTTAACCCTTCCCTGCACTCCAATATTCCGGGGAATATAAATTCATTAAAAACATTCCATTTAGCTGCAAATTACATTTGTGTAATTGCTGCCAGGCCCAGAAAGCGTAGCTCATGATATTTCAAATATTTCACATATGAGCAAAACGAACGTTTGATGTCCCTGGGATATGAATCTATCTACATGTACATATATTCCTGACTCCACCTCACGTTCATACTCTGCATTCTCCAACACTCGGCACATCACATCCATATAAATTCATTTGCCAAAAGTGACATCAAAAGCCCTCGCTCTGGTCTCTGGTTTCTGTTTCTGGCTTAATGTGTGTGGGCGTTACGGCTGGTTAATTGCATTTGTCGCAGACTCTTTTTGGGGATATAGGCAAATGGCAAACGGCAAACGACAAAAGGGGTTTACTCGGCTTGCAATTACCAAAAGCTGTCGATTGGCTCTAGCTGCCACAGAGCCACGGAAATCAATTAAATCAGACGAACCAAACCGAAACGAGCTGAGCAAAGGCCTTCAGGGTTTAGATTGATTTGGAAGTGGTTTTAAATATGGCTTGGCCTATATAAATACATGTATATCGCATTAATGAATTACTGTTTTAGGTAAGGCCACACTCCGGAGTTCAAGTTAAATGGTGTCCTTAGAGGTAAGATTAAGTCAAAAGTTCATTTGTTAAAAAACGATGCAATACAAACGCAAAGAACTAACGCAATTAAATCCAATATAATAACAATAATTATTAGAATTATTATTAATAAGAATTATGTTACTGATAAGAGAAACATGCTGATTCACTGAAAATAAACCATTTATGATTCATTATTGGGCGATCTGTTCATTAAGCTTTTTCTTAATGGGACTTTTATCGCAAAAATTTGTATTTTAAAGCTTATCATAATATGTGTGTTCTCAATTAAAAAATAATCTATTCCCCATAAAATATATATATTTATGATCAAAATAACCAGCACTTTTACTAAGAACTGAAAACCAAAAAAATCTTCCCGATAAGAGCGGTAAAAAATCATAAATATTTAAAAAAGCAACAACTTTACCACTCCAAAAATAGAACTTATCGATAGTCAAGTTTAATCATGTTACTTCATTTCCACTTCCTGTTTTTTATCACAACACAACTGGGATAAACCGGAACCGGATAAAGCTGTATAAAGAATGATCAGCAAATTATAAGGAAAATAATTAAATTAGGGTATTCAACATATTTTTTGTTAATCAAAATTATTAGTAACCGTAAGACAACCCTTTCAAGATAAGCAACCAAGAATTTAAAGGTCCTAACAATAAAAGTAAATGGAATCATCTAGTCTTATGTGATTTCTGACGAACACTTACAAGACCCCCATCTCCACCATATCTCTACTCCTTCCCGGGAAATCATTCGCACACACTTGAAAACTATTTAAAGTTTATCTATCTGAACAGTAGACTGCAGAAGTCCGTTCTGGGTATTTGTATAAGTGGGAAGGGTGGTTGGTAGGAAGAACAACAAAAACTTTTGCATATGTTGAAATATCAAAATAACAAACAAAGCAAGAAAATCTTAAGGAGAGAAGGGGTTGAGCATGAGATTTGGTTCTTAAAGGGTGAGGAAATGAGTTTTTAATGTCCCAAAGGGGAATACTCCGGGAGCCCTAGAAAACCACACACACAACTACACAGAAAACATATCCTTTATAAAATTTTATTTCGTGAACTAAAATAAATTAAATAAGTTAAGCTATTATATATGTTTAAAATGGTTTGAATTACATATTACTTTTTATAAGTAATATCTATCATCTTCTCATCAATCCATTCCCGGAACATAGCTAAATTGGTATAGGTGGCCGGGACATTTTCCATTCCGCACCCAATGCCCCAGTTAACGATGCCAACCTGTACGTAAACATCTTGGTTCCGGTTATTCACGGAGCAGAACAGAGGTGATCCTCCATCACCGATGCAGGCATCCTGGTTCAACTCACCGCCGGCACAAATTAGAGTCTTAGGGAGCTGATAGTTCCAGCCCAATTTGGTTTTCTGCAGTTGTTGGTTACATGTGGTCCTATTCACCATTGGCAGTGAAAGCTTTTTCAAAATACCTGAAGTTTCTGAATTAACGAAATTTTTCTTTCCCCAGCCGGCAACAAAGCAGCGATGTCCTTCAAAAGAAGTTTTTGGGGTAGGCAAGCAGATAGTTCGAATGTGGTTTCTTAACTGGAACGGAGATTTTAGGAAGACAAGGGCCAAGTTATATTCTCCAGTTCGATAAATAAACCTTTCGTGGCACACTATTTTTTTCACTTCCCGCTCCTCTATCTGGTCGTCATCTCTATCAGAGTTTAGGTACCATTCGTCTGCTCTGACCAGAAGATCCTCCTTTAACTGGTAACACACTCCATGAGCCGCTGTTAGGACAATTCCTGGAGCAATTAAGGAACCACCAGCCAAAAATTTGCCTTTTTTAAATAGGGCCACAAGCCATGGAAATTCACCGGGAGTCGCAAGGTCTTTGGAAAGATATCTCTGCAATGGCTTATTTGGATTGCTCAATCCGCACGGTTGATTTTCAGCTCCGCCTTTAGTAAGATCATTAGGGCATAAACTTGACATTGAGGTAGTCTGTAAATAATTAATTTGTTAACTATAAGTCTTTTTTCTAATATTTTCAACTTACTTGCCGACGAACTGAGCAACAAACTTCTGGCTCTGGGCATCCATATGAATGGAGCCTGAAAACTGGTTCCTCTTCTAGACACTGTTCCCTAGGAAGACACTCATAATTGCAAGCATCTCCCAGGACGACGCCGACTAAGAAAAGTGTTCCAACTGCTAGGAATCGACCCATGTTCTTTCGGTCAAAGTTTGTTACTGAAAAGTAATGGTTCTTGAACTCTGATTTTATACATTTTGTACCCGCCTTATCGGTCTTCATTTTTGACATCACGAGTGATGTCAAAATTTTTTGAAATCGTAGTCACAGTTTATTTCTGAATTTAAGCTTTAATTTGTTAAAAAAAAGAAAGGGTAATGACGTAATTTAACTAAAGTTTGTTATTATTTTATTCGGCGATAAAAAAAATTCTCCGAATTATGACGCCAATAACAAAGTTATTTAAATTTGTTCATAGAAAAGAATTAATAGTAATATAAACACATTGTATAACATTAAATGACATTATACATAATAAATACATATAAATAAATTTAAAATAAAATATCAAATTAATTAATTAATTAGGTGTATTAAAATATATATGATTTTTAGAGTGTAAAACCTGTAACAGAAGAATGGGCGATGCAGATTTAAAATACAAAGTAAACGGCGATTTGTTGTTGTTATTGATTAGAGCGGACAGACCCAGACAAACATATGAGCTCATCCTTGGCTTCACTTCATCTTCTCAATTTCCCAAAGAAAATCCAAGGGGCGATTTTCCTGTCTCCCAAGACGACGATGCCCGCAAACTTGATGAGTATTTAAAAGTTTTCCATTGTGTGTTTGATGAATATTTAATTAAGCATAAAAGGAGCGGCGCAGGAAAGGGAATAACTTTGGCAAAGGGTTGCTACTGTTTCACTGTGTTTTTCTTTTGTTTTTCATTTCCTTTTCGCCGAAAACATCTTTACCATTTCCCATTTTCGGCTTCGTGTGGCGAGCTTAGAGAGTGCAAAAGAATAAAACAAAATCAATTAACGCTTCCTTCTTCCGTTTTTGCCTTTAGCTGGTTGTTACTCTTTAGTACCCTTTCTCTTAGTTATTTATTCCTTTTAATATATTTTAGTTTACCCCAGAAATCGAATTAATATTTCTATGAGTATATTATTTGATTTATAATATTAAATCGGTAATTTAAAAACTTAATAAATTAGTAGGCAATGCCTACTCAATGTAAATATTTTATTTGACACATTAGTTCCGAATAAGTAACATATAATATTTATTTGTACTTGTGGTTAGGGTAGGCCAGCTTCTCGCATCACCAACATTTGGAGTTCTTCGAATGTTTATATAATTTTTATTACATAAGTATTTTACAAGTTGTAAGCAAAAGGCCAGGCTCAAAAGAGCAGCGAAAATAATTAAATAGTAAAGAAGGAAGCCACCGACCTCCCACTCACAAATCCGGCCAACTCAACCCTTTGTTCCACTTTCTCCCCTTGCACACATTTCTTTTTTATTTTCTCGAAACTCGGTGCCCGAAGAAGCCCACAAATAGCCAAAAGCTAGCGAGTGTTGATGGCAGCCAACGAAATCCTTTCACATTTTGTATATGTATATGCATATTCCTTCTTATATTAATTTGTTTTTCTTTTTTCGATTTTTTGCGGGCGGTGGGAAAATTAATTAAAAATTAAATGAATGAACGAACGCTGGGATAATGAGCCCCTAAGCTGATTTTGCGCTTAAAAGTATGCAATGGGAAAAATTGTCGAGCTGCCCGAGCATGGCATTCAATAACAATTTCCACCCCACTGCCACGCCCACGCTTTGCTCTATACAGGTATTCCGCCCCCACCACCCGAACAACAAAGAAAGGTAAGGAAAAACTTGCAATTTTTTGTCGCATTTTTTTGTTGTTTATATTTTATTTTCGTTTAATATCGACAAAGCGCCAACAGGAAAAGAAATCAGAGGGGCGTGGTGGAGCAGCAAAAAAGAGCAACAGAGGAAAACGGCGAAATTTTCTTTAACGTAACAAAATATTTTTATAAAATAATCAAGTTTTCCTTTTTCTCTGTTTTGTTTGCTGCAAATTATTTTTAGCTTTGTGGAAGAACGAAGAAGGAGGAGGAGGAGGAAGCTGTAGGGCGTTTTATGTGCCCGGGTGTAAATTAAAATCGTCCGCATTGCGCGTTTTTATAATGAGAAAATTGTGGATGGAGGAAACTCAATACTAAAAGAAAGAAATAAAAATTAATTAATAATGGCAAAATATTTCAATGGCTATCAAAAAGAGAGTAAAAATCGATGATTAAAAGAAAAACGTAATAGGAGGGTAAATTTAAAAGGAATTCGTAAAATGATATTTTTATCTGAGAAAAAGTGGAAAGTGGAAACAGTAACCTTTGATGCATTGAATTTCGATTTTAAATAATAATTAATAATTTGTATGTAACAAGCTGATTCACAAGCCACAGTTTTAGTTTAAATTTTCAAATTTGCTTTGTCTCACGGAATGACCTTACCCCAGAGAGACTGAAAGTCAAATTCCTTCCGAAGCAACCCCTAAACCGCAAAACAATCTGACGTCCATCGACCGACATACCCTTAACTATATACCACCCTTCCCTTGAAAAATAAATGAAGACAAAAGCAAGAAGAGGGAACACTATCAAAAGTCAATTACAATGCAATTATTGTTTTCCCCTCAACCAGTGGAGAACCAGAAAACATTTTCAAAAGCCATTGGAAACTTTAATTGAAAATATCAAATTATTTTCGAGTTAGCGTCAGCATAAAAAAGTCAAAAAAGTCGTCTTGAGTTCGATGAGGTTTTAAGGAAGACCTGCAATATATACATAGAGATACACTTGTGTGTATGTAAGCCATTAATTACGTAGCCAGATTGTAGTAAAACTGGGGAGAGAAAGTTGACGCAGAGTCAAGAGTCAGGCCAAATTGTAATGAGTTGGCATTTTGTGAAATTCCCTGAGACACAGGCAAACCCCACTGAAATATCTCGTTGTAAAGTAGCTGAAATGACATTAAAAAGGCAAAACCAAGCAGAAAGGACATCCACATCCTTATGGACAGTAACCAGCCAGAAGGAAGGCGCACACATGCACACACACATGGGGTTAAACCTGAGCTGGGGATAATACTTCTTCAACCCTCTCTGCCCATCGTTTCATAGTTTACAATCTTATTATCTTGGCTTGGCATCTCAAGGCCCACACACTCAAACACACATTTTCCTAAGGCAATTAAAAATCTTCACACTGTCGTCGATGTCCTTTTCCAGCTTTTCTTGCCTTTCGTACGTTTTTGTCTGTTCTGTTATCCCCTTGGCCCAACTTGATTTTGTTTATTAAACATATTTTGCATAAAATTCACTTTATTTGCAGTTTATTTCCTAAGAAAATTATAAGCTTCTCTCCCCCGATTCGTGTAACACGCTTGATAGTTTGTCCCCGGGGGGAAATAGCGTTTTGGAGGCGGTATAGTGTACCTTATTCTTTGATTATGTTTGATCACGTTCTGTTGGAAAGTTTATTTGCTGGTAAGAGAGGATTGTTTGCCTGGGATTTCAGTAGTTTGAGATGCATTGCTGAAAGTGGATGCGATAAGAAGATATAGTTTCAGCACTCCGAGCGCTCTTTGGGGATTAAGAAAGCACTTTTAATGCAAACAATATTTACAATTTAAAATTATATCTGAAAAGTCCTTAAATGTATATATATATATATTTCATTTTTTAAACAAATCAAATTCAAAATATTTATCTCCTTAAATCCCATCACAGCATTGGTATCATATTCCCTTCTCTGCAACCACCCTGCACTAACTTTTCACGCAATTCTTATCTTACACATTTACTTCAACATAGTCCGCCAGCACCCCGAGTGCAGTCACACATGAAAATCCCATAAAAACTGACAATAATAAGCCACATATCATCATTTCACTCTCCACATATATGCACATATGTACGTTCCACTCGATAAGAAGTCAGCGAGGCCCGCAAATCAACCAGAAATCGAAGGCTACTCGGCAAACATCGCCACCCTTCGAAAAAACCAAAAGCCGAATGAAGAAGAAAATCCCATAAAAAACAGTTCAATGATATAGAAAAATAGATAAAGCTAAATTTGCAAAAATAACAACAAAGGAACTCGGAAAATGGCAGGGGAAATGGCAAATGGAAAACGCGTGGCACCGAATCAACTTTAAACTAAGCCGCACACGGCACTTGAGAATCTGCAAAAAAAGTCGAAGGGTACTCAGATCTCCGTGGTGTTGTCAAGTGAATAATGGGACAAATCCGCAGAGTAAATATGACACGTTGCAAAATGGCATTCGGCGATAAAAAAAAAAAATCTGAGGGTTAAGAACCACACTCGAAAATATGACCAAAAACTTGACAGCTATACTTCGAAGACTCAATATTTTCAAATTTTTCTATAAACCAAAATATTCATAATAATTAATCAAATTTATTTTACATAAAAAAATAAAGTTATTATCTCATAGTGATTTCTGTTTAATTACCAAATCAAAAACATATAATGATTTATAACATTTCATGTAAGAAATTCCAAATAACTTTTTTTTGCTAGTGAACATACTCATAAACGCCCCACATCTAGAAGGTTGATGGCACTGACAGACGCACATCCTTCGGGAAAGGTGTTTTGACAGGGTGTCAGGGCAAGTCAGAAGTGCAGACACAACAACAACAAAATCAAGCAGGGCAGAAGCAATAAGGGGTTAATATTTTCGCCACACCCTCACCGTAGCATATCAATAAAAAGATCGCTCCGCTGGGCTTTGGAAATGTTTGTTTGATAAGCCAGTGTGAAGAAATCTGAGCACTGTCCAAAATGATACCTAAATATATTTCTTCTATCAAATTATTAATATATTTTTTTATTACACCATTAAAAACAATTTTAGGTCAAAATAATGAAAGCAGTAGAATTTTGTTTTTTTTTCTCTCCAACGCCCATTTGAAATTTTAGAAACAAATTTGTTTTTCAGTGTTCTTAGTTTTTTTTTTGCAGAATTTCCCCACTGAAGTTAATACAAATATTACGCCTTTTTATGCTGAAAGCAAAAAGTGCAAACCAAATGTGGCATAAACATTACTTTTGGGAAAGGGTTAACCACACCCACCACTTTCTTTTCTTGTAGATGCCCCAAGAAGTTATGACTTTGTGTCATTGAATCTTTATGTGTGCATTCGATATGCGTTAAAATTCAATAATCATAAAAATAACACGCAGAATAAAGAGAAAATTCAGCCCACCCGAATGAACGAACTCCCCCCAATTAACCCTTGAATGGCAGAAAAGGAAATGGTTTTGCTCTGTCTTTCTGGAGCAATATGAACGTCACATAAATCTTAGCAACACTACTACTAAGTCGCTATTAAGTAAAATTGACCACATATTTTATCTCATATGCGCACGCAACGTACGCAGACCGAAGTGGGGAGGGTCAGAGATTTTTCGTGGGGTGGGCAGTGGATGCTGAAGCTGGAAAGCAGAAACAATGTGCGAGGAAATTAAATCAGAGCTCCAAGCCACCAATAACAAAATACATTTTTGGGAAAAGAAAGATAGTTTGAGCATGGGGAAGCTCAATAAAAATAAAACAAATAAATAGAACAAAAATGGGACATATAAAATAAATAATTTAATTTAAAATAAATATAAACACTAAAATTATATATTTTTGTATATTGCTAAAAAAAAAATACATTACTTTTTTTAGGAGTACCAAAATTATACAACTCACTTCATAAATTAAGATAACTTTTTTAATGAAACCACGGGGTTAAAATAATATTAATGTGCATACCCAAGAACTATTTGTAAACTTCCTGTCGATTGCAAAGCACAATATCTGCTATGTGTAGTATTTATTCATATCACCCGCACTTTACAACTTTGCGAAAGTCAGCTTATACGAATTAAATCATTTTATTATAAAAGCCTTTTGTCGGCGGTAGTGCAATTTCATTATGAGCGGCTCCGCAGTTTTTTTTCTATGCCTTTTTTTGGCTTACCGGTCATTGGCAGAAACTCAGAATAGTGACGGATCCGTGTGTCTACTTACTGACCCGCCGAAGCAATGCGGAGAATTCTGCCTGACAGCATTGAAGCCACTCATTGATCATATTGCAATGCATCAGGAGCAGTGGAAAAACTCAGATATTCTGAAGATAAATGAAACCCGAGTCAAACTAGACAGGATATTAGAGCGACAGGAAACTTGTATGAAGATCATACCCCAGGACATCGAATATAGGCTATAGAGAATGGAAAATCAACATTCTGCACAGATAAAAACCATGCAGGAACTATTAACGAACGTTAAAGCCCCAAGAGGGTCTTTAAAGACGATTATACCTCCGGGCTTCGAGAAAATCGGCAACAGATACTTTTACGTCGAAAAGAATCACCACCAGAACTGGTTCTCTGCCTCAAAAACCTGTTTACAAATGGGCGGACAACTGGCCGTCATCCAGGACGAAGCGGAACTGACGGATCTAAGGGCAAGAATCACACACGACACAAGCTACTGGTTGGACATCAACGACCTGGTAAACGAGGGTGATTACGTGTCCTGAACCACAGGTAGGCGAGCACCCTTTTTGAAATGGCAATCTGGGGAGCCCAACAATGCATATAGCCGGGAACAATGTGTCGATCTCTACAAGGGCGTAATGTTCGATGATAAGTGCGAGACAAAATATTATTTTATTTGCCAAGCCGGCAAAGACGATTAAGTCTTTAAATTTATGTACATACATATATACAACCGATATTTATACCCGTTACTCGTAGAGTAAAAGGGTATACTAGATTCGTTGAAAAGTATGTAACAGATAGAAGGAAGCTTTTGCGACCCTATAAAGTATATATATTCTTGATCAGGATCAAAAGCGAAGTCGATTGAGCCATGTCCGTCTGTCCGTCCGTCCGTCCGTCCGTCCGTCCGTCCGTCCGTCCGTCCGTCCGTCCGTCCGTATGAACGCTGAGATCTCAGGAACTATAGCAGATACAAAGTTGAGATTAAGCATGAAGATTCTTGAGGTCCCGGGACAGCGCAAGTTTATTACAGCATCCTGCCACGCCCTTTCTAACGCCCACAAATCGCAAAAAACTAAAATTGCTGAAATCTCAGGAACTATTGCAGTTAGAAAGTTGAAATTCAGAAAATATAATCTTTAGATGGCAGCGCATCTTATAGTGGTACTACTATCCAGCCACACCTACCCATACGCCCACAAGGCTCAAAAGACGGTTTTCGGATTTTCTAGAAAAGCTGATATCTCGGTAACTATTAAAGATAGAAAGTTCGTATTAAGCATGTAGATTTCTATGATGCTCCCAATGTGAATTGGTTTTCTCCGATCAAGCCACGCCCACTCTAACGCCCACAAAACCCGAAAAACCAAAAATTCAAAAATATCGAAAACTTTAAGAGCTACATAATTTTGTTTAGGATCACGTATTTAGGTGATGCCTTTGCAACTTTCCACGAAGTTGCATCCGGCCACGCATACTCTGACGCCCACAAACCGCGGAAAACTGTGGCGTCTATAATATTATTAGGAATGCCTCCGTTTGACCTTGTGTAACTTATTTCTGTTAATACCTATCGATTTACCAAAGATTTTACAAATCGCAACATTATTTCGCTATTTATAAAGAAATTAAGTTATAAGGCCTCACATGGGCAGTGACGTCACTATAAGCATACTCAACATACTTCCTCTGACAATAGGTGGCGCCTTGTGAATTTCCACTAGCAAAATAATATTTTAAAATTTTGTAAAACAGTAACGGGTATCTTATGGTCGCGGCACTCGACTATAGCGTTTCCTCTTGTTTTTAACTGCAACTAATGAAAAGATGTTAACTAACTCTAGTATCTTTAAAGTCTAATAATGGTTCCATGTATTGATGTTCAACGAATAATACAAAGTAAAAATTTAAATGGAAGACAAAATTAATAATTAAGAAGAAAAATAAAATATAATGATACTTTTTTACTTTCCAACATTGGTTTGTACTTAATATACAAAAATTTAAAAGTCCATTCATACCTAAATGTAGATGCCAATCAGTCACATCTTTTTTCCTTAGTCTGGCAGCACTTCAGTATTTTTTAGTAATATTACCCTCTATTTGATATTACTAGATGGTGGCAGTGAATATTGCTGCAATAAGCTCAATACTCTTCCGTTAATTTTAGTCTTTTTCTTACGGACCTTTTCTTAACAAAAGAAGCCAATACACACCAATTTCATAGACCACAATTTGAATGCAATTTTGCCGGTTTTTTATCGATAGCTACGACCGCATTAAAAACTGTATCGATCTATCGCGAGTAAGCCGCACTCGCAGTGACGTGTACTCTTTCTGTTTTAGCAAAATATAAGCCGCATCGCATCAGTTCTGTGAACTTATTTAGTTAAAGAAGAGCCGACTGACTAGCCGCGTTGATTTAAAGAAAATTTCAGTTAAACCCAGGAAAGATAGACACGTAAGCGGCTCAGATAGCGTAACGAAGATGAGGCAACTTGGTAGGTTTTCTAATTAAAAAAAATAACCAACTTATGTTAATAACAAATTTAAAACGCCTCCGCAGCAAGCATACTGTTGCTGGCTTTTGTCGTGGGCAATGTTAATGCCTTTTATTCGCCCACCGATGGCGTAGTGGAGCTGACGCCCTCGAATTTCGACCGGGAGGTACTAAAAGACGACGCCATCTGGATTGTCGAATTTTATGCACCGTGGTGTGGCCATTGCCAAAGTCTAGTGCCCGAGTACAAAAAGTTGGCCAAGGCTCTGAAGGGAGTCGTTAAAGTGGGTTCCGTCAATGCCGATGCCGATTCCACTTTGAGTGGCCAATTTGGTGTACGTGGCTTTCCCACCATCAAGATCTTCGGAGCCAATAAGAAGACGCCCACAGATTACAATGGTCAACGAACCGCAAAGGCCATTGCAGAAGCCGCTCTGGCGGAGGTCAAGAAGAAGGTACAGGGTGTCCTAGGAGGCGGTGGATCCTCTGGTGGATCTAGCAGCTCTTCTGGCGATGAGGTCATCGAACTCACCGAAGATAACTTCGACAAACTGGTCCTAAACTCTGACGACATTTGGTTAGTGGAGTTCTTTGCACCATGGTGTGGTCACTGCAAGAATCTGGCACCTGAATGGGCCAAGGCTGCCAAGGAGCTGAAGGGCAAGGTCAAGCTGGGTGCCCTAGACGCCACAGCCCATCAAAGCAAGGCTGCCGAATACAATGTTCGCGGATATCCAACCATTAAGTTCTTCCCTGCTGGATCCAAACGACCCAGTGATGCCCAGGAATATGATGGTGGCCGCACTGCCTCGGATATTGTATCCTGGGCCGGAGATAAGCATGTGGCTAATGTGCCAGCACCCGAACTCATAGAGATTACCAATGAATCCACCTTTGACACTGCCTGCGAAGGAAAGCCATTGTGCGTCGTCTCCGTACTGCCGCACATCCTAGATTGCGATGCCAAATGCCGCAACAAATTCCTGGACACTCTGCGAACGCTTGGCGACAAGTTCAAGCAGAAGCTTTGGGGTTGGGCCTGGGCCGAAGGTGGTCAGCAATTAGCCCTAGAGGAGTCTCTCGAAGTCGGAGGCTTCGGATACCCTGCCATGGCTGTAGTCAACTTTAAGAAGATGAAGTTCTCGGTTCTTAAGGGATCATTTTCCAAGGACGGCATCAACGAATTTCTCCGCGACATCTCCTACGGACGTGGTCACACGGCACCAGTTCGCGGAGCCAAGAAGCCAGCTATTGTATCCGTGGATCAGTGGGATGGCAAGGATGGCCAGCTGCCTACCGAGGAGGATATCGATCTGAGCGATATCGATTTAGATAAGGACGAGCTGTAAGGCTGTTAGAATCGGAGACCAAGACTGTACGGCCTAAGCTCAAATTTTCAGTTAATAAACTAAAAAACAATTGCATTCTGAATGATATTCATTAGTCAGCCAGCGTATCTAAATATAAATAATTCATAATTATCTAATAGCTTTTTTTACTATCCTCACATAGATCTAAACGAATTGAAACCAGCGAACATGAAACTATGTACCATACAATTAATAAATGTGCAACAAAAAGTGTATATGGTGGGCAAATGGTAATGGATTTTTTGCTAAATAGGGGAAAAAATTTAGAAAATATTTAACAAGTTATAGCAATGGATGGCAATATATTCCTTTGTTTCATCTTAAATTCAAACACAGAAATTGGATTATGGATTTCCTTTATTTGTGAGTGAGTCATACAATTTTGTACAGCTAGTTTAATTATATTTTTTATGAACTTCAAAAATAAAACTCCAAATACATCGTTATACCGTTGGCTACGGCAAAAACTTTTATTCTATGTAAAAATTGGCATAAAATGTCCAAAAAAGATTTGTATATATAAAATTGGATAGTCTTAATTAAAAGTAACGTCTAAAGACGTATTTTGACACAATGTATAGAAGGATACTCATTCTGGTCTAAATGCACAAATTGAAGAGTTCTTAAATGTATTCGTGGTGGCAGATTGGCGCTTATACTATGATTGGCATGATATATTTATTAAGTACTTGGTTTCCATTTAAGTACAACCTGTGATTGAAGGGATGGGGACTTGCATTAGTAGCGTATGGGAAAATTCGAGGCATCACAAAGAGTTCGTCGGTTAATACGATTCGATTCAGTATGCAAATTGGGCTAAAAGAACACGTTATAAAAGAGCGGCAAAATTTTTTGGGCTTCGTAAGAAAGAACCAAGTAACGTGACTCAATTGCCACACTTAGGCTTTGTCCAAAAAATAAACGGGCAAGGAACAAATCGGTTGGTAAACGGCTAAAACTACCTGCATAAAAAGAAGAAGGGAGAAGAGAGAAATGGTCGGAGGACAGGCAAAACTTGTTGAGCCTGGGATTAAAAGAAACAACAGATAAAGAAACGGTCGGAGATGCGAAGGAAACCCAATTTACAATTATGAATGATTAATTCCCTTTCCAGCAAACTCCTCAACTGGTTATTGCTACGTGTAGACCTAACATTAACTGTCAAGAAATGTTTAATTTTACACGAAATCATATTCTTTAAAAAATCAAGATTTTTTTTTATCTGTAACTTCTTCGTCACAACTATTAAAACTTTGACTCTACTTGAGATAATATATTTTCCAAACGAATAACCCTAAACCATATAAGTCAAGTCTTCTTTTTCCACAATCTCGAAAATAAAATTTCACAATTTGAGATATTTCTTGTCAGTTAGTCTTAGGACCTAAAATCTGTATGGATTTTCATTTCTGGCTGGCATAAGTCTTTTTCGAATTACTAAATAAAAGTACAACTAAACCACGATCCTCTATATCTAGACCTTAAATCAGGCCAACGTATGGTGGTGTTTCTGGTCGGGATAATTCTCTATGGACTGAATAGAACGCGATGTGGCGGCGGTAATCGTCGAGGATACGTCCATAAACCGATATTTCTTCTCATCGCGACAGAGCAAGGGGTAACAAATAATGCCGTAGTAGAAAATCAGGCACAGAACGATAACTGTGAAGATTATAGCGATGATGCCGAAAGTTGAGATTCCTGGTCGGCTGTCCAAATATTCCTTGGGCGTCAATGGGGGTGGCGTCGTTGTGGGTGGCTCAGTGGTCTTGTAACCCCTCCGATAATTCCGCGCTGCACTCGCACTAAAAATCATGCAACTGGCGCCTATAAATACAAAATCGGTTGCATTTCTAGGAAAATCTGCTCGCGGTGTTGTATGCCCATTTTCCCCTTCCTTTCACTCACCTAAAAACAGCAAACACAGCAGGTACGAACTGCGAGACATTTTTATTTTAATTTAAATTTACTCGAGTACGAACGAGAAATGAAAATGGTTTGATCGACTTCCTTTCTTTTTGGCCACGAGAACGGGACGCAGACGCAGAAGAGTGATTCGAGAATCACACAAAGCAACAAGACAAAACCTTTCGCGTAGGTGGTAGGGATGGTAAGACGCCTATCGATACACTGCGATCATCTTTACTGCCGATGATTGAATATCTTAACTATTTATAAGTCGGGCTTTAAAACAGAAAAGAGTACGACACATCGGAGTTTAGAACCTACATACTACTGTATTGCTTACAATTTTAAAGTTACTATATATATCATAATTAAACAGATAATATTATGCTGTTTTCTCCTAGTAATATTATAGATGTTTCTAGTAATTTATTTTCAACACACATTCACACATTTAACACATATTAAATATATTATTTAAAACTATATAACTTCGTGACGTTCCTCACACAACAATTACCGTGACTTATTCACTCACGCCGCTTAGCAACCATTCCCCATCACTAGCAACTACTTTTATCGATAAGTTGACGAAGATTTTGGTTGACGAGCGTGTGTGTGCTGCTCTGTTCGTGTACACTTTATTTTCAATTGGTGAAAATTGTTATAAAACTAACGAGGAAATATGTGAAAATAGAAAAATCGACTATTTCGACACTCGAATGGTGCGTACACAAAAGATTTGGATACGCCCCGCTCGCGAAAAGCAGCCAAAAGGCATAAAAATAACAAAGGCGTCAACGAAGGAACGACGGCGAATGCAAATAGACGCTCGAACGGAAACGTTCCATTGCAGTTGTGTATATTTAGCCAATGCAACTAATTAATTTGACGCGAGTAAATGCAAGTATAAAATAAAAAACGGCCAACGCAAAGCAAAAGTACAGTGAAAATTGGTCGATTGTCGGCGCACGAAGTCAAACACGAATAAAAAGAAGAAGAAGCAAACGAAACAAACGAGAAAGAAACCGAAGCAAACGGCGATTTTGCATTCGTGTGTGTAAATGCGCGCGCGTGTGTGTAAGGGTGGAATATAAACAAAAAATTAACAATACGAAAATCAAGAACAATTGCTCTACTTGGCGAAAAGTAAAATGTCACATTTGCCATTGGATGCACGGGCCATTCTGCAGTATCTAAATGATTTGGGGTATAGAAATATATCAGCAGAGCAACTCCGTGAATTTCTGAAAGGTAAGCAATCCGGACAAGTGGGAATGTGTGTGTGTTTTTGGTTTGTTATTTTTTATGCACAGAGTTTTTCGGTTGCGGCTTTTCGGCTGAATTTCAAACGATTCGTCACCATTTTTATTTATTTTTTTCCCTACAACGAACGTGCGTAGAAAGCGCAGGCGAGAAAAAGAGCAGCGACACAGCCAGAAATACAGTGCAATGAAAAAAGATGAAATAAAAACAAGTATTACTTGGAAATTGTGAATAACACACATGTCCACAAATGTACATACATACACACCTCACAGTGGTTTGCAACAACAAAAGCCATTTGGAGCACAACTATAGGAATAATCCAATAACGACCGGCCCAGCAGAAGAAATCGGCATTCGCAAGGCTCTCGAACTGATGGATAAAAAACTTTTATTGGAAGTTCTAAACACATGTCTGTTATGGGCCCACTGTATCGTATTTTTTTATTTTGCTTGTTTTCCATACGTGTTGTTGTTGTTGCTGTGGGCCTGCTTTTCTGAGTTTCTGTGTATTTCGGCCTCCACCGCATTGTCAGTTTCATCCGCAACTTCACATGAATTTTTTCACAAACACACATACAGTTTGGGACAAATAAATAGTCACCATTTTGAAGTTATTTTTCTAGTTTCAATAACAATAATTACGCGAAAATAATTCAATATTTCGTCAAAAATCTTTCCTATAAACACAATTATATAAATATCATATTATATTTTTTATATTAATACAATTTTTTTTCCCCCAAGTGTATACATGAATTATGTGAGTGTGTGCCTTCTGCCTTTTCCCTCTCTTACTCTTCATTGTGCGTTTTTTCGTTTGTTATTTTGCGTTTTTTGCTTTGTGTACCCGTCCTCCTTTTCTTATTTTCCTTTGTTGTTGTTGCTGCTGCTGCTGCTTTAGGGTTGCCACTAGGGTCTCTCGCGTTTTGCTTTGCGTCAACGCTTCGTGTTGTAATGGCGAATATAAAGTGGGGGCTGCTGAAAAAGTGCCAGCGCAGCGTGGTGATGTGCTCGTTTTTCAGGTTATATTAACGCCCGTCGCTATATATACATATATTGGTTGTTGAGCAGATAATTTATTTAAAAGTATTTACGAGTGGGTGAGTGCTCAGCGCAACAAGGTTGCCGGACTAATTGCGATTCTGAGTTTGATATCGGTCATCGCTCATTATGCCTATGTCAGCTCATTCGCATTGTTTTTTTTAAATATAAATAAACAAAGACAAAATATATGAGTGTGATAAACAATAAAATTTCTCAAGAGAGTAAGGGACATGCACGATAAAATATAAGATTAATCCAAAATTTTGAGAAATGGCATACAATACAATTATTTTATAAACAAATAAAATAGACGTAGAACTTTTATTATATCACCATGAAGCACACATATGTAGTGAGTAATTAACAATTACAAACACCAATCATCAGTTTTAAAATTCTCACAACTGAACATGTGTTTGTTTTTACCCTTCAAAAAAGATAAATAAAACTGGTTTTAATCGAATGCAGCTTCAGAATGTACATAGCATTTATGTCACCTCTAATCTTCCATCGAGTTGGCAACGCCTAGCTGATTTCAGTCGACCTGGCAACTCGGCCAGGTCCTTCTTCTTCTTCCACCCGCTTGGGTTGTGATTCTGTAGTCCCATTTTAGTTTGGAATTAAAATAAATTAACTCACACTCAATACTCGATGGCCTTTTAGGCAATACATACCGAAATGCATTCGAATGCAGTTATTGATTTGATATGTGTGTATCCGAATGGCAAATTGCATAACACACATCGCGACGCCCACAAGGAGTTAGAAGAAGAAGAAGAATCACCACCAGGAGAAGGATTTCAGGCAGTGATTTATTTATTTTTTTCGTGACAAATAAGCTGTAAATGCGGTTGGTGTTGGTTTCCTAGCTACAGTCGAATTTCAAATAATGTAACTTCTATAATTTTGAAGTTTTAATTTGCAGCTTTTAACTGGTACGACTCCACTTCAACTAGATTTGGAGGGAAAATTATTTTCCACTGTTTTTTTTTATTGTTTTTTAATAATAAAAAAGATTTTGCGACTTGATGTATTTAGAAAATGTTTCGATGCAATATAAAATATTTATGAATTCATTCAAATTTTTTCCTGATTTTTAGAATTACTTTTTAAAATTTCATATATTTATTATCCGAATCCATTTTTATTATTAGTTTACCGATTTCTTATAATCTCCATTAGTTCCATATATAACAATTTAACATATTCCTTTTTATTTATTGAAGTTCGACTGTAGGTCAATCCCTTAAAAAAAAACTTGTAATTAATAGCGTTTCCCCCACCCTCTTTTTCTCTTTAATTCTGGGTCCTTTGGCTGCAGCTAACTTGCGCCAGAAGGTATGCAACCGCAGTCGGACAAACAAAGCGCCAGCAGACTCGCAACAACAACTAGCCACTCAACAGCAGCAAATTCCGCAGCAGCAGGCACTCCTCCAAAAGTAAAGGTCATCAAAAGCAAACGCCCCCTGTGCCACTTTAAGTTTTACCTGGACATATGCGATCATCAGCTTGCCAAACGCATTGAGTCCGATATCAAAGCTTTGGGCGGACATCTCGAGTTCTTCCTAAGCGACAATATCACTCACTTTATCACCGATAAGCCGGAAGCTAATACCGGAACTCCCGGAACACCAGGCACACCCAATACACCAACCAGTCACTATCAACAGGATGATGTTTCAGCAAGGAAACCAAATCAGAGGCAATCAAGGGCGGATGCTATACTGAGTCGTGTGCGTAGGAGCACCGTTGGGGCGGCAAGTATTAATACCACGCCCACGACATCCTTAAAACGAAGCTATACCATCTGGCAGACGGATTACGCCCAGCGCTTTATTAAACGCATCCAGACTGAGCTTAAGCAATACCTTGAGGGTAAGAAGGACTGTGGAGGAGGAGCATCATCGGCTAGCCCCCATCATATTCAGCTAAAAAAGCAGTATGTGAAGATCGAATCCGTCAAGCGTAATTATAGACCCTACTACCATCTTATTAAGCAGCCAGACGACTGGCCAAAAATTGACTTAAGCAGCGAAGACGGCGCCTTTCGACTACTAACCAAGTCGAAATCCAGGGAAAAAGAGCAGAGCATGACCCGCAAGACTTTGGGTTCACGTACGTCCCAAAAAGAGAAGCAACTAGCGGGGGAAGGAAAGCCTCCTCAGCATCCAGCTCTGCACCAGTTGAAAAAACAGACAGCAATACCGAACAGTCCGCGTTCTAACTGTCGAGAGGCCAAGGATTCGAGTGATAAACAAGGTGGAGTGTGTGAGATCTGCAAATTGGAGTACGATATTTTGAATATCCATTTGCAAAGCAAAGATCACGAACTATTTGCCAAGAATTCTGACAATTTTCTGGCTTTAGACACACTAATTCGTAGTTCAGCGAATGTGAATCAGTTCCTGGAGGAGGAGCCCGAAGAGAGTGAATTGGACATGGATGTGGATGAATCGTTGAGTAATGAGGAGTTGCAGAATCTCCGTCAGAGGCCCTCCCCAGCATTGCGCGAAAAATCCAAAAGGATAACTAAGGGAAAACATTCGTCGGAGAAATTTCAAGGTGGAACAGTTGCCTCACCTCAAACTCCCTCTCCTGGTGGAAAGAAGGTTCTGGGAAACTTACCCGGAAGTCTTTCGGAGCTTCAGCGACAGGAACATCCAACCACGGCTGCTGCAACGCCTACAACTACTTCGGGTCGTAGGAAAACGCTGAGCTCTGGTCTGTCACCTCCCATAAGAGCCATGTTACCACCTTCGTCGCTTTATAAGGTAGTGGAAACCAGGGAAGAATGTGTCACGCCCCCTAGAGGAAGAGGAAGGCCGCCCAGCCAAGTGGATTCGCCCTCCCTGATTGTCAAGTTCCAAAAGATTCGACAAACAGAGTTGCAACGACTAAATGGAGAGGCAGAGAACTTTATGTTCCCTAGAACTACAGTTCCAACAACGAGAAGCAGTAGTGAGTTACCCACAGATATCGATCGGCAAACGACTTCGGATGTAAGAGGCAGATATAGTATATCCTCTGCTAGCCTAGACACCAGCACCAGCGAGGCAGAGACAAAAGAATCTTCTGGATTGCCCACGTCTAGCATACGGAAGCGGGCTCAAGCGGTGGGAAGACGAAGAAAAGTAGGAGGAGGAGCAGCAAAGCAGGAGCCACTCCAACGCCAATTATCCACGGGGAGCAGTAGCAGCAATAGCAACCAGCAGCGCTTTCCGAGCGCCCCCATCCAGCCAGAAGAAGAGCTTAGACCGCAGCCACAGCCGCAGCTGAAGAATAAAATAAAGCAGGAGTTAGTGGTGGCCACCAGGAAAAGCAGTCGCACAGCTACGGCCATTGTAACAGCAGCCACAGCCAGCAGTCATCAGCAGCAACAGCTAAGGCAGACAACCAGCCGGAAAATAGCGAATAAACTGGAGGATCGGATGGGGGAATCAGAAAAGCCTAAAAAAAAAATAAAGAAAGAAGTAATCGAAGTAGAGGAAGTAAAGGAGTTGAAGGATCTAGGAGACCTATTAGATAACGAACTAGAAGAGGCCTTAGACAGCAGTTTGTCCACTAGCAGCGATGAGGATTATATAGCTGGCAGCCGGCGTAGAACCACGGCAAGCCAACGCAAATCCTTGGATACTCGTGAACAGAGGGCTGCTAGGAGGCTGTCTAGATTAACCATAAACCGTAGTGCCGGGGAGCTGGAAACACCAGAAGTCAAAACCTCACCGTCTAGAAAGAGTCATGGAAAGAGTCAAAAGCCTTTGAGTCCCACAAAAAACAAAGTGAAACAAGCAAAGGTAACGCCACCAGCTATGGATTTGTTCTTCGATTGCAGCAAAAGTGAAAGACTACAAGAAATGCAGTATACCTTCGAGTCCCTGCCAAGTAGAGAGTTGTGGAATCAGGTGTTTGTGCGACAGGATGCCGGTGAAGAGAACTACTACACGTACTACGGTAGTACTAACTATAGGAAGCTTCCCTACGAAATGGGTCCCATACCCATGGCCAGAACATTGCCAGCACACAGTTGTGCTTTATGCCGAGAGGCAAACGATGGAAAGCAAGAAAAGCAAGCCGAGTTGAAGCAGGAAGATCACAAACCTGTTTCGAAAAGGGAAATTAAAAAGGAGGAAGAAGCCCAGTCCTCCTCCTCCGCAACGTACAAGAACAAAAAGCTGCACCTCCTCCAGCGTTATCAGCAGGAACAGGAGCAACTCCAACAGTTGGAGGGTAATTCCCTGGCCACTGCCATAGCCAAATGTGATAGCAAGGCCAGCACCCCAGAACTATTGGAAAGAGAGTTTGCCTCGGGATCTTTGGGAGATAGAGTGCAGCTGATAGAGAGAGTAAGGAGTACCTCCAGTTCCAGTTGCAGCAACAGTCAGCGAAGTGGAATAACCTGCAGGAATAAACAGCTCGCGCGAATTGCCGAATTACCACCTAGAAAATCTCCCCGAGAACATGCTTCTACTTTAGCTTTGGTCAGTTGCATTATACGGCAGCGACAGGACTCCCAAAGCAAAACCAATTCCGAAGCAGAAGAGCCTCCTCCCTGCGATTGCTCCAAAGCTAAAAACTCCAATAAAACAGGAACCAGTGGCACCTTCATCGCCACGAACTACTCGTTCCCAAGCTGCCACTCCTGTCGAGGAACTTCGATTTGCCACCGAGATTAGCGAGACTGTGAAGAGAATGAGACGTGGACAGAACAAATATGATCATTCTCCACCAGCCCCAGCTCCGAATCCTACACCGCAGACATCTTCACCATCAAGAAGTCGTCGCCTGACACCTGCTGTACGAAATATGGGCGAGAATTTTTTGCGTCGTTTGGAATTCTCAACCAGGGAATCCTCAGCGAGTGCCCTGTTGGGCAAGCGTAATAGAAGAGTGGTCCGTTCAGGAGCCGGATCAGTGCGTCCTAATACACAACAAGCTCCCGGAATGGGTGCCTTTCGCGGAGTTCGCAAATTGCCCAGCAAGAAGGGTCTGCTCGAATACGAGATGGAACCGAGTGCGCTCAAAGCTCTTGATCAAGCCAGTCAGTATTGCAATCCAGGTTTCATTGCCTGGCAGTTGGACAAGTATCTGGAGCTAGCTGGCAAAGAGTATGATTTGGACGAAAGCGAACTGTCAGCGGAGAAGGAGCCGGAAGAGGGAAAACAAATGATTGTCAACACCCCACAGACTCCACCACCAACTGATTGCTTCACAAGCGAGTTTGACCTGTGTGATTTAATTTTGGGGAGCGCTGGAAGTGGCGATGATGAGGAAGATTTGGCCAGAGGAAACCAAACGAGCTCCGGTCGACGAATAAACAATCTTAGTCTATATGCAAGTTATTATAGAAAGAAAAAGAGCCTGAAATCAAATCGTACGGGTTGGCCAAAAGCTCAGAGAAGGCGAAATGCAGGTGGACTAGGTAGTCGATCTTTGCCTGATGAGCGAATTAGTTTCCAGAAAATAGGTTTGGCTGAACCTCACCCAATAAAGCAAGAGCCTATGGAAACGGAGGAGGAGCAAACCACCACAACCACAACTACTACGTCTTCTGCGACAAGGGAGAAACTTCTAAGCAAAGAAGATGAAGACGATGAAGGAGGCGGTGGCGACATCCCAGGCGGAGGTGATGGCGATATATCGCCTGCTGATGATAGACATGATTCCAGACAGGAAGCAGCTATGACTCCACCAGCGACAGATATAGATGAACAGGTTGAACCGGAAGTCGATGAAATGGAAAGTCTACCCGAAGAAGATGAAACCATGGCGGATTCTGTAGATCAACAGCAAGATGATGAGGCGGAAATCGAAGCCACTGATGCGGATGTCGAGGAGGAGGAAGAAGAGGAGGACGAAGATGTGTTTGAAGATGCCTTCGAAGAGCAGGAAATGGGCAAGAAAACGGAGCCGCCGGAAAAGCGAGCACGGATACCTGCCATATCCGTAACCACGCCACCTGACGAGCACTTAACGCAGGGCAAGAAACTCATGCTCACCCTGCACAATGGTCAAAGACTTCACCCTACCTCCACTCCAACTACCGTGCAAGTTCAACAGCAGCAGAGGAGAACTCCCCAGCTGAACGGAAGCCTAGGCAGCTGCATTTCGCCAAGTGAGAAACTGGGAGACAATTCTGACATCTTCACCGTTTCTTCGGATGGACTGGATACCGATCTGGATCTGAGCAACACCCAGGCGGGCGATTCCCACGAACATTGTCCACACCAGACGACGCCTAAGCGGAAGTTCGACATCTCCAAGTATGCACCACCAAATAATGGAAAAGCGGCTAGCAGTTGTGCCGCCGAAGCGGCGACAGCTGCCGTGAAATCCCTGGCCATCTCGCAGTTCCTCAAGAAGGAGGTGCGTGTCACCTGCCGTCGGCTAAGGGCACCATTCCGACGATTTCGTTACCGCCGCTAAGCACCCTCGGTCATCATTATCATCATCCAGATCAAGAAACGCATCATTTAGCACCAATCACGTTTAGCTTTTAGTGTGTACAGAGCCGATGAGTAATAAGTTTCAGTTTGTAGGTATTTTTAGGCCACAAATCCCTCCAAAATCACGAAAGCAAACCTTATTTAATTCCATAATTTTCCAAATTAAATTTCTTATTACAATTTCGTATTTTTAGAGTTCAATGAATAACTGTGTAATGCACTAGTTTGAAACCATCTTTTGAGACTAAACCACTGCCAAAATGGTGAACAGCGAAATGCATTATCATGTGATTTCAAAGAACTTCATTTGTGAAATCAATTTTGTCAAATACAATTGTGTTAGAAGAGCTAAACCAACCCATTAACTAAATGTAGCATAATTAAAAGTCACACACAAATCACACACGGAAATACGTACATAAGACTTAGTTTAATCTTAGTTTAGCTCAAATTCCCTTGCCCGTGAAAATCTTCTCATCATCAATTTCGGACTATTCCAAAAACTCTCATTTTCAATCTAGCTTTTAAGTAGTGAAGTTTCCATTTATCGTTTTTGTTTTTAACTGTGGAAATCACCAATTAAACTGTTTTCATTTTCTTAGCCATGTAATATTATTAAAGTGAACGCTCAAGCTATTTAAAAAAGGAAAAGTAAACTATGTAACAGAGATAATTTAAATTTAAACAAAAAAACCAAAAGCAAATTGTAAAAATATTAAAACAAAGAGTAAATTAAATTAAATATTCAATTAAACATACATAAAAGCTTTGAATTTATTGAACGCATATCGAAAGGGTCGAAATTCTTATGGCTAGTTTTTAATAAAATTTAAATTTTATACGTATTTTTATTCTTTTTTCCATCTTTTAATTATTTTTGGAATTTTCAAGTTTTACGAGCCGAACCGAAGGTTTTTTTGGAACATTTCTAGTCAAAATAATATTCAATTTAGGTCATGCAATCCCAATTCATGCCATCCATGCATATCACATACCCACAATCCAGCATCCTCATTTCCCTGCTAATGGCCACTTCTTTGATCCGATCCCATCCCAATTTAGACTTGCGCAAACTCATCAAATATGAGGAACGTCTGGCGGAGAACACAAAGGAGGACAATTTCAACGGCCTGCATAAACGCGGCACCGTCAGCTCGCGTGCCAAATTAAGTGGCGAGAAAGATAAGGAGAATGCGCCTCCATCGTGTTCTTGTCCATCTGCCAAGGAGAAGGAGCCCAAGACTGACAAGAATGATGACCAGCAGCTGCGTTCCGATGCCGGTGCTGGGATGGCGGATTTAGCACGGCTTTTTAAGGAGAAACTCTTGATGGATGCATCTGTTCCTCCATCGGTGGCTAAGGACATAGTTTTTGCACAACCTCAGTCAAACGGGAACCGCCGCGGTCGCAGCAAGACTCGCCAGGGAAAGGAACCCCCAACATCCAGTGGTGAATCGGAAGGTAATGAAGACCGTCCTAGAATGCAACGTCGCCGACGAAGCAAGTCTCACCCACGCGCTGCTGGTAGGCATGGATCTTCATTAGGTAAATATTCGATATAAAATGATTTAACTAAATCTTATATTTTCATTCTTTCCTCGTAAAGTGCGCCGTCGTGACAAATCCAGGCACTGTGATCCGGTGGCTTTATTTCAGTACTACCAGAAAGAGTGGGCCCATTTTCGCAGCCAGATCCCTGGAGAGAAAAACCATGTCAACGCCCGCTTTGGAGACCGCCGCAAGCCAATTGATTCGAAGAAGTGAAGATATATTTCCATTGCTACCGTTTTTCTAAAAGCCCATACTTCTAACGATTCCACTTTTCAACTGCAGTCATTATTCACATATATTTACATTTGTATCCATTCTTATTTTTATTAAAAAAAAAAAACTTCAGAAGTCGAATAAAATACAAATTTAAAATGTGTGCTTAAAAAAATTCATAAAACTTAAACTAATTAGGTAACAAAATAAACTCATTCACTGGCATCTTTAACTTGGCGTAAAATCTAATAGATTTTTCTATCACAGAAAATACAATCTATTTTTTATATAAGCTGTCAAAATTTTAAATTTGTAATTATAATTTTTATCTAAACACCCAGTTGAGAGGAATAGGTATTAAAGGACTTTCAGAAATGTTGGAGCGAGTCCGAAGACCCCAGTCGAGACTGGATCCCCAAATACCGATCCCAACAAGAACCACCACAATGCGACGGACCCGGCGAGTATGCGTTAATATCGAATCTAACGGTTCCGGGTCCTTAAGATCTAGAAGAAGACGTAGAAGGGAGTTACTAAATCCATACTTTGTGACCTACCCTCCAATATGTGGCCCCGTGCATCCATGCAACTTTCAATTCTTCCCTAATGAATGGCCTCACGGCTATGAAAATGTTTTTGATTCTCTTAGTCGTTTAAGCGCTGGTAACCAATGTGAATGTAATTCAGTTGAAGAAACCGAAAATACGTGTGGACCACAGGCTGTTCATGACTTTAAGGATATTATTATGGAATTGAATAGCTATTTGCAAGTGGAAAAGTTCAAGCAACTGGAAATGCATCAAGAGAGTACCAATACCGACGAGAGTAGTAAAACCTTTAACCCCCAGGCCTGCCAGCTCTCTGTCCTAACCGATATATTGTGTGAAACCATTGACCGATTAAATGACTATATAGACAAGCAACCTAAACAATCGGAGTGGCAGTCAGTTCAAAGCCCTATGGATTCGAGTAGGGGAGGAGTACCTCCCGTCGAGGTCTTACAGTTACCAATCCAACCGCTGATCGTACAACCTTTTCCTCCATATCCATCCTCTGCTTACTATCAGCCATCTAAATCAATTTTTCAAAATCAGCCCCATCTTGAGCGTTTGCCCTGGTTAAAGGAGCGGAAACGGAAACGTCTTCCTAAGCCTACTACCGTTATACACATGCAAAATCAGGAAAGCAGCACAGATGACTTACCAAAGATCTTAGAAGCAAACAACTCGGCATTAGGATGTGATAAGTACCCAGATTCGCCACACACCTATAAGCAATCTACCAAGGATGCTAGCACAACCATGTGGTGTTCTATGCAATGTTGCAAAAAAAGTTACGACACGGTCAATAATCCAAAACAATTGGGTATTAAACAGGAAAGCCTCTTAGAAAATCCAGAATTTTTCTATTCTTTGAGATCGACCGATGTCTTTCCGCCCCCTTATCTTAAGGCACCCCCACCAAGTATAAAATCAGAGGAAGATAGGGAAGATCAAGGCAAGTGTTACCATCCAACGGGGGAATCAATCTATGTCCTTAGCTCTCCCAAAACATCCAGTTACAGTTCCAATTGCGATTATCGCCATGAGGGGGGTAACCTTAGATATTCTTATATAGAAGAAGAGGAGGAGGAGGAACAGGTAGATGAGGATGACTGGTATCGAAGTGCGAGCAACAAATTAGCTGAATTGGAGGAAGAGCAGGACTACTTTAAGAAAATGGATAAACATACTGAAATGAAAACTAATGATCAAACCCTTCAGAGTGACCTTGAAACCAGCAGTGAAAACAGCTTTATAAATATTATAGCCACTTCCGATAAATCACTTAGCACCTCAGAACTCAATGATATAACAACCAGAGAACCCATTAAAATTGAAAGGATTTGCAAAAAGTCTTCTTTGAAACAGCGTATCGGGCTGAAAACTCGGGATCAAAAGGGAAATACTCTAAAGCCCCTCAATGTCATGTTTGAGAAAATTCAAAGTACGGCTGGAGTTCAGGTCCAACCACAAGTGAGATGCATTGGGACGGATCCAATATGCAAAGATTCGATTACCAGTATACCCAAGACCAGCAGAAATGTCCAGGACCTATTTAAGACTAGGAAAAAGAGCAGTCAGAAACGGACAATTAGTTCTGAATGCTTCCCGGGGAAATCCAAAAAGTAGTCATTCTGAAAATCCTCCAACAAGGGCAGCTTAAAGCAATCTGATATTATCTTATCAAAATTATCAGATTTTAAATTATTTTCATAAATTTTTCGGATCCCTATTCCACAAATCTTTTAGGAGTTTTGGTTAGGAAATGTCAGGGTGATGTTCTGTGAGCAGCCGACTCCAGAGCCGGAAAAAAACATCTGTCGCTGCAAGAACTGTGTACTCCGTCATTCCGATATTCTTCCCTGGCCAGAGCCGCTTGGATTGATGGCTGAACGTGATGGTGATAAAGAGGGTAACACCAGTCGACGAGTGTCGAACCGTACAATTCAGTCGGTGGATAGCGATATGTACCTGCGAGATGGCAATGAAAGGCAGCCTGATAACTACAAAACTCAATCCAGTAATCGCAACGAAGTTTTTTCAAATTATACCCCACGCCAAGGGGGCCTTTCTCCTATACTACATGGGGCCACATCTCCAATTTTCAATAAGAGCCATAGTCAAACGCGACTGACCACACAGCAACCAGCTCAGCCCCCTCAACCTACCATCCTTCTGATTGTGGTGAAGTAAGTGATATATATGACCGTACAAATATATGTATATATACTATATAAATAAGATTATTTCAGCAAAAACGATCCACCTCCATTTCAAGGAAATGGTTATCCGGGAGCAAGTCCTGGATACCAGGGTCATGGGCATGGGGGATATCAGGGCCAAGGATATATGGGGTATCAAGGTCCTGGACCTAGGGGATATCCAGGTCCGAGAGGAGGACCTCCTGGGTAAGATTAAATAATCTTAATTAGAAAAAATGTATGTAATAACTATTTATAAATATATTTTTTTGGAATTACATAAAAGTTCCCTCTGTATTTTCTATTCTATCTATTTCTTTATATTTTAGCAATTATTATCCACCATCCAGACCTGACTATGGAGCTGGGACCAGCGGGAGACCAAGACTTAACTATGACCCGAATCATGTTCGCTAGTAAGCCATTACCGATAACCATTCTTAAAATCTAAAACTAGTTTCATAATTCTCCTGTTCCCACAGCAATAGCCGTCGATATAGGTATTTACCACCTCTTAACTTTAATAACAAATAATAAAAAAAGTCCTTATGATCTACAGCGATGGCGTTCGAAATAGCCGAAATCGGTACAGTATTGTACTAACTCCTTAAATTTTAAATTTAACGTTTTTCTTTCTATAGATACCAGGATGAGTGGAGGGCACAGTCAAGACGGTAAAACTTTATGTTAATTTATTAGTTTTGATAAAATATTTTAATTATACAATTCTACGATCCATATTTTAGAAACTCAAATAATGTCTACGCCGACCAGTCGCGTATACCTCGTCAACCTGAACCCCAACGCAATTGCCGATGCCCCGCTCCCGAGATGTTTCAAAATAAAAGTCCGATTACTCCTCAAAACACTGATGATATCATCCCCGAACATCTTAATGAACACACCACTAAGAAGAGCAGGCAGCGCCTGATAGGCAGAGGATGCAATTGTCGAGGATCTAGCCCAATGGAAAATGATTTGAGACCTCCCAGAACTGAATTCGGAAATTCAGGAATAGACAGAAATAAAGATATAAACGCACATCCCAACAATATGGAATATTTTTCGAAAATTAAAAGCCCGGATATGCAGGAAGTAATTGTGACTGATGCCAAGAACAAGACATACAAATGCATACAAGTAAGCGATTGGATATTTTTAGTAAGATCTACAAATAACGCCCCTTTGCCTGTTACAGGTGCCCATTTGCATATCAACTGGAAAATTGGATACCTGTCGCTGTTGTAAATGTGCTTCCGCTTCGGAACCAGAGAAGGAAGAATCGTTCGCAGAGGAGGCGGAGTGTACCTGCAATCGTCAGGGTAAATGCACCTGTGTACCAAACAAAGCATTTCCCGAAAATCTCGGCTGCGAGTGCGATCTGACTAATTTGGAGCAAACTCTTCGAGACCTTATACCGAACACCGATTGCATATGCTACTTAAAGAAAAAACGACGCAGAAAACGTAAGAAGTGGGCTCCTAAAGTTTATTATGACCGGTTTGCCAATCCTCCTTTTGTCATTAATCCGAAACCCAGATGCCTAGAGTATGGCTGCAGCCCTTGCCGTTATCCTTACTGCAATTCTTGCTGCTGTGCACCGGTTCCAAAAAGCTGTTACACCTATGACTACGGCTGTGGAGGTTGTTGTAGGTAACATCTACAATATTAACAAAATTACACAACAAGTTGGAAGTCCACCGATTGCAGACTATCTTAGCGGATCCTCAATATATTGTCAGCTAATGACAGAAACCTTAAGAAGATTTTTCTGACATTATTTGACAATTTTTGAGAGAAAGCAAACGAAAACACTATTATATTCTTAATTGATCTGGATCATATTATGACTACACCTATTGATACATCTTAAACCTTAATAAACGGAAAAACATTTCGAATTAATGTTTATTATGACAAAATCTTTAAATTTACAAGTCTTTTAGCAAGAAATAAAATAACTTAAAATCCAAGTAATAACGCAAATTTATAAAATGAAGTTGCTTTTTTTTAACTGTCACTTTTAACCATCAATGTAACTGAGCCTCTGAGCGGGCGTTCCTGATTTCCGCTCCTTTAAGATGGCTGCCCTAAATAGAAGGCGTCGCACTGCCCAACAAATTCTCTTGCGACGAGCCTTGAGCAAAAGCGTTGGAAGAGACTGCCCTTCCATCGATTTCGTCCAGAACGAGGGTCCTCTGACCGGTGATCCGCAACAGCTCAAACGAATTCTGGAGAGATCGACGTCGAAATCAGTAAGAAAAGTGAATAAAATTTTGGTAGCAAATTCTTTAAGGATTTTAGGTGAGAGAAAAACGGCAGAGCAAAAGCAAGGATATGAGCTGCAAAAGAAGGATTCGCGGTCCTGGAGGAAATTAAAGCCAAGAGGTTGGTTTCGGAATATAAAAATGTTAGCCAACTTTAATTCCATTTTATTAATCCTTTTTCCCAGATGATAATCCAACAGTCAGCTGTCACAGTATTAAACTCAATACAGATTCCAGGGCCAGTTCACGATCTCGTCATAGTTCTACCACGTATCCTTCCACCTGGCAACTAAATATAAATAAAGCAAAGGAAGAACTTAAAAAAAATTCTAAGGGATCTCTGGACGAGATTATAAATTGTTCCATTCTTAATCGTACTCCATATGATCACAAGCTTAATACGCCTATTAAATCGGATAATTCTTGTCAATGCTATCCAAATAAGAAAGCAAGGAGAAGAGGAAAGAAAAAGAAATTAGCTTCCTTGATCCAACCTGCGACAATCAGTAAAAATTCACCTATGGAGGAGGGAAATTTCCAGAGAATAAGTTCCACAACGAACAGTAAAGATTGTGTGGAATTCAAGAAATTAAAACAACGGGTCTACAGCGGCGAGGAATTTAGTCCAGATCGGAGAATTTGTAAAACTGCATCAAAAACCAGTGGATACTCTAAGGTTTCCTTTAAGTGCAAAGAAAGCTGTCCTGGCTCATCCTATAAGGACTATGGCGGTTACAGTCCCTCGGAAACGGATATTGAAATGCAAGATGGACGTCTTCAAAAACTGCAAAGTAGATCTGAATATCTTAATAAAATAGAAAGGATAAGCAAACCTCCTCCAGGTGTAAGTAGCAAGTGGAGTCTTAAATTGCCGAGTAATACGGAAATGGAAAAATACATTGCCAGAGGTATACAGGAAAGATCTCCGGCGCAGCAACCTAAGAATGTAGATAAAGATCGAGGAATTCAAAGAAAGATATCCAAGTGTTATTGTACAAATGGGAAGGGAAAATTCAGCCAAATCAAAAGTGATAAAGCCGAAGATATATCAAGCAAGCGTAGTCTTAATTACAAAAGTGCCTCAACTGATGCTCTAATGGGTTCTCCAGTAGAAAGAGCAAGATATGAAAGAAATAGGGATAAATTATCTTCACAAACCAGCTTATTGTCCTCTGAACAATTTGTTAATCGCATTAATAATGCTGAGAGTGAAGAAAGTTTCAGCCAAAGCCAGCGTGAGACCCCAAGCTCACATCAAAACAAAGTTATCATTTGTAGAAGAAATCCTGAAAGTGGTTATCAAACCAATAAATATGCGTCTAAGCCATATCCTTACTATGACCAAAGAGCATACGCTTCAAATGATTCAATTGATATAAGAACAAGGCAGGAGGAGAGTCAAACCAATTACAAACAGATGGATAAAAGAGCCTATAATATCAAAGGATGCCGCTGCCCAAAATTTGAACCAGGTATTAATGTCCTATTAGTAATTAGCTTAAAAATAGACTAACTCAATCATTTTTTAAAACAGGTCGAACTCCAAAAAGCCCTTCTGATAGAGATCCTCAAGGTGTTGTACCAAGTACCAAAGTCACTCCTTTAGGATCTTCGAAAAGGGAAAACGGAAGGAAATCAGGACCGACAATCAATAATATTGGGGTCATGTATAGTCATAAATTTTCTGAAGCTATTACTCAGACATCTGAAACATTAATAACACCAAAAATCTACGGAAATTATATAGACTTTCAGGAAACGCCTTACATATCAACACCAACCAAGCTAGTTCAACCAGCTAACCAAAGGCAATCGAATTATGTGAGATCTTATATAGGAGCTCCAATTCAAGAAAATGTCAAGCAAGAAAAATTAAGCCAAGTCCCACATAGTAAAGTGCAGACTAAACGACAACATCCAAAATCTACGCACTTAATTCTGAAAGAATCCAATTCCTCTTTATTTGAATACCATGAAGATAATTACGGTCGAGCGGAAACCAATTTACATGAAGCTGTAGGGCATACAATAAGAAGAAATGAAGAAAATATCAGGGAAGAAAAATCAAATAAAATATTTTCAAAGTCCCAACAACCACGGCAAATGAATAATAAGTCTACGAAATTACCAAATCAAAACGGACATACCCAAGAACAAAGAATGGCAGAAACCATCTCTTTCCCCTGTCATTGAATCTTACGAAGAACAGTACTCTCTACCACAATCTACTTCTATAGAGCTTGTAGAGCAACGGAATGCTCCAAAAACTAAAAAGACAATTCGTACTGGAAAACGGAAAAGTTGTCGGTGCTACAGGTGCTGTAGTCGATGTTGCAGTCCTTGTTGTCCTCGAAAAAAATCAGTGAAAAAATCATCATCACCTTCTGGTAAGGATAAACAGGTGAAATCAAAAACATCAACTATTAATAATGACAATTGTGATGTCAGGGAAATATTAAATATTCTTCAAGCTACTGTGACTGGACTGGAAAAACAAATAAATATAAGAAAAGGATTTGAAATAAATAATAATGAAAAGTCGGCATATCAAGACGCCTATAAATATATTCAAAGTCCAACACAAAATGTTCCTTATCAGCAAGTAAACTCCCATTCGGAGAGAAATACAATACATAGACCTATGAGTACTTTTGGAAACCCAACGAGTTTATACCAAACTAGTCAAAGAGAACAATTTATGGGTGATATTCCCACGAATTATTATACGTATTCAAATTTAGCAAGTCCCTTTCCCTTGAATAATGAAGCCAATCCAAATAGTGTTCAAGCTTCAGAAAACATTTATCAGGACAACATGTTTCAAAGAAGACCTTGGCATGAAAATGTCTCCTCTAATAACGGCGCAAGCCCAGCCAGTGTCGATAGGCCAACGAATATACAGGTATATCAAAATAATGCTATTCATGCTGAAGCATCACCAAATGTATATAAAATCAACACAAACCAAAGGGAAGGCGCTGCCTGAAAATTACTCCATTAATAAGGACCCAACCTCACCCAATGTGGAGGAATTTTATAAGAACGAAGGAATATTTAGAAGAACCGAATTTCAAAATAATGCTAGTAATCCTCAAGCATCACTAAATGCATATCAAAATAACACAAATCAAAGTAGAGTTTTGCCTGAAAATTACTTTATTAAGAACGACCCAACCCCAGCCAATGTGGAGGTACGTTGTAAGGACGAAATAATATCTAGAAGATCCGAATATGATTACCCTATCGAAATAAGCGATCGAAAAAGCCAACCGTATGGAAACCAGGAATCCTTTAACGAATCCTCTAGTTATGCAAATCATACCCAAGTACACAGCACTTACCCCATTGATGATTATAACAATCAAAGCTTAAGACAATCCTTTAATCGACCATGTATAAATGCTCAGTGCAATATAAATAATCCTCAAATTGAAATCTTTCAAGGGAATGCTTTTGAAAGAAAACCAATTACCGATTCAGCTTATAGCCAGGGCTCAAAAGGAACAACCAATTCCGGAAGACAAAGTCATAGGGAAATGGTTGCCTTTCCAAATAGCGAAACAATCGACCCAGAAAGCTATACACTCAATGACAATAATGTGTCGAATATAGAAAGAAATGCTCAGGTGCCTTTACAAATCTGTGATAACTCAAATTGTCCACATTTGACCGGTCAATATTACCCTATGTCAAATAACTCTCAATCCTATCAAACAGAAATTGACTTTCCCGAGGCCAACCCTGATGGCGATTCCGTGTCGTGCAAAGGACCCGAATTTTGCCCATATAAAGGAATGTATAAGCCAGATGTTGGACCAAACAACCGAGGTGTAGTAACATTCCAAGACAGCGATAGACCCACACTTAGTAGAGACAGAAACCGTCAACAACCGGCCCAAAGGTCGTGGGAGAATCCAATTTACCCCATGTCGAAAAGAGTTATATCTTATCGAAAGATGAATGGCTTAACAAGATGCAATCCAGATTGTTATTGCAATCAAAAGGAAATCCCATTTCAAAAGGGTGGCACGGCCCATAATTATGATAATTTTGTCAGAAATCCATATTGTCCCGAAAATAATATAGTAAATGGTAATATAAACAGAACAGGTAGGTGTCGCAATCGAAACTGTCCAGAAAAAGAATCATTTCACAGCAACGGAAAATCATCATATCAACAAGATTTCGCCGAAGGTTCTGGAAGACAAGAGAACCCGAGTGAATGGGGTGGCCGATGTAGAACCAGAGAAAATTACAATTATTCGGAAAATAAATTATATTATAATGGACCTCTGAATCAGAGCATAAATCAGTCTTATCAAAACGTAGGGTCCCAATCAAACTACAATTTTAGTACAATGTTTCCCAATCAAGATGATAAAAGTCGAACAGGTCCTCGAATCACAGTAGTTAAATGTCATCAAAAATCTGAAGAAAAAGTCATAAAGTCGAACCCTAATAAAGAATCTTTTCAAGCTACTAGTGAGTGTGAGAGATTTCACAGATTTAGCAATAAAGAGAATATAAACAATAATTCAAGATTAATAAAGGGATGTATAAAACCAAGTCAAATGTATAAAAACCAACCCAACCTCATATATATAAAAATTCCGATAAAAACCAAACGTATGCGAAGCAAGATAGCATTGATGATTCCGCAAGACTATACCCAAAAATGCAAAAGGATGAAGCTGTGGCATATTCATATGCTAAACGACTTCCTAATCAAGGATTTGTTGCCAATAAAATCAATCGAAATAAGCAATCAGATAATGCTGTAAAAGCCTGCGTAAATCCCAAATGCATTGATAGATTAAAAAACTCGTCAAATAAGGAAAATTCGAGCAAGGATAGGCAGATTCCCGAAAAAAGTATGAGATTTGGGGATGAAGGATTTGAAAAAAATAAAGACCACATTTCTAAAGCTTGTGAAAATACAAACTGCTCTAAACGAAAATTCACAAATGGGGACCAAAATAAATATACAAGTAAAGCGGATAAATTGGGTTCTGAAAGAAAATATGTTAAGAAGTTATGTGAGCATCCCAAAAGTCCTGATAAAAAAAGCATACAGAGGACGAAAAATGAAAATGGATATAAGGCGAATAGCTCCCGTAAAATTAATTCTGAAAAACCACTATCAAAAGAAAAACCACAAAGCAAAAGAAGAGAAATGTATCAAAGAAAAACTCCAAAAGCTACAATGGAAAGCGATCCAATCTTTCAAACACAGAATCTAGAAAATAAGAACGTAGAATACGAAGAAGAGCCACAGCTATGCCCTGAAGATTGTTATAATCGCCAAACTAATCAGACTATCAAAAATACAAAGAAAATGGCTAATGATTTTCAAGTGTGTGATCACCCAAAGTACCAAGATAAGTTGAGAAAAGTTGCCAATAATACTAATTACGAAGAATCACCATATGAAAAAGAAGTGTGTGGGAACCTACATTGTCCAGATAAGGTACATAAAAATTGTGATCGGAATGAGAATAGATATATAAATAATTCTGATAGAGTATGTTCTCAAAGTAGACCATTAAAAAGGGATCGAGAGAGAAGTTCATATGACAAAATCTACGATTCCGATGATCTAGAATCGTGCATTTCTGATTGCCCTCATCATCACCGAGTTCTCTTTACCGATCTCCGTATATGTAAGAATAAACGAAAATATAATAGCCGCCAACGCAGTGGAAGATCAGATTTTTTCGTTGATGGTCACATTAGACCAAAGACCTGCAATACGTGCCAGAGATATGTTCCACTTGAAAGAGATCGTCAGGAAATCAATAAGTATTGTACTCCTTGTAATGCTAAAGAAAAAATAAAGACCAAATCCGAAAAAAGCTTAAAAGAGAGTAAAATCATCTGTTGCAGGCCTGGTAAATCAGCACCAATTTTTGTTAAAAACAGACATAATCCCCTAGTGACCGACCCCATTTTTAATAGCTATGATAAGCACATGTTGGAAAATTTCGAAAAATTCAAAGAAAAAAATAAACCTGCACAATGCATTGAGAAATGTCCATTCCCGGATTACTTTACTCAAAGCAAAGAAAATATCCCTGCGAGTGCATTATCCTCTGATTGTAGATGTGAAATAATACCTGAAGAATACAGTCCTCCGTGTGATTGTCAAAGTGTCGAATCTATAGAACATGAAGACAACAGAAAAACAAAATCCAAAATATCATTCTTCAGTTGTTGTACAAAATCACCTAAAGACGAAAGTAAATCAAAGCCCGAACTGCAGAAGGAAGAGAAAACTGAATCAAAGTCGAGTGGATTTAGCTGTTTAAAACGAAAGGAAAAAACTCCCCAAGACAATTCAAAGTCTGAAAAAAAAACTAAATCAAGTGGATTATCCTTTTTCAAAGAAAATGAGAAAAAAACCGCAGAAAATCCAAACGAGAAGAACTGTTCAAAATCGAAAGAATTTTCATGTTTCAAGCAAAAGGAAAGAAACCCAAAAGAGAAAGAGAAACAAAAAAACGCAACCCCATCAAAAAAGTCGACTGGATTTCTCTGTTTTAAAAAATCTGAAAAACGTCAAAAGGATGATAGGCCTAAATCGCAGGAAAAATCTTTCGGTGGTAAAAATGAAAAAATTAAAATGGAAGAAGGAAACCATAAATCGTCAAAAAGTAGTAGACTTTTTGGGTGGTGCAGAAAATCAAAAGCTGCTAAGGAGTCTAATCTAAAAACAGAGAAAGCTCCCTCAGCAACAGAATGCTCTTGTCCGCCTTCGGAAGATCAAGAGATTCCCGTGATTAATTCAGCAGTCCAATTCCGCTGTCCATGTGCACCCAAAGAAATCGACGATGGTGATGTCAAAGTCCTTTATGACTCCAGTTTCCGTTTCCAAAATGAAAGCTGTAGCTGTGGCGAAATTCCGAAAACCATATATTGCCACAGTGATGCTCAAACGCCTGGACAGGATACATCGGATTGGTATGCTTCATCGCATGCAGCTTCAACCACATCAAGGAGCCAGTTTGAGGAGCAGGAGATCAGTTACTGCCCATGTGCAAGCGCTAATGGGTTCTATAAAATTGTACGGTAGCTATGATTAAGATTTTCACCAAAAACTAGTTTTTGATCAAATTCTTAATCATAATTGCCAAAAATATGGTATTAAGACTTATGCAAAATTAATATTTTAATAAAAATAAAACTCACATCTTTGAAAAATGTTAAAAAATAATTAAAACTTTTTTGGTCTGAAGAATTTAAGTTTTTTATTTTTTAAAGGCTGTAAATTATTTCATTGATTTAAAATAACCGGAAACCCATTCTTGACCGAAGGAACCGAATCCACCAAATATTTGCCACTGGTGATGTTGGCCAAACCCACCATAGCCACCCTAGTGAAGTCGATGCTCTTGGCGGAAGCCCCACCAAATCCGATCTGGAGGCGCGTCGACGTAATGGCAAACATAACAACTAAACACAAAATCTGGAAATAAAATAAAATTTAAAGGTTATTTTATATATTATTGAAACGTTTTACCGGACTTACCAAAAACTTCATTTTTAATATTTTTGATCTCGATGCGATGTTCAAAAAATGTGAAGAATCTTTGAGACTGTATTTGCTACTGAGCTCCTTTCCGGATTGACTCGGTATTTATAGGATTCTTTTCCCTACCTAACAGTTGTACATGTGCTTTACCTGCGTAGAATTATTTCAAGAAAAAATCCTTGAAAGGAATACACATTAAAAAGAAATTATAGGACTCTTGTAGCTAAGTCTATTCTAATACCGGAAAGCAGGTAGTATAAAAACAAGTTCCTCCTTAAACCATAAGGGTCGCCATTTTGAATTCTCCTTTATCCTTTAACTCATACTGAAAACTCGTTCTCTATAAGCCCATTAATGTAGTTGAATTTTAATTAAGAAGCAAAATATCATCGATCGCGAATGACGGAAGTTTATTAATACACAAGCATAAATTAATATTTTACATTGAACAATAGCAGTTAAGCCCACCACCAATAAAAAATAAAATGTTTAATATATAAAAAAAAATATAGAATCTAAAATTCCACCTATCGATATCAATATTAAATTTGTCCGATATTATCGTTAATCGCTATCGGAAGTTGCTTGCCCTGCGAATGGAAGAGGAAAGATACTTATAGAAGAAGAGTTATGAAAACAGAATGTTGAAGAACATTTTAAATACATCCAGGCAGGTGCTTTATCCTGTAGCTAGGACGTTTAGTCGCAGCAGCATTCAGGGCAATGCCGATGCCGAATCTCCAACGGCAGTGTCCGCTCCACTGGCGACAAAGTTCCCATTGATTCTGACACAAGATTTTTCGGATTACTTGCCGGCAAGTAGAAGCACGGCTCGTCAAGCGTGGATCGAGAATACGGATGCTGTGGCGGAGCGGAAGGTCGGGCTAATAGAACTGCACCCAGATATTTTTGCCGCCCAGCCAAGGGTGGACATTATTCAGGAAAATGTGGAGTGGCAGCGTAAGTATCGTTATGTAAGCATGGCGCACACAAAAACCCGGGCGGAGGTGCGCGGTGGCGGTCGTAAACCATGGCCACAAAAGGGAGGAGGTCGTTCCCGACATGGTTCCCTACGATCTCCCATGCTCAAGGGCGGTGGAGTGGTTCACGGCCCCAGGTCACCCACAACCCACTTCTACATGCTGCCATTCTATAAAAGGGTACTGGGACTGACATCCACACTTAGTGTCAAGCTGGCTCAAGACGATCTGCACATCATCGAGAACGTGGACATACCCACTGGAGACGCAGAGTTCCTCAAGGATTTGATTGCTGAACGAAACTGGGGACCATCTGTCCTAATTGTGGACGAGTGAGTATTGCTAGATGGCATCTTAACATCTCTATTTTATATAGAGTTTTATTTATTTTATTTATTTATTTTCGCATTTTCAGAGACCACATGTTTCCTGCCAATATCTGTCAGGCCAGCGATGATCTGGGTTATGTCAACCTGATGCCATCATTTGGTCTGAATGTATATTCCATGCTTAAACACGACACACTGGTGCTAACAGTGGCTGCAGTGAAACATCTGGAGCAGCGGTTGCTTTACCAACTCCATCGCAATGATGCCGCCAGTAAGGGTGGAAAGTTCAAGCTGGATCAAGTCTAGACGTTAAGAGTGCTAAATCCTTTTGTTTTTCTGTAATCTTTATAAATGCCAGATAATGCATTGTAAAAAAGATAAAATTTTGGAATTCATCGAAGACTATTTATTTCTAATTTAAGCTGAAAGGCCTAAATGGATTAATTTAGGTTTAATAAATACTGAAGGGAATTTAAATATTTCAGTTTCTTTATTTTTCATAAAGAGGCAATATAAAAGTTTTTTTTTAATGTGTAACAAATCAACAGCTTGAACCGTATCAAAAACAACTTTCCAATTTCAAATGCTTTATTTTATTGAATATAGGCATCAACAAAAATATTTTTTTCCTTGTCTAAATTCTTTGCCACGGTGACCAAAGGATCCTTATCCTTATCAGATACCAGAATCTCACAAGTCCCCTTTAGACACTCCGCCAATTTAGGTGAGAACTGAGTAAGGAAACCCCTCTCAGAATTACTATGATTGCAGAGCAGCACGGTAGTGTTATTATGGGTAAACTCAAGTAGTTCGTGATGCGACATTTCGCCGGTGATAATGAGATCCGCACGGATTCCCTTTAGCAGTGATCCTCCCGAACCGGCACAAATGCCCACAGATTTGATCAGTGTGTTGGGCTGGTGGTTCACAGCTGAAGCAATTTGCACACTGTTTTTGATGTGTTTTTGCAAAGATTCCACTATCTGGGAGAGCTCCAATTCGGTTTCTATAAATCTGCCGGATCCTGTGCCCGGTGGAGCTCCCAACTCCGGTTCAAGAGGACGGATACTGATTATCCTATTCACAGCCTCTGATAGCCAATCATTCACGCCACCATTCGCCTTATCCCAGGCCGTATGGGGTGAATACAAAGCTATATCATTGGCCAAACAGGCGGCCACAACTCGTTCCTTCCAATGAGACTGAGTAATTCTAGTCAGCGGCTTAAAAATCGGCGGATGGTAACTGATTATTAGCTGCACATCCTTCTCCAAAGCCTCGTTTATCACAGGTTCGGTTAAATCATTAGTTAATAGTATTTTCGTGATTTGTTTTTCCCGGTGCGGTTCAATTAGGAGTCCCACGTTGTCCCACTTCTCAGCCCACGAAATTGGCGCAAAGTTTTCCAGCTCCTTGACCACAGTCGCCAGTTTTTGACCACTATAAGAGCTCATCCTTCTTAGCATGCCTTTCCGTCAACTTATTCAAATACTCAAAATATAATAAAAATATTTTAAGAATCGTGCGAAAATTACTTTTGCTAATCTTGGTGATGCCAACTTTTTTCCATTCGCTATTACGTTGTTGAGGTTACAGCTATGTCGTTACGTTGTTTGATTTGGCGCAGTTTTTAAAACGGGAAACAAAAAAATTAATTTGTATATTTCTTGTAATTTGATTTTATATCCTTTACATAACTAATAAATTACATTTAGTTTTTTTATTTTTCTTTATTTTTTTATTAAAACTATAACATGTAACATTACATTATTGCTGAAACCAAACTATTGCCTAAATTTTATTATTAGTCACTTAAATTATAGTTACGATAGTTAATTATAGTTAGTTCAATAAATTATTTTGAAATTAACGTTTTTTTCTTTTAATTTACCCAATAAAGCAAAAATAAAATTATTTAATATAAAGCAATGGGTTACGAAATTTGATGTAAAAAATATAAAAATATAAAATTATTTAATGTCACTTAAGCTTATTATTTGCGATTAGCCTAAAAACCCAAAGGTAACAAATAAATAACCCTTAATATGTAAACATCAATCGGAGTGTTAGCCTAGGTATTTATGTATATAATATTAAATAATTAAATTAAAGTCAAAGCCTGAAAGAATAGCTGCAAAGGCCGTTAAACTAAAAGTATTGTAATTCAAATTATTTTTAGAATTATTAGAATATTTTGCTAGATTTTTGATAACTTTTTAAAAATATAAATTGCAAAAAACCCTATTATTTTTCAAGAATTTCAGATAATTATAATGATTATACACTAATAAGCAGTGCTTTTCACTTTTTACTTTTCATGAACTGTAAAAATTCCAAAATAAGGGTTACGATTGGAGAATTCATGAAGCAAAATTTCCAAAGAAATTAAATGAACGCCGCTTTGGTTTTTTAGTACAAGAAATACCCCTCAAAAGGAGATGACAAACATTGGAAATCCCTTCAATTTTATAGTCATGATTTCGCTTAGCTAAAGTTTCTTGTTTAATGTATTCTTCTTTGAATAATATTATCAGTGAATGGTTGTAATAACCTTATTATTTCCGAAGCAATGCAGTATAGATTGATTAAATGTTTAAAAAACCCAAGAATTTCCCAAGAAATTCAGACGATTTTGTGATGGAATGTGAAGAACCGAAAAGGCGTGAAGACCAGGTAGATTTCTCTCAAATACTTCCGATTTCAGATTTCAGAGAGTATCCTGCGCAGCTGACTCAAAATCATTTTCGCTCCGTCACCTAAGCGGGTGTTTTTCCCAATGTTTGTCGCCCCGACGTTTCATACGCGTTTTGCACACTGAGCTCTTAACATCACATCTCACTACGTATTGTAGAACTCACCGATCGGCAAGTAAAAAGTATAAATATATATCGCCGCTGCTGTTGTTGTTTTTGTAACTGCTCGCTTCTTTTGTTGTTGCTGGGCGATTTGAACTTGGCGCTCCGTAGGCGATCTGGCAACCATGTCGGCTCTCACTAATACACGAACATTTTGAAGGGGGCACACCCACACAGCTCCAAAAAACCCAAAACGGCATACTCTCGCATTGCCTCTTGCTCTCACATTTTGTTTTGATACCACATACATTTATAAGCGCAATGTAGATTGGCCTAGCTCGCTCCCCGATGTCAATTCGTATCGAAACTTGAAAGAAAGCAGACGTGTGCACGGGTACTATGCGAATTGCAGATTACAAATTAATTTGAGCTAAATACAAAATAAAAACGCGTGCTAAGACAAACTTTGCAAGACAATTAACCAACAAGGTAGTGAAAAAAAACATAGCAACTAGTGTTTAAATTTCAAACAAAGAAAAAGGAATTGAAAAAAGGAAGCTGAAAAGGGAGATAAAAATCTCCATCTGTGTATCTGTGCATGTTTGTGTCTGTGTGTGCGGGTGAAACGAACGTGTAAGGGCGAATAAGACGTTAATGAATCTAAAAATGAAAAATACCTAACCAGATTAAAACGTTACTTTTTTATGTTTCTGTGGCTACACTTTTATATAAAAATTATAAATTGCTTTAATCTACAAAAAATTATTGCGTTTTCACTTGTTCGTTAAAGTATATATGTTTGTTTCACTCGCACTTATTTGTAAGCGCTTACTGTTCGTGCTTATGTGTGAGTGAGAGACAGGGAAAGAGAAAGAGAGAGAGCGCTTAAGACTAAGCTCAAAAGCAAAGTTCAAAACGATAAATATATATATATATATATGTATATAACATATATATATTTACAGCCCAACTGAGAGAGTCCGGAAAAGCACGAAAATGCCGAGCCCAACAAAAGCAGCGGAGGCAGCAACAAAGGCAACAGCAACAAGTGACTGCAGCTGCAGCGCTGCCAGTGTTGAGCAGCGTGCCCCCCCAAACACAGCTAACCCCTCATCCTCACAACCCACTAGCGGTAAATTTGGCGGTAAAACACAAGATCAAACGGCCGCCATTAACAAGCAAAAGGAATTTGCTGTGCCAAACGAGACGAGCGATTCGGGCTTCATTTCCGGGCCGCAATCCTCGCAGATCTTCAGCGAGGAGATAACCTCCGAATCCGAGGAACAGCAGGATAAGGATCAAAAACAAAACCGGGAGGACACAAAAAAAATACAACCCGTTGTTCTCGATTCCGGCATTATAGACGAAGAGGAGGACCAAGATCAGGAACAGGACAAGGAGGAGGAACACCACCAGGACACCACCGCCGATTCAATGCGACTCAAACACAGCACGGACACAGGCATCCCACAATGGACCGTCGAAAGTCACTTGGTCAGTCGCGGCGAGCAGCTCAACAATCTCGGCCAAAGCAGCAGCCAAATCTCGGGCAGCAAGGTCCAATCCTCCACAGCAAGCACCACAAATCCGAATCCCTCAGGAACTGGAGCAACCTCATCTGCTCCTCCTAGCAGCATCAACATCATGAATGCCTGGGAGCAGTTCTATCAGCAAAATGACGACGGTGACACGTAAGTAAACACTATACGAAATCGGGTTTTAATCCGAGTAGACGAATCAAGTTCAAAACTATACCTTCAAATGGCTTCAATTATTTCAATAGTATATAAGATCAATTTATATATTTTATTTATATACGTTTTTTTTCTTGATTTATAGTATTATATGCAGTAATAATAAAAAAATAAAAATATTTAGTGAAAAATATTTCTGATATTCCCTCAACAAAATTTTGACCCATAGATAATTTTAAATCGAGATTTCCTTGGACTTAGGAGCTTATCACAATTTGTAATTTTTTTTTGTGTTAAACTTTTCCATGCTAAGATCCTTCAGAGTTCACATATTCTTTCACTTTTTTTATTATAATTTCCTAGTTTTATTATAAAATCAAAATAAATTTTGTAATTTTGAATAATATTGAAGGTCTATATTTAGGCAGTCATAAAAACAAATCATTTTTGAATAACCCACATTATGCAAATAATCATTGAACAAGTATTGCTACTTAATTAGTACCAGATAATATTCATATATTTTATTAATATTTTCGGAAACGTTAAGATCTACGATAAAGTGGTAATTTTATTTAAGACAAATTCACGAGTCTTACAGTCGACAAACTAATCATACATACATTTGAAGAATATGTTCAATGGCTACTGTTTATTGTCCTAAATGACTTTTAAACTTACTGCTCATGCGGTTATAGATTTATAGCTTAATCTTTGAATCATTGCTAAGTTTCTTTGAACTTGTACGTGATGTATTTCCGATGAGAATTTCAAAATTTCCCAAAATAACAAAGACATCCCAGCATTTGCACTGACCACCGAGCGAGCTAAGGGGAGAGTTTTGTGAATCACTCAAAGACCATTGTCTGAGGCGAGAAACGCGACTGACACATGTGTTTTAGTCAGGCTTTGGGGTTTTCCTGGTATGTGGGCAGGTACGGGAACAGGTTTTTCGGGTCACCTCTTCTTTCTTCACCTTACTATACCTTAACTTAACTTACTTGGGTTTTTACGCCGCCACATGTAAGACAACAAGTGTACAGGAAGGGAAAAAAGTGCGGGTACCGAGAGGCAGGTAAATAAACCCACAAATTCATGTCGTATCTTTTCCTCTTTGTATTTTTCAGACCTCTGCACCTGGCCTGTATTTCGGGATCCGTGGACGTTGTAGCCGCGTTAATTCGCATGGCACCGCATCCGTGCCTGCTCAACATCCAGAACGATGTGGCCCAAACTCCCCTTCATCTGGCCGCTCTGACAGCCCAGCCGAATATCATGAGGATACTGCTGCTGGCTGGTGCTGAGGTAATATTTTGCGAATACTAAAATGATAAGCTTTAAAAATCTTGGCCTCATCACAATCTTTATTTGGGAGTTACTATTTTCTTTAAATAAATACATATTTTCATTTAACTTCACATATAATCTCTATCAGCTATTAAAATCCAATCATTATTAAATTCCCTCATATTACTCATTTGAATAGCCCACGGTACGCGATCGTCATGGAAATACAGCCCTGCATCTTTCCTGTATCGCCGGGGAAAAGCAGTGCGTCCGTGCCTTGACAGAAAAGTTCGGAGCCACGGAAATCCACGAGGCCCACCGACAATACGGACATCGTTCCAACGACAAGGCGGTCAGCTCCCTGAGCTACGCTCGTCTACCCGCCGATCTGGAGATTCGCAACTATGATGGTAAGTAAAGTCATATATTATCTGACCTAAGTGTATACCTTTTATTTTTATTACTTCGAATACTTTACCATAGTGAAATTTTCCGCAGACTACACTACATAGTCTTTCCAAAACTGTAGGAATTTTTTGGTTCTAGTATTATTTTTGGCCCAGCATTTTCTGGCATTTATCATGAAAATTATGAATCTGTGCCAAAAGTGTACAAATTATATAGCTCTATATATATTTGATGTCCCGCCAACGGCTAGCCACAATGCGAGACATTGTCGTCTACCATATAGAATGTACATATATACGTTATAGACGTACATATGTACATTTTGTTATGGGCTATATAGACGCCTTCGAGCAGATGCCAAAAATACATTGGCCTCCCCGACACATTTCGCTTGAAATTTTCGTTCGTCAAATGGTAAAAGCAACAACCCCACTACACATGCCCATTCCACATTTGCGTTATTGATTAACCAAAATAAACGGAAAAGGCTCAGAGCATTTGCACAGTTTCAGACGTCAGCAAAGTATAATAAAAACAATTTTATACAAGGATGGGTAAATATTTATTTGTTTGTAGGATGGAGAATCAGACATACATTTACAAAAGGTTTTTGTCGAAATGGAAATTAATTAATTTGCTTTGTTTTACTCTCTCGTCTTAATTTCGAATGCATTGCATCGAGGAAATCACTTTAAATTAAATTTATTTTCCACGCGTAAAGACAGGCGTGTTCCATCATTAGCATTTGTTTCCTTATTTGATTTTGCTCTGTATTCGCGGAGCAGAAATCGAAATATCGATTCGAAAGCCGGGATGAGGGGTTGCCACCCACACACTTTATATAATATGTGGGAGTACTCGAGAAGGGTTCTAAATTTGAATTTTTATTAATAATCCATACATTGTAGCACATTGGATGCTTGCCAAAATTTCTGTTGCACAACGATTTGTGGTAGTAAATTACAAGTTGAATCTTATTTTCAATATATTTTAGTTTGAAAAATAACAAAAATGTAAAATTTTAATTTTAAACACAAAACATACTTATTTTATTGAAAAAAGTAAAAGTTTTCCTTAAATTATTTTTCCATAAAGGTTAATAAACTTGTCAGCAAGTGTTGCAAAATCAAAGATATTTGTTTTTAACCTTTCGTTTGTTTAATCGATTCCTATTGGCCTTTTTGGCTCTCTGGTTTTTTTGGTACGCATAACCTTGCCAAAAATAAAATCCGAATTCGTGAGTGGCAAACATTTGGTGAACAAACATTTTTTTACCCGTCGGCCAGCTTTAAGCAGCACCAACCGGTTTGAGCTCCACAAAACAGCTGCTCCGCATATAGAGGATATATAGATGCTATATATAACCTGCTCGTACAAGACACATAATATATTTCGGCTAGCCAAAAGCAAAAGCGCAGACATTTCCGACAAAAACTATTAAAAACCAACAAAGCAAAAAGAAACGAGACGGGCAGACGCTTTTGAGCATTTCGCCTATTTGAAATCTCTGGGTTTTCCCACTGCCACAGCATTAAATTCGAAAGCAATTTAAAATATTCCGGGCGGGACTTCGGGGGCAGTTCTGTGTATACGAGGCAGATTACTAAATAAACACAGAGGCCCTCAGAATATATGGTTTAAAAGCGATCTACTCCAGTAATTGACGTCAGCATCTTTCTCTCTCTCGGGGGGCATAAACACACCCCCAGAACTAAAAAGATTGTTCAATTTTTCAATCACCATTCAAATTTGAGCATTGATTTGTGCAAGAATTTCCTGAATACTTAGTCAGTAATTTTAGTGCTATTCCAATATTCCTATATTTAAAGCCTTTAGACATTCCCTTCTAAATACAAATGAAGTGCTACTGAAAATGTATTTCAGCGTGTGCGACAAAAATAGGCCACATTTTCCTTTTTGGCCAAATGCCAAGCAAGAGCAGACTTTAAAAGAATACAGTTAAAGAAAAACAAATAAAACCTATAGAACAATGATAACATTAAGCCGATTAAAGGCACAGACAGAAACGGAAATTGGGAAAGGTTCGTTATCAAGAAACAGAGACCACCACCTCCAAAAATAAAATATTTCTGTATTTTCTGGAAATCCCCACAATAGTAATTATGGCCAAATGCTTAGGGGCCAACCAAACGCCCATAACTTGGCCGTAATCCATTTTTGGGCTCATTACTGCGCCTGGCACGCAACTGGGAAATGGACTCCGATTATATAAATAAACGCACGCAAGGCTCTCGAGGACAGGCCCTATAAATAGCATAGGACTTCTTTCAGTAGTTCGCTTGACAACTTTGTTTGCGTTGCTCTTTGGAAAACCAAGAATGCCAGAAATTCCCATTATTGATAATAAATGCCTGAAATGGATTGATTGTGATTCGGTTATCAGTAAAAATAAAATATTGCTGTACAGGAGCTGTGACGTTTTGAATCTATCAAGCCGGGATTAATGGATTTCTAGGAAAGCAAACAGAGTATGTTGCATTTATTCCAATAAATAATATGGTAAATTCCCTTGGGTACGGGGAAGACAGAAAACCTTCTGGTCTTATCGGTCTTTTTTGTGAGCAATAAACACATGCCGGTTAAACCAAAACCAGGGAAATTCAGAACTACACATTTGTCCAGCATGTGTGGGGTTTAGTGTTAATACATATCTTTATTTAAACGAAGAACCCATGAAATCTGAGGCCTGGCAACTGAAATCACAATTAAGAGCAGTCACTCCCGTACTTCCCCGGCTGATAAGCTGGCACAAAAAAAGCAAATGAGATATGTCCAGCCTTGTTCGATCGTCAGCAGACATTGGTAACTGGGAACCGAGCGTTATCATTGAGGAAAACCCCATAGGTGGTCGTTTACCGTGCGATTATACGATACTCTCTACATTCAACGAATTGCGCTCTCCAACGTCCTCGTCCCCCTTCGCATTAAAAAAGATAACTGAGTATTATCAGTGTGCAGGTTTTACCACTCAGATATTACGCTTTTTACTAGGGATCTTAACCATATGGGCTTTAAACGTCTCGTGTTCTGGAAAAAAAACTCGGAAACCGTAGAAACCCGCTTTAAAATCATGAGTTGGCGGAAATTCAAATTGCCACATAAAAAACGGCTATATGATGAATGGGAAAGAAATAAGTGCACAATTACCGTCACCGCAACTCTAAAACCAAATATCTTGAACTTTCGACTGCATCTGGTACTAAAATATGGAAACCTAGCAAATTGGTCAAGTTAAATCAGCCTTACAGCACAAAAAAACCCGTTTTTGGTATTAATTGAGTGTTCATGATTTATTGACATCTCAGATCTACGACATTCTGGAATCTGTCGACTATCAATGAGCTTTACATCGATGCATATAGTACCCATAAACAATAACAAATTAGTCATGAACGATTGGCAGAGAGACACAAGGTTAAATCTGAACTCTCCCGTTTTTGCAGCTGTCTCGAACGAGCCGAGTGCTTGGACTATGATATACCCACTGAAAAGATCGCATTTCTCATTCTCCTCAAATCGCTGTCTCATTTCCTTATTAAAGATTTGAAATCAACTTAATCCGCTTAGCTTTTGGGTGAATGTAAAAAGGTTTATTCAATTTGTCGAATAGCAGATAAGGCTAGGGTTATTTCTAAAACGGAAACATTTCTTTCTAATTTGACTAATTCTTTTCTGAGAGTTTCAAGAATAATATTTGGGTAAATCCAGATTCCAAGTTTGGTGACTATAGTTTTAACTTTTTTAAAAACTCAAAAAGTATTCAGTTGAACGGACTGCGGCCAAGGTTAAATGAGTTTTAAAAACGGAAATGTGTACTTCCCTTTTTTGGTTCCGCTCATTTTATTACTTATCAGCTGTCAACTTTGAATGATCTTAAGTAGTTCTTCTTATTTTAATGATTATGTAGATATAGATATACGAGTTTATTGACTTAAAGGTTCTTTAAATTACCGTGTTCTATTATTCACCAACAGCTTGTAAAGTAGAGACTTCTAGCACATCGAAAGTCATTTAACACTAACTTCCTCTTTTTTATAAGGTAAACAATGCTTAATGAGTAGCGGTGTAAGAATAATACCAGAAACTTACAATGAGCTCATGCTAATTGCAAAAAAATAAAAACAAAGTGAAGGAAGTTAAGTAACATAATGAATAATACCTGACATTGGAGGAAAATCCTAACTGCAACTGAGTTGACAAACAGAAAAACCTAGTGCCGATCTCCTTCTCGCTGCTGACCTCGTTGGGATTTTCCCCAAATTCCGTTTGCCCCTTAATTGCTGCGTCGTGTTTTCTTTTTTACTTATTTCTTTTATTTAATTTCTACTTTTTTAAAACTTTTTGTGCAGTCCCACACGTGGCTGACGATCCCCGGCTGATTTTGGTTGAGTCGGGTGTTATTTGCATTTCGCATTCATAGCTCGAAAGAAAGTCAACAAGGCGAATCCGCTGACATAACGATCGAGCGATATATATAGTTATATGGTGGATTGGGCGGGAGGGTGATCATGGGGGAACTAACTGAGCTGAGCTCAAGTTGCTTTCAAAACACTTTCATTGCCAAGTCAGTCGTCGTCGTCGTCATGGCATGGAAAATCCATGGCTTTAATTGTGCTAAATTGTGCTGTTTGTTTTCGCTTCATTTGGCGGCCGGCTGCAGCCCGCTATCTGGGTTTTTCACTTTACTTTATCTAATTTCCACATTGGGAAAGTTCGAACATAGATATGTATGTACGTACATACGATATAAATTGCCCAACGGCGCCCAGAAGTCTTTGGGGTAAACAACTTTTAATTTGATATTGTCTTTTCTCCCGACTTTTGGCTGTTTATGTATTTATTTTTGGGGTATTTGCCAGCCAGTCGTATTTGGACAGTTGGCATTAATTTCATTGGCCATGTCTTGTGGGTCTTTGTGGGTTTTGGGCCAGGTAATTCCCCTAATGGCCTGGTAACTTCACATGGCACGCGTTTATGTGGAAAACTGGAGACAGCTTTCTGACAATTCCGACTTCAACAAATATTACGAATACTTGCACCCCAACGTAATTGTATAATTATGAATCAATGACCCAAACTGAAGGACAAATAAGATTGCCAACCGGGGAATACAAGAGATAAATATTTGAAACAAAAAAAATAAAAATGTTATATGCAAAAAACCCGTTGTAGAAATACCAAAACTCTGCCCCAACAATAAACACAATTAATTAAAATTAAGCGAAGACAGCGTTGCGTTTAATATTTGCGCTGTCAATAAATTTATGAACTTTGCGACTTCGGGTGACTTGTGGAGTACTCTTAACTGCGCCGTTGGGTTTTTCTCATAAGGTCGTTGTCGATATCGTTGCCTTTTTTGCCGCCTGTGTAAATAGTAACAACTTCGTATCGTACATGTTAATGGATGCGGGTTGTTGTGTTGTTGTTGTATTATAAAGGGGAGGTAGATGGTACGAGGAGCGATCGGATCAAGTGGGCGGTGGTGCCATTTGTGAAAGTGTTTAGGTTGTCAAGTGTCGAGCAAATAGAATTTCCCATAATGCGCAGTTCTAAAAGATTTCATAACGGTCATTAATTGGTAGAACTCGAATCCGATTACAGTAATCCCTGCCAAAGTAAATACTTTTCAGAAATGTTTAGGATTTTTGTAAGCTTGTCGTATTAAATTATAACTTGTAATTTGTTAAACATAACATCTTTAAGAAAAAATAGTTTTTCTTTGTTGAAATGTATTTATATTCCAGTTTCTATTATCTCTACCTCATGCTGTTTATTTTTGTTTATGCTTGTCTTTTTTAAGACGTGACATCAAGTTTAAAATATTCATGGAGTGATAACATTATAATTTTTGAGTTCACAAAAATTGAATTTGACAGTCGTGTTTATAATGCACTAATAAAAATATTGTGCTAAAAATATTTCTGACAATTGAATCAATTAAAATTTTCATTGCTTGTATAATTTAAAACGAAAAGTTCAGTTTTTATCCCTTTTTCGACCGTATAGATCATATTATTGAGCAATCATCGTATTTTATTTCTGGTCTAACTGCTTTCTGGAGACGTGTCTTCGCCTCAGACTTGCTGGCTAAGACGACGGCTTATAATCCGGGGGATCTTGTGACGCAGCCTTCTGTCCGGTGATGGGGGAATTCCCAAAGCAAAACGAAGTTTGAAACAAACTTTTGTGTTTCATATTTCATGTTTTATACTGCCCGGTTCGTCTATTAATATCTAATATCTTTGTGTATACATAGGTCTTTAATCGTATGCTAACGATTGGCACGTTGCTGTGCTGAAAAGGCAACAACAACGAGGATTGTCTTTTACTAGCTCATCGGCTTCTCTTTTAGTTAGTCGAGCTTAAAAATCTCCATGTGATCATCGTTATTTTTATCTTGTGACACAATTGTTGCTTTTGTAAGCTGTCAAGTCCGAGATTAATAAAAAAAAAAAAAAAAAAAATAAAACTGGGCTGTGTAGAGCTGATGACTTTCTTGGGTCGCTTTCTTTTGCAAAAAAAGATTTGGATCCGAATTCCCGTGCATAATTGGGTTTTTAATCCCTGAGATTACCTCGTATTTATTGTTTTTCCAGAGTTCTAAGGTTATCTAACTTGTTAGGACTGATTCAATGGTGGAATTTTTAGTGTATTATCACAGAAAGTTCTCGGATTGAAGATAACAAAAGTTTCCTAGCGGAAATCTTCGTCTGGGCATGTAAATGTGTGCGATTTATGCAAATGTGCCAACCGTTTGTGTGTGAAAGTCAATCAACAGCACGTGTAGCACAGCCGCAAAAAAACGCTAAAAACTAAAGAAAAACCCGGCAAAAGCAGTAACAACAACTACTACGTCAACTAATCATAAAGCCATAAAAGCGAAGGCATGGAATACAAAAACAAACAGAAACTAAACAATTCACCTTTGTTTTCAGTTTTTTTTTTCATTTAGTTTTTTAGGCATACTCTGTATGCGAACCACAACTCGATCTGAAAATCAGAGAATCGATTGAGGAAGAATCTGTAGAAGCAGGCGAGAAAGAAATAAGAAAAAGATAAAACTATGACTCGCTTTTATTATTTAATTTTTTATTTCGCACTATCTTGTTTACTATATGTGTATATATAGTGATTATAAACATTTGTTTTCTATTTTTTTTATAAAAATATACATGCTATAAACGCACGAGAGCAACTGCAACTTACATATTGTCAGAACTCAGTCAATTCGTTTCCAAAATGTCAGTTTAATTATGGAATATTTTTTGTATGTGTTCGTTCGTTCATATGTATATCAGTAAGCTATATGGTCAAACCAATTTGAACTTGAGCAAACTTGTTGCCGAAGCAGAAACCAAAAAGCCAACTTTGTATTTGGTTTGTTAACTTAACTTAACGCCAACTGTTTGATTTTTATTTTATTGTATTTTTTTTTTCACCGCTTTACCTCGTCACTCGCCTGTTTTATTGTGGGAATTTCTTGGGTTTTTCAACGCACACCAATGCTTGTCGATCGGGCACACAGATACTCGAATGCGAAGTCAACGGGTTGTCATATTGTCTTATAAGGCAAAAGCCTCCATTTGGCACCCAGGCCCCATCCCCTGAATACCTCTCTTTCCACATCCAGTTGGTGATTGTCGTAATCAAAGCTTTTTTGTTCGTATTATAAAACGCTACTTGTTTTACAACGGAAAACAGCTTTTTTTCCACAGAGGAAAAGCTTTCGAAGAAGTGATCGAGTTTCATTCATAAATCAAGCTTTTTCGATCCACAATGGTGTGTAAATTATATACAAACCTTTAAACACGTTTAAGCTTTTATTATGATTTATAAATATCTATTGTGCCATTATTGGTCATTAATATGACGACCTTCAATAAAGATTGGCCCAAGATCACCTTGAGGTGAAAAAACTGTGTTCAAATCTGATAAAAATACATTAAGAATCTTTAATATTTTAAAATTATAGGCATAGTAAAAAATAAAAAAATGTAAATTGCTTTAAAAATATATCAGATTACTAATTAAAGGATCCTTTTCTTAAATTCCAGGAGAGCGCTGTGTACATTTAGCTGCCGAGGCGGGACATATCGACATCCTCCGCATTTTGGTATCCCATGGAGCCGATATTAACGCTAGGGTAAGTTGAATATTGAACTCAAATGGTTCGAGTGTTTAATTTATTTTTTAACTATTTTTATAGGAGGGCAAATCGGGCCGAACACCGCTGCACATTGCCATCGAGGGTTGCAATGAAGATCTGGCGAATTTCCTACTTGATGAGTGCGAGAAGCTGAACCTGGAGACCGCCACCTTCGCCGGTTTGACGGCGTACCAGTTTGCGTGCATCATGAACAAATCGCGTATGCAAAACATTCTGGAAAAACGCGGAGCGGAAACCGTAACGCCACCAGACAGTGATTACGACAGTAGCGATATCGAAGATCTAGACGATACTAAGGTGAGCGTCACAGCTTAAGAAAATGTACCAAGAAAAGATATCGTAGAGTATAAGACACAATTTGAAATGGGCCACCACCAGCTTCCAAAATGTTCAAAAAATAAATAAGAAAGAATTTCCAAGCTGAACTGGTATTCAGTTGGAAAAAATTGTTACACTTGAGTAATGAACTATTGTAACACAAATGTATTGTTAACCAAAAAAATTTAATGAAAAAGAAAAGAAAAAAAGCAAACATCATATGAGATCAGCAAGTAAAGAAAATAGACGCACTTAATTGATTAGGGGATCTATGTTTTAGTAGAGCCCATTAAAAACAAATCGAACCAATACATTTATGCTCTTTGTAAACGATGCAAAGACAGAACCACACACATGATTCCGCTTCATCGTTTACAAGAAGCTCTGTGGACAAACCATAGATAAATACCATATTATCTGAACAACAATTTTTAAATTGATTTACTTGTATATTAGTAAGGGAATGCACTGTACCAATTTATATTATTTTAAGCTGTCCAATGTAAAGTTCGATGTTTCTTGCTATTTCTCTACTCTTACTTCTATATATTTTTATGCCTGTGTCTGAATGTTTGTAATTTTTGTATGTGCGTGCTCGTATGCGTGAACAATAAACTAACCTATTATACAAAATGGAATCAGAAATTGTAGTACTAAGGTAGATAAATCTAATTAATGTTTTCATGTTCTGAAGGAAGAAAATGATGTTGCAAAATAAATATTTTAATCAAAAAAATATTAGCAAAAAAATTTGAAATTGAATTCGATGTTCTAATGGATATTAAAGGTTTGTAATTCTGTCTAGATTTCAAAAATGTTCCCCTCATCATTGTTTACTTGTTCTTGTTATGTTGTTTGCTTGTATTATCGCTTGTTGTGGCTTTCGTTTCAGTTGACAGTTTTCCCTAACAATTATTTTTCGACTTAGTTTTAACCCGCTTTATATGTGATCCTCTTGTACTTACAGATGTACGATCGCTTTGGTGATCCGCGCTATTTTGTCAGCTACAACGGTATCAATCCCATGACAGTTGCCTGAATGCCCCATCCAATCTGTACATACGATTTAGACTAATCATACACATACCTACAATTAACACCACCCGAATTTCCAACATGGTTTTATTGCTGTTCCCAAAGGCACACTTTTCCTGCCCCGAAATGTATGCAATATTCCTCGATACGTTCACAAACAAATCCAAGAAGTGGAAACTAATGTACTTACTATCCCAGCAAGTGGACACCCAAAACGAATTAAATTCCTTGTGTTAACGATAGTATTTAGAACAAAATAAAGCATACAAGAATGCAGAATGTCAAGCATTTTATTTATACGCACACAAACTTAACTCTAAGAAATAAAAGTAATCGACAAAATTTATTTATTAATATATCAGTGGGGGTAACATTTAATGATTTATCCATAATTACAAAAAATCGAAACTTGGAACGGGAATAAATAAATTGGCAAAGCAAAATATAATTGTCTAGAATGGAAAAATTCCCCTTCCGCTTTTTAAACATAACTCTCAAATAAGCATTCAAGGCGGTGAATAAAGAGCTTCACCCAATGGCAGTTAAAACAGTTCTAGTGAAGGATTAATCCTTCTAACGGATGCTCTGCCGAAACACGCTCTGCTTGGCTTTGCTATTCGAAACCGCTTTTTTCGACGCCAAGGGATCTGGAGCAAAGCAGTTCCATAGGCGCAGAGTTTCGTCAGCTCCAGCGCTAATAACGGTGCTACCATCCGGTGACATGGCCATCTGCAGGACACGCGACGTGTGCCCAGTCAAATCGGCTTGCTTCACCATAGTTGGATACTTCCAAATTGTCAGTTGATTGTTGGCAAATCCATGGGCAGAAATCAGCTCCTTGTAATGACGGGAAAACAGCAGCGAACAAACTTGTGATTTGGAGTCTACAGATTTCATGAGAGTGCCATTGTTAACATTCCAAAATTTGATGCAACGATCGGCGGTGCCGCCTCCAGAGGCTAAAGTACTTGGTTGCCAGGGACACCAAGCCAATGCTCGCACTGCAGCTTGATGATCGTTGAATTTATGTAAGGGCTCGCTGGCAGTTCCCACACCACTGCTGGCCGCAGACCACACATTTACCAGATTGTCATTGCCTCCGCTGGCCAGATACTTGAAATCCGTTGACCATTTTAAACCACAAACCTCTTGAGTGTGTCCAGCCAGGGCGGACAACTTGTGATCCCGTGAACGCACATCATGATGAACAATGGTACCATCCCGACTGCCTGAGGAAACCAGAAACGAGTTCCAGGCCAAGGACCCCACTCGGGCACTATGTCCATCCATTACTCGCAGGCGCTTCACCTTGGAGCAGTCCCACAGTTCCACGGCACCAGTGCTGTTACCAATGGCTAGAATCTGACCTTCCTGGATCCACGAAAGAGATCCTGCGTAGTCGCCCTCCTCAAATTCAGTAAGCTGTTCAATATTTCCAGTCTGAGCGTTCCACAAATAAACGCAGCTGCCCAAGGCAACTGCCACAATGTTGTCGCCACTCCAATCCATAAGATTAAGATCTAAAAAGGACCAAAAATTATTATGACCAGTTTAATGTATTATAGTAATAAAAGCTAGCTGTTGACCTACAGTAATCATTGATGAAATCAGGTGCATCCAGAATTCTTTCTGATGTTGTGGGTATATAACGTGAGCCACTTTTTGTGGATATAGGCGTCTTTACGGAGTATACAACTTTCAAAGGATTGTTGTGGGTTTCCGGAGCAGCAGGGGCCTTATTTTGGTAGCATAAAATCCGCCCACCTTTTGAATCGCCGACCTGGGCCACCTCGGAAATTAGCTTCTGCCGTTCCCCCTTGTGAGCAGAAGCCTGGACATTACTTTCGTTGCTGTTGCTGGTAGTGGCCTTCTCGTTTTCCTCTTCAGACTTGTCGCCAGAATCTTTGTTTACCTAAATATAATAATGGCATGACAGAAATTTGAAACGACAAAAGAATTAAATCTCTGACCTCTATATCGGATATATCGGTCCTCATCGAGCCCAAAATATTTAGTTGTGAGCAAAAACTGGCACCAATATATGGTGAAAAATCCTTACCAGAAAATGCGCCAACTCAAAGTTCGTAGCTGCACGATTCGGGATGAATCGATCTCCGCCCCCAGGCGTCTTGGTAGGCGTTGTTGTGGACTTCTTGGCTTTCCCCTCGTTGCTCTTTCCCGGTGTTTTGGTGGGCGCTTGGACTCCCGAAAAACTGGTGTTATAAGAGACAGACAGCACCGACCGGGTGGTACTTGCACTTCCATTAAGGGACGCCTCCAGCTTCTTCTTCCACCGAGGAGCAGGTCCTCGCGTCTCCCCATCCATGATCAATGCATTTTGCAAATCGCTTACAAAATTGAACTGCGACATGGTTTTACGATTACTTGAGTTGTTACGAACTTTTGTTATTTAATACACAATTGTTTAGTAATTGCACGTGAATTTTTTAACTTCATAGATCACTCAGATCAAATTTTCCTATTTTTTGATGCAATATAAATGGCGGTTCGATTTGGAAATACAATGTGACCGCACATAACTAGCTGTAAATAGTATTTTTCATGGATGGACAATAAAATAAAAAATACTAGAAAAAAATATAACACAAACAAATTTTCGAATACTCAATAAACAAAGTTTTATTTTATTTTGTGCTAATTCAATTTGGCATTTATTGATTATTATATATTTAATAGTTGACATTGTATGCTTAAGATTTTTCTATTGGTTTCCATTATTATTAATGCAATATTCGTATTTCTCTATTATATAATTTTACATTATTATTCGCCTTGAATATTTCCTCGTTGTAGTGTTACCAAAAACTTGAAACTTCCTTCTAATTTTATGCATCCCTGGCGCACAGCTGTCATCAACGCCGCCCTTGTAAAAAAAAAAAAGTGAGTACTACAATTTGAAGCTGATTTTTACGTAAATAATTAGCAAGTGACTTTGTTTAGCAATTCAAAAACGTGATCCAGCGATATTACAAGATGGCCTTTAACTTTACCGCCTTCACGTATATAGTGGCCCTGATTGGCGATGCATTTTTAATATTTTTCGCAATATTTCATGTCATTGCGTTCGATGAGTTGAAAACGGACTATAAAAATCCAATTGATCAGTGCAATAGCCTCAATCCGGTCAGTAAACTTCGTGTTTGCCTTTAAAGCTAGTCATTGTATTTATATTACTATACTTCAGCTGGTTTTACCGGAGTACTTGCTGCACATATTCCTGAATTTGCTCTTCCTGTTCTGTGGTGAATGGTTCTCACTATGCATCAATATACCTCTCATAGCCTATCATATTTGGCGGTAAGTGATTCACTTTACAAAGCAAAAGTGGCCTAAAAATCGTAGAAAGGTCGTTCATATAATACAAAATCTTAACTGTTACAATTTTATTGACTCCCCTTTCAGATACAAAAATCGTCCTGTAATGTCCGGACCTGGACTTTATGATCCGACCACAGTCCTAAAGACCGACACACTATCTCGGAATATGCGTGAGGGTTGGATTAAACTGGCCGTTTACTTGATCAGCTTCTTCTATTACATATACGGGTAATTTTAAATTATTTTACTATGTGGCCGGGTCTTCATTGTCTAACGATTCTCGCTAATTTTAGCATGGTTTATTCGCTCATCTCAACATAGAGGTTTGAGGCAGCTGCCTGGGGATCTCATTGTTGGCGCCAGCGCATCCGCATTGTGTATTAGTTGTCATAACTCGGGTGGAAGCCTCCCTTTTTGGAGAGATTCCGCCTCAACCGCGAACAATACTTCACTTGTAAATTTTAGTGTAAATTCATAAAAACATATTGCAGCTTTTTTTTTATAATTTGTAACCTATTGTCTGCAGTAAGAGATTCTAACGTATTTTTATTATTATTTTTGCATTTCGTTCGGTGCAGTTGGTTTTAAGCATTAAATAAAAGTCGAATCGAAGTAACTAATTTTTTATTTTTTCTATTTAGCTTGAGGGACAGCGGTGTCTTTAACTGAAGAAGATGAATATGGAGAAATCGGCACTTATGATAATAAAGATTATGAATGGGTCTTTAACTTATCAGCAGGGCAAACATAGATTGTCCAAGTTTTTAGAATTGTGTGGCAATGATTAGTAAGCACTTTTCCCTGTAATATACCTAAGTATAGATTTTCTTACTGTGGTATTATAACCCATAATAATGAAGTAAAATACCAAATATTAAAAAAAAATAAAACTTCAATTCATTTGCAGCTTATTGATATTCCGGCTCGTGCTCTTTTTAAATTACCTTAGTTTCCCGAAAAAATTACCCTTACATTAGTTTGTATTTATAACTTTATTTTACAATCGTTCCGTGAGGCCAGAGCTTGGAATAAAGAATATTGTGATTAAATTAAAATGCTGTATACATGGGTAGGTACATGGGGCTTTTAATGAGCAACTGGTGTTCGATTACGACATAAAAACAACGAAAAACAGGAAGAAGAATATGAGAACGCCAAATATCTTGATCATCAGCCAGCGATTCTTGGAGACTGACTGAAAGTATTTCAAAATCTCGCCATGAGCCGCCTCAATATTCAATTCCGCATCCGCCACATTCGTGTCAATGCGCTCCACGATCTCTTCCTGCTCCTTAACCATATGCGCCAGTTGCTGGAATATGCCACCCAGTTCCACGATGGTCGATTCTATATTTTGCATAGTTTCCGCTCTCTGTTGGACGTAGTTATCGGAATCATCATAAATAGCCATCTGTGTCTGGGTTGACAGGAGCGGTGTTGTATCGCTGCTTCCCATGTCTATGCTCACTGCTTGGTTCTCTTCGCTGAGGAGCAGCGATCCCTGCTTGGCTGTCGACGGAGAGACGGTGTGTGCCGCTAATGGACCTGGTCCCTGGCTAAACTGATCACGCCTCGTTTTCTGCTGCTTGAGATTTTCAGTGCGCACCTCCAGAATCTGCTTAAAATCCGTGCTCATGCTGGCTAGCTTGGATTGCAGGGCCAGTACCATGTTGGAGGAATGTGACACCAGGTGTTTGCCATTCGTGTGACGCCGCTGATCTTTAGAGATGTCCTGCAGTCGAGCGATCTGTTGATTCAACGCGTTGAGGTCGCCTTTAATGATGTACGTAAGCTCCTGAATCTCCTGCGGTCTGTCGTCGAATAGACTCTTCTTTTTGGCCACTGGAATGAATATTTAATAACTTAAGTATTATTATTAAAACTTTTAAAATTTTATGTAAATTATTTTGATTGCCAATGTCAATAGTATTACAATATATACTTTATATCTCTAAAATTACTTCGACTTTAACTAAAAAGGTTTTATGGTGAGTCCAGTACTTACACATGGTGAGCTTTTCTAGCTTTGCGTATGTACTAGCTATGTTCTTGCCGATAAACTTGGCCACCATCATGAACTCCGAGTAGCTCTGCACCTGCTTGGCCTTGCGGGGATCTCGGATATTGACTGCCCGAGTGATGTTGCGTGCCTGAAGCGATCGAATTGCATTCGCAAATTCGCCCGTCCGATCGCGTGCAGCCATGACGAAGATTTCTGGTTCTGGTTCCAGTTCCTGGTAATCCTCCTTCGGTTGGTAAAGCTGCGAGGTTGTTGGAATGGAAGTGGGATAACTATAGCTGTTTTGGTTATTATTGTTGATGCCTGGTTGGTTTCCGGTGACCACGGCGGCAGCGGCACTCAGAGTGCGGAGTGCTTGGCCAGAAAAGGCGCGCAGGTTCCACTGACGGGCCGCCTTGCCGTATTTGTCGTCGGAGTAGTCGGCTGTTAAAGATTCGCCCAACAGGTTTGTGTCTCCAATGTGAATGGCCGCCTCGTTAGCAGTCGGTGGTTGAATCTGGGACTGTGCTAATAGTCCCGATCCGCCAGCTGTTCCTGTACCCCCAGATCCTGCGACTGCTCCTCCCTGCTGGTCCTCTTGAATGGTATAAGTACTGCTGCTGTAATCCTGCTGGTCCGTTTGATGAAGGCGTCTTCGGGTTTGCATCTCATTTCAGATAGCAGCTTGTCCCAGGGAGTTGACGTTGTCGTTTTTTCATATGCACACAAATGAACTGATCTCTTGGACTTTCCTAGCTGTTGGCGAAATTTTTCCCTAGTTTTCCTCTTTCACAGCATTGGTTTCCCGTCGATTTCTCCACTCGGAAATTAGTTGGCAGTTTTGTGTGTCCTAAGCAAATAAAAATTTTGTGTTTCTTTGAGCATTTTCCTTGGGTTGCATCGAAAATGTATAGTAATTGTTAAAGATTGCAGAAAACCCACTCACACAGATCCACACACACTCATTTTCCATACACACAAGAACCCTCATCAGATGACAGATGACGATGACGTGTTGATATCTAAGCAACTATCGATAAGCACTTAAGTTGGCGGGAATTTGTTTTTCCGCTAAATATAAAATATACGGTAATTATGAGTAAAAGGCGAATTTACGACCTATAAAAAATCGAATGTTTTCAGAGCTGTAGTTGTTTAACTGTGGTAAAATAATTAACTTAATAAAATAATGAATCTAATTATATTATAGCTTTATAAGTATACAATAATCTTGTCTATTAGGTTACATTACTTACATTTTTACAAGCCAAATGGTTTGCACTATTTATTTCTTTTCAGCTAGAAGCTACGGCAGCACTGACAGGCACATATCGATAACTTACTACGAGCAACGCTAGTTTTTTTCTTTTCAACTTTTAATTCTTCTCTTAATTAAGCCAAATAAGTTAGCCATAGGTTATCAAAGAAAATGACACTGTATCACTTTGGAAATTGTGTAGCCCTGCTGACGCCGTACTACTTCACCTACAAATACTCGGGCCTGTGAGTTTCTTTCTGCCAAGTGTCAAGTCGCCACCAGGTCAATGAAAATATTTATGAAGTGTCCCGGTTTTTTTACAGGTCAGAATATGGGGCCTTCTGGAAGTGCGTTCAGGCGGGCGGCATTTACATATTCACACAGCTCGTTAAGATGCTCGTACTGGCCACATTCTTCTACTCTGATGCTCCCTCTTCCAACAACGAGTTCAATTTTTTCGCGGTGCGTGTGCTTATCTCTATATTTACCATTAGACTTTTATTAAGGTTAAGTGGTGTTTGCTTTCTGCTTTACAGGAGATCTTCCGCTGCAGCGTGGACATCGCCGATCTGCTTGGATTCGCCCTTATTTTAAGTCGCATTCCCGGAAAGGGGCATTCAAAACTTATTACTGCTGGACTTGGCTGTAGGTCACCAATATCTTATTTAATCCCAAATTTAAAAGTCCGAATGCCAAAACATAAATTATGCCTTTTCATTCAGTTGGAATAAGATGCTTTCAAAGTTACCTTTACCTTTTTTTTTATCTTTTAATATCGTAAGCCTATGTTTATAATATCAAAAACTATTTATACAATCCTTTCCTGCAGGGGCCACGGCCGAGGTCATTCTATCTAGAGGCATCATGCTTTGGGTGGGAGCCCGCGGAACGGAGTTCAGCTGGATTTACATTCTCAAGTGTTTGGAGTCAAATGTACTTCTTGTGCAGCACATAAGCACGGCCACTCTTATCTGGCTGTTCACCCGCCACGATTTAAATAAAGCGCTGAAACCGCTGGTTAGTCTGCTGCTGGCGGTAACTGTTTTCAAGGGCGTCTGGCTGGAGGGCATGCTCCATATCCTCACTATTGGACCCTGGCTGACGGTGGCAGTGAAAGCGCTGGTGGCTGCCGTAATTGGATTCTGCACTCTGCATATATATTCTGGTCTAGCCCAGCAAATCGGCATTTAAATAAGAGAGCCAAAAACTTTGTATTCCTTATGTTCTGTAACTTGTTTATTTTGGTGTTGTCATAAAGAGAATGAGATTGTGTAACAAAGACAACAATTACGGTTTAGAGAATTACTCCAAATGTTATTGAATTATAGGAGCTATAACGTAATAGTAACAAAAAAGGTACATGAGTTTCAATGGGAACAAAGAAGTATATTTAATTAATATTAAAGTTGAGGTGATAATAACAATGAAAACCAATATTTGTATTTTTTCAAAAACCAAAATTATAGTTTTTCCAACTATTGAAAATAAGCCTTTTAGCTTCGACATCTTTGCCAATTTCTTAAAGACAGCGAAAAAGTGATGGTTATGAAATAGTTTAAAGTCTTTTTCGAAGACTACAATTTCAGCTTAAGCAGTAGTAACTACGATAACAAATTATTAACAAAAGCGACGTTTGAAAGGAACAATGAAAATAACATGTCATGGGGCACCGTACACCAACATAACAATTCCAAAGTTGTGACAATTGCTAACAGTCTTTATAAGATTTTAAACAATATTTAGAAACTATCTATTAGCTTGACACCCTTTCTTCCTAGAGTAATTTGGTCCATTTCAAGGGAGTTACCCCGCTTTGAGATTTGTATGAAATTATCTCGAACTAGATCTAAAATCAAACACAACGTATATTATTTGTATAAACCATTTGGTTTCGAACTTACATAATAAATTAATAAAGGCTATCGAAACGTTGAAGCGACTTTCAAATGATTTTATAAAATCATGGGCATCGATTCCTGTGATTTTGGAATTTTTACGCCAAATGTTTAGTAGATTCATCATCACATTGTGAACACCTGAAATAAAATTAAATATATTTAGATTTCATTTATTTTTTCAAAAATTGTATCTTACCGAAATTAATATTCTCATAGTGTAAAGTGTGTTGAAAGAAATTGTTATTGCCTTCTGGATTTTTAACCACGTGGGGTAATGAAGATGAAAAGACGTTCTTTATTTCATGGGATTCGACCTGATGAATATGTGACTCTTCATAACTTAATTTTTTTACGTAAAAAATATCCTTTAAAAGGGTCTTCGAAAAATCGCTGCCAAATATATTTCTCAAGATGTTTTCGGTCTCTTGATGCATTTCTTCTTTATTTGACCTAAAGCTTCGATAATTTTCAATAGATGAAAATATTGCACTGAAAATAAAACTTTAAATATTAAAATACTTAACAATAAAATGTATCTTTCTTACGTTTTATTCAGTTTGCTTAAAAGTTCATTAGGAAATTTCCGTATTTCTGATGGTTTTTGTATTATTACAGTTCTAGACATATAATCATCCATATATTTGCGTCTATGCTTTTGGAGTTGTTCTCGAGTGTATTTAATATGGTTATCTACCAAGAGTTTTCTTTTGCGAGAATTCTTCGGTTTGCTGAATATTATTTCTTCAAAAGGCTTTGAAAATTGCGACATCGAATGTTTACATTCTAATTTATCTCCAGCTGAATCAATGTTGTCAGGAATAATTTGGACCATTATTGCATTGTCAACTTTGAAAATTTCCAATTCATCCAATCTCGGCATTTTTTCTGGTAAAATGCCGGTTGCATCCTGGGTGGTTAAGCGCTTTTTTACTAAAGATAAAAAAATTAGTTCAATAAACTTGTATTAAAAATTGTTATTCATTACAGTCAGATTTTTTTCCGTTTTTGGGGTAAAGTTCTTGAAAAATGGTTAAATCTAACTCATCGTTATCACCAAAACCATCAGATGACATTATAATGTTTTGGTCTTCGTTATCTTGTATTTCTTCAGTTATGGTAAAGGCATGATATGACATTGATTCCTTACATCTTCGTGGTAGTTCTATAGACTATTAAAATACAATTTTAGAAGATGAAAAAGATTAACGGGACCTTTTGGGGACTTACCTGGTTTAAATCCTCGACCATCTGTTCTGTGCATTCTGACTTCCACATTTGACATTCAGATAGTACGTTTTCGTAGTACTTCTGAGAGAATTCACTTAAAAATTCAGACTCCTGAAATCTGGGGCGTTTTGAGATTGTGATATTTGCTTTCTTAGTGATCACACGCTTCCGTTTATGTTGATTTGTAATATCCGATTTTTTGTCCAAAACAGATATTGTGGTTGTAAGAACAAAGTCCACATTCTTACTTTTCATTTGATCCAGCAAAAGTTTCGTATCTCCTAAACGGATGTGTGAATATATGTGTGTGCATTAACGATTTACTATGACTAGTCTTACCTAAAAGAATATCCACCTGACATCTATAAATATTAGTAGCGCCGTATGCCAGATGTGAAATATGTTTAAAATTTACATTTCTATTGTTCCTTGTATTCGTATGACGTATTCTCAACGTGTTTTCGTCTATTAAGTCAGTGATTTTCTTGCTAAAACGTTCATCAATTTGTTATGGAATTTGAATAAATATATATCTATATAGGTTTTACATCAAACATAGCTTAATTACCAGCAATCCACTATATTCACGGCTTCGATCTCATTCCGATCGAATGGGGCCCGGGATTTGCGACCTCCTATCTTCCAGCAGGAATCTAAACTATTCCCCTCACACAAATCAAGTTTCATCTTTAATATCGTTTTCTAAAGTGTACGATAAATCTAGCTACATCGTTTGGGCAGTTAAAAATTTATTGCAGACATTAGTGTAATACAACGGTTTTTACTAGCACCTCTAAGGCACTAGAGGTGAAAAATCTATCAAAATATGGTATCGGGTTTAAAGAAGTTATTTTAGATTTATTAATAACAAATTCAATTTTTTTCATAACTTTATGTGTATCTTATTTATTTATTTCTTAAATGGAATTAAAAAACTTTTTTATTGCAATTGGTATAATAAAGTGCGCAATATCTTTTTAGCGATACTAGAAACATCGTATATTCAAAATGACCGATATTTTTAGCTGTGTTTCATGATATTTTTTGGCGTTCAGACAACGGTCGCACTGCAGGAACAACAACACAAAAAATACAAGAAAGAAAACATTTAAACGATTTTGAAGGAAAACTGATATATAAACACAACGACAACTGCCAAAGAATCCGCAGGCCTTTTCCTGGGTTCCTTACAAAAAGACAAAACTATAGCTATGGTAAGAAATTAACAAAATCGAAAATCAATTATCAAAATGAAAACATGACTAATAGAGGTGGGCGTGTTTATGTTTGTGTTTTTCGATCGGCGATTGCTGTCCCCAGATATCTTTGGTAATTTCCGTACATTAATCAATTAAATATGTTTCTTACAGGGTGATAACAAAATTTGCGACATTAGCAACGAAGTTCTGGAGGAATTGAAGAAGTTTCGCTTTAGTAAGAGCAAAAATAATGCGGCTTTGATATGTAAGCATTAATTGCCATGGTGACGGAAGTTCTATAACTCTGGAGTTCTTTTTCAGTAAAAGTCGACCGGGAAAAGCAATCGGTGGTACTCGATGAATTCATTGACGATATTTCAGTAGATGAACTTCAAGACACATTGCCAGGACATCAGCCCCGATATGTAATCTATACGTATAAAATGGTTCACGACGATCAGCGCATTTCCTACCCCATGTGTTTTATTTTTTACACCCCAAGGGATAGTCAGGTAATCAAACACAAGATCCCAATAATATTTATTATTATATGGCTTTGCAATTTTGATTGACTTTTAAAAGATATGATAAAAAGTACACGTTCTTAATTTAATTAATCATTTCTCTATTTCAGATCGAACTACAGATGATGTATGCCTGCACTAAGAGTGCTCTTCAACGGGAAGTGGATCTCACACGTGTCTATGAAATTCGCGAACTGGACGAATTAACCGAGGAGTGGCTGAAAGCAAAACTCAAGTAAAGAGGATTCTATCTCAGGAATCAGTCATTCCGGGCCGTTGTCAAAAGCAATATTTTATGATAGTTCTTCGATTGATTTTTGAGCATTTTATACACATATTTAAACTGGATCAAGCCGATACCAACGATGCATACCAATACCAAACAAACCAATATTGAGATACAATTTTTACATACAGAAAACACAAATCAAGCTAGGTGTATACAAAGTAATGAAAATTTTATATGGACGATCGCATTCGACAAGAATGCGTGAAGAGTTCTTAGTGTTTTAGTTTTTGCATTTAAGTAATAATTTTTATAGAAGCTGTGCTTGCCAAATTTCTATATGTATTTATTGTAAAGATATAAAAGCAGACATGACAAGATATTTCCATTTTATATAGACAAACTAAATAAAAGTGTTCAATATTAAAAAACAAATACTGAATATGGATAGATAATTAAACACCAATACCCAACCTCGATAGATATGGCTTTTAAAAATTATATTATTGTAATACTTCAGTAATGTAATCTCTGAGCCGCCGTATGGTGTAGCATTGTGTAACGCCCTTCGCTGGGCGTGGGCGGTGGAGGCGGCGGTGGAGCCAACATATGAGCCATAGCAGCCATTCCCATTTGGGTGGCAGGATTCGGTGGTCCCAGATGATGCAATGCATCGTGATGATAGTGATGCGACATAGGTGGTGCAGGTGGAAGCGGGAGATTTAGCAGATTATTGTTAACAGCATGTGTTCGAAAATGAAGACTTAGATTGTCCGCCGTATCAAAAGCCTTGTCGCAATCCGGGCACTTGAAGTGGGAGTGATCCAGGGAATCTAGCCCCACAGGATCCGTGTCTATGGGTTCGTCATCATCATCGTCTACTATGTCATGATTTGTACTAGATTCGAGGGGATGGAGTTTTATCTTATGAGATCTCATATCTCTTCGCCTACTGAAGGCCTTGCCGCAGACATCGCAATGATGGTTTTTAATGCCCGTATGAGTTATCATGTGTTTTGATAGATCACCGGCTGTATAGAAACCTTTTTGACAGAGGGAGCATATCTGATCCCGCACTCCTAAATGAATTTTTTGATGCGCCTGGAAATTACCCAATGCCGAGAATTGTTTGGAGCAGATTTCACATTGAAATGGCTTGTCGCCCGTATGAGTCCTTTCATGCACTTTGAGGTTGTACTTCTGTGCGAATCTTTGTATGCAGAAGCTGCATTGATAGGGTTTCTCTCCTGTGTGTGTTCTTATGTGTTGAGTTAGTTGAGCAATACACTTGAAGCTTTTGTGACATTCGTAGCACGTGTGGGGCATCTTTGGCACTGGTTTGGGCCCTCTTTTCTTGTGCTCCTCTGGTGGCTTTCTTTGATATCGGGATCGCCTCTTGCTCACTTTGCTTTCCGCCGGCTCCTCCTCGTCGCTATAGCGTTGTAGATGCGAAGGTTTCTCAACAATGTCCGTGTTAGTGGCTGCATCCTGACGCCAAGACTCTAGAATGCCCAGATATTGCCGCAGCCGAAGATCGCTATTTTCACATTCCTGTTTGAAGTGGAAGGCAACTCCCAGACGGTAAATGCAGTTGTTGCAGATTACCGAAGGCAAGCCATCGGTTTTGAAAACCTTAAAAATTTAAATGAATTGGATATGTGACATTTTTTCATTTATGGTTTATTTTTTATAATACCTACTCTTATTTTGGCACATTGCATCAACATAACCGAGGGGATCATGGCAAAGTCTGTGCTATAAATTGAAGTCACAGGATGTAGCTCCTCTAGGCAAACCCTACATATTTTGTGTATATTATAATCCATCTTTACTTTAACAATTTTATGGAAATCAACAAACAAATATTAAGTTTTTTTAACAGCTGATTGCGACCAGGGCTGCACAAGCAAAGCTAAGGTTCAAGGTATAATTACTCTGTCTTCAAAATATAATGGAACTTACTATTTATTATATATTGACTTTTTTAGAGAATTTCGGAGGTTTTTACAAATATGAAGTAAACAATTACCTCGAATATGGCCTGTACAACAACAATAAAATTTCTATTAAAAAAAATAAAAACCCGCATTTATTAATTCAAATAAATGAAGCAAATGTTTAAATGAATATTTGGGTTTTTATTTCATATTTTGCTAATTACTTTAATTTATAAAAACCCATTTAGAAACTTAATCCAGGGCTGCACAAGAAAAGACATACTGCCAGACCTGGCTAAAAGGTGTGACCGTCTCCGGTTTTTGCGCTGACGTGACGTGACAGTTGATTTGTTTGATTAAAATAAATAAGGGAAAAATCGCAGATAAATTGATTAGCGGCGAAATCAATCTGTCCGGAACCGGTACCAAGAAAAGAAAAAACAGTTCTCAAAAGGGAAGAGTTCCGGCAGATCGCTGTAGCAGAAGAGGGAAAGAGAAGGATAGAGTGAGAGAGAGCTGCACGGGTGAAATTTCGTGGTTTCGGGAGCCCCTGAGGCCCCCATAAGATATCCATTCCCCACTGACAAAATGCTGTGTATACAAAATTAGCTATTATCGAAAGCAGGCAGCGCATGTGCCGGCATCAGAAAATTACTATTTAATATTTAAGCTTTTGTAAACAAATTCTGGAGAAGAGACCAAGGTCAAACAAGCTGTCGAATACGAATACCTGGTGAATAGGTTTCGTTTCGTTTCGCTCCGTAGTGCCAGTAATCCCGAGCAGTTTGCAATGGACACAACAAGCCAGCTGTTGCCCAATGGCCATCTGTCCAGGAATGGTAAAACCAAAACGGAGGACGAGGAGGAGATCAAAGTAGAATCTACATCAGGTGCAGGTGCTGGAAAAGCACTAACTGGACTAACAGGGCACTCATCCACATCCGGTACATTTATGAAACTGAAAACTTATCTCCTAGCTCTGCGTCCCTGGTCGCTGTCCGCCAGTCTAGTGCCTACACTCCTCGGCTCGGCCTTGGCCCACCGCTCCCAGTGGGCGGCAGAGTTTTCGCTGGCCACTTTTTTCCTTACCGCATTCACAGTGGTCACTGTCCACTGCGCCGGCAACGTCGTAAACACCTACTTCGACTTCATCAAGGGCATCGACAAACAGAAGGCCGACGACCGCACGCTGGTGGACCACATACTCACAAAGGATGAGGTGAGAAATAGTTTGAATCAATTAATTATTAATTAATAAATGCCAGATCCATAGATACAAAATTTATGATTTTCAATGTTAACCCTCAGGAGAGGCTGAAGGCAATTAACAATTGAATTTCTGTATTTTTCGTTTGAGTGTTTTTGCATTCCTTACAAATTTTGTGATTGTATCGCTTCAAACTTTTGCCTCTACAATGGTGTTTTTATATCCCTATGAATTTCAAGAGAAATTAAATTTTTTTTGTTTCGGCGAAAAAAAAATCATAACAAAAATAAAACGTGATTTTTCAATTGTGTTCTGATTAGGAACTAAGTTAAGTTGATCCATAACGGCAACAATTTATTTTGACTATCTTTGCATTCCATATGCAAAAATTGTATAGCTTTAAACTTTTGCCTCTGCAATGGAAATATATTATTTACATATATACCAATAAATTTCTTGAGAAATTAAATGTTTTTCATTTCGTTGAAAAAATCGTGATGAAAATAAAACCATTTTACGGAGCCAGTTGTTTTTTGAATATTTTTTTGGCAATTAGCAAAATGCTAATTTAAATCAAGGGCATAACTATAAGTGCATTCACAAATATATTTAAAAAAAATATTAAACTGTGATAAGGATAACTTTAAAATTATTTCTTTAAACTTTTGTATCTTTCTATTTTTAAAACGCAAATCAGTGCATTTATTAGATATTTAATAAATTAACTTAATTTGACCGTTTAACATAATTACATATTATAAGCTATTTTTATTTTCAGGTGGTTTCGCTAGGTGCCATTTTGTACATGGCTGGCTGTGGAGGCTTTGTTTTGCTGGCTGTGCTCAGTCCAGCAAAAATGGAGCACTTGGCACTAATCTACTTCGGTGGACTGTCCTCCAGTTTTCTGTACACAGGAGGTATTGGTTTCAAGTATATTGCCCTTGGAGATCTGGTTATACTGATACTCTTTGGGCCAATTTCGGTGCTATTTGCCTTCATGTCACAAACTGGTCATGTAGACTGGACGACAATGGGCTACGCAATTCCACTGGCACTAAACACGGAGGCCATCCTGCACAGCAATAATACACGAGATGCAGACAACGATCGCCGTGCTGGAATCGTAACGCTGGCTATTTTGATTGGACGCACTGCCTCGCATGTTTTGTACGCGATGCTGCTCTTCGCACCATACTCACTCTTCTTTATCTTTGGCTTAAAGTACTCCCTGTGGTTTCTGCTGCCACTGGTGACCCTGCCACAAGCCTTCCAAATAGAGAAACGCTTCCGGAACGAACAGACGATGCACCTTGTGCCCCGGCAAACGGCTAAACTAAACTTCTTCTTTGGCATTTTGTATATTGTGGCTTGTTGTTGTGCCCAACAGTTGCCCACCTTTGGATTCCGGAAAAATTGATAGACGGAAGAAACTGGGGGCTCTGTCAGAAAAACAAAATCAGCGCGAAACTGGTGCAATGGTTTTTAGGGAATTTCATTAGATTTTAGTCAATGTGTTTGTAGCGAGAATGGAGAACGAAACTTTGCCAGTTTCTCAAAGTTTGATGTTGCGCTAATTTCGAATGCCTGCTAGTCGCCCTTTAGAGTCTAAACTTCTGAACTGAACATATCCTAGCCCTAATGGGACTATTTATTTGACAGAAAATCTGGAGACTTACTATATAAGACACTTTTCAAAAGAGATTACAGGCCTAATATCAGCTCAAGTCTTAAATTTTTAAATCCAAACGATGAATTAAAAGCACGATTTAAATATAAATGATCTGGAATTTTTCCAGACAATTTAGCCTAAATCGGCTTAATTAAGAGAAACAAAATCTTATAAAGCATGACAATATATTTAATATAAACCATTTAATTTGTAGAAAGAAACATGTATTTTTAAGTTCAGTAACTGAAAAGTATGATATTAGACCTTTAATTTCTGTATTGAAAAATCTTTAAATTGTCATAGGATTGGTTTACTTCCTTCAATACCAACCATAACGTATTCCAATCGTTTTTATTTATTTAACATCGTCACAATCTTAAAACCTAATCTATTACAACTCAATTTAATTTATAATCATACTCTTCCTCTCGCGCGTTGGGAACTACGGACCAAGAAAATTATGTGCAGCAGTTACCAGTAATGCTAATGCAGCCCCAATTTATATTATTCTAAAATATATATCACCACATTCATACTGGTGCAGATACTTAAGTTTCGCAAATCAAAATGCAGATTTACTTTACTAATAGAAGTGCTTGGAACTGCAGCTAAGTTAATAGTTTTTTGGCTGGCTTGCTTTTTGTGTAACGATTGTTAGAGTTTTTACATATAGTATATACACGAACACGAGCATATATATTTATATACACACATATAGATCATGTAAGCCCAGTGTCTAGCAGCAAGCTCAGAGTGAGAATATCAAAGGGAAAAATCAAGAAACACCTAAGTAAAACGAAAACAGAACACAAATTTAAATTTTTAAATAACTATATACTTAGATGTCGACGGAGAGGCGAAGGAGCAACAATTGTTTTCCATTAAGAATAGTGTATGCATATAAACAAATAGCTTTAAATAACAAACAGAAGAGAAGAAAGCCAAAACCCATTCACATTATAATCCATTGTGTAATTGAACATTTTTGTGGCAATATTTATTTGTACGCCAGTTTTTGTACATTCATTCATTCATTCTTTTATATAATGAATAGAGAAATGCTTCTGTTGAAATCGCTCAGCACGAGTTGACTTGAACTAAGTGAAAACTTTGTAGACTACAAATCAACAACAAGATGAACAATAATAATTATAATGATATTGATAATTAAATGTTTAAATAGAGAATGTAAAAATTGATCTGTGTAATATATTCTGGTATACATTTTATTGAATTTTAGGGAAGTATTTGGGGGTATCATTAAATCCACTATTCTCTAATGGTGATCCATGACGAGGTAAGTACTATAAACCTATAATAATTACAATTGCTCCCTGGCTACCAGCATTATGTCATATGGCTTTACGGCAGCGGTAGCTCCTTCTAGAGGTATCTCCTCCGGCACTTGTCCAGGAATGGCCACCATTTTGAAGTTCTGCAGCACTGTGGTGGTAAACATAAATAAGTTCTGTCTTCCTAACAAATCTCCCATGCATCGATGACGTCCGAAGCCAAAGGGATTGAAGGCTTCGGGTAGCTTTAAATGACCATCGAACAGGAATCTCTCAGGATCGAATGTCTCTGGGTCGGGGAAATCTACTGGGTTGATGAGCATTCCCCTGAAACAGGCTATAACCATGGTGTCTTTGGGAATTTCATATCCTGATAATCGAGTATCGCGCACAGCTCGATGCGGAATGCCAAAAGTATGGAGCATGAACATCCTTACCGCCTCCAAAGTGATGGCCTCGCAATATGGCAATTTCAAGCGATCTTTGGACCACTCAGGTATGCGCTCTAGACCAACTACCTCCTTGATTTCTTGAAAAGCCCGCTCCTGGATTTCAGGTTGTAATACCAAATGCATGAAACAGAAGCCCAAACTCTTGTTAGTAGTCTCAGATCCAGCCAAAAACATATCCAAACAAATGGCCAAAAGGCTTTCATCACTAAACATGCCCTTTTCATCATTTCCCTCCTCCTGGGCACGAAGATAGGAATCCATCAGATCCCTTGGCTCATCATAGTTCTTAAAAGTTAAGCGATGCAAGTCGATCTCCTTGTTCATAAAGGAGTACAACGAACGATGGCTTTCTACAAACCCATTATAGCCAGAGTAGTCCGGAGCTATAAATCGAAGCAGAGGAAAGTGACTGAATAGAGCTCCCACCATATCTATATTTTTGAAGAGCTCAAAGAACGTCTCCAATAGTTCTGTGATTTCTGGAGAACCAGGTTCATATCTCCTGCCACTCAGCATGCACCATAGTGTATTTAAAACATATACACTCGTAAGGTCGTGCATTTCAATCCGCGCCTGCTTTCCTCCAGACTTTATAACTTGATCCTTAAGGTCCTGAAGCAAACAGGTTGCTTCATTGTGTACAATGTCCAACATTCCACTTCTTGCAAATCCGAAATTCTTCAAATGTCTTAAAATAAATCTACGCTGCTCCACCCACATTTCACCGTCGGTTAAAAGAACTCCTAATCGGGAATTAAAAGTCCTCAGGCGATAAAATATACCATCGGGTCGGCCATCAATATCTTCATTGGTCATCATTTCATTAATGGCATCGTTCGTATAGGCTATAACCACCTTATCCTTGCCAATCTTTAGACCAAAGAAGCCATAAGGATTCACATATTGCTTGGCGAGTACATCAATCACTTTGCAGAACATTCCAAGACGACATCGAAGCTGGGAAACCTGAAGGGCACTTCCCACTATCGGATACCAACGAGGTCCTGGAGGAAATCTTTTTGGTTTTCGCACACCTCCAAACAAGATTGTCAAGAGAGTTGCGCAGAAAATCCATATGACCGCATAAAACATGTTTCCGGCTTTCACTTTCTCGAATTATGTAATCTTGTTTGAAGTTTTAGCTGGAGCTTGGAGTCGGTAAGTTATCCACAGTTTCCTGGTCATCGAATCCGGAGCCTGATCCCGCACCTGACTTTCACCTAAATCGACTGAATCCGCTTGGTCGACTGGGCCTGGCTTTTATAGACGTCTTGTAAAAAGCTTTTCCTCTTGTATGAGTTTTTTTTTCGCCGTTAAAGTTTTTCCAAGAGTTGCGAGTTTGTGGACATGAAAGTTTTAGAGATTAAATAAGGAAATGTTCTTAAATTAGGTAAGTCATAATATTCATAAGTATAGATTTATTATATAAGCTTCAAAAAATTCTGGCGTATATAGTACTTAGAAATTGTAACAAAATGCTAAAATATTAATATTATTAATATTTCTAAAAAGAATTTTAGAAAATATTTAATACATACATCATGTTTAATACATACAGATGTCGGATCTTAAATTATGGTAGTCAGTGTAAAAGAATGTACCAAGTGGCAATTCTGGTCTCTGCTCTAACGGTTGATTGTTAGTACGCTTTATTCCATCTATTCCCAAGATGGTCAGGAAGTTATATCTATATACATATGTATGTATCAGAGAACGGCAAGGGTACACCCAGTCTATGAGTGCACACGAATCATGTGTGCCTTTTCGGCACTCAGAGTGTGATCGGCACCCTAAAATAAGGGTGTGTGCCTTGCACAAGCTCATTTCGAATGTGCACTTGCGCACCCAGTACTCTTTTCAACAGACACCCGACACACTCATAACAAATGAAGCGAGTCTCTGAGACACCCATGTTTTTGGGAAAAGTGAGTCGGGTGTCTTGAAAATGAGTCGAGTGTCTTGAAATGAGTCGGGTGTCTTGAAGTGATTCGAGTGTCTTGAAATGAGTCGGGTGTTTCGGGTGTCTTCGACTGATCTGAGTGTTTCGGGTGTCTTCAGCTGTAATGCATGAGCAGGTCATTGAGGGTTGACCGAATAATTTTACATGAAAAGAAGGAAGGAAATCCCAATAATGGCCCCTTAAAAAAGGCCAAATATTTTATGATTTTCCATGTCAGGCCATCTACCTGCTATTCGCAGTGCAATTGACTTATGATCTGTATTTTTATACGAATCTGCAAAAAACGGGAATACATTTGCAGGTAGATTGTTTGATGTCTACACGGAAAATCCTAAAATATTGATGCAATGAACGTTTTATTTTGGTTTTTTTAAGACTTTGTCATTGAGGACTTGTAATGATTATAAACTCTTAGTTTTTAATATTAGTTACTGAAGACGGCAATAATTTGTATTATTAGAAATATACTTTTCTAAGATTAAATTATTGGGATTTCCTTCCTTCCTTTCATGTAAAATTATTCGGTCAACCCTACTTAGCTTCGCGCATTTTAAAATTTTAAATTTTAGAGCTCAGAAAAGAGGTTTCTATAACAATCAAATTAAAATAAAATACACTTCAAGAATTAGTTTTGGATATTTGGAAATCGTCTGCATTAGACATACGTAAAACTACATATAACTTCAATCTTTCAGCCTACCAAAATGAAGGCATTAATAAATATCATTCAACTATTCCGTTTATTGTTGCAATAAATTGATAAACACAACACCAGCGGCTTGCCCTGTTGTGTTGTTTCAACTTCAATTAATCCAAAACATCGGGGATCTTCGCATTAATCCACAGACATTTGCAGTTCATCGCACATTTTTTTTAAAAATACATTGCTAATCATTCTGAATTTTTTTAGCATATCCATTCCTTAAAATTGAATTTTATCAAACTTTTATAATTTTTGACGGTAGTTTTCTCTGATAAAAGTTATTATATTTTTTCAAATTTAATTTCCTGTTCTAAATAAGAAAAGCGACACTGTTCTTAAAATTTTCAGGTGGGCATTCCTTGAACTAAATGAATAGTTTTGTACTAATCAGCTTTAAAGAGGTTGCTAAGGCAGTAGTTGGCTTTATGGTGTGTGTCTTAGCTAAAATACCTGTTTTGTAAGAGTAGACAACCCTACTTAGCTTCGCGCGTTTTAAAATTTTGAATTTTAGAGCTCAGAAAAGAGGTTTCTATAACAATAAAATTAAAATAAAATACAATTCAAGAATTAGATTTTGGATATTTGAAAATCGTCTGCAATTATCATCATTAGACATATATTAAACTACACATAACTTCATTCTTTCAGCCTACCAAAATGAAGGCATTAATGAATATCATTCAACTATTCCGTTTATTGTTGCAATAAATTGATAAACACAACACCCGCGGCTTGCCCTGTTGTGTTGTTTCAACTTCATTTAATCCAAAACATCGGAGATCTTCGCATTAATCCACAGACATTTGCAGTTCATCGCACATTTTATATAATAATCCCATCCATCTCAACAATTGCCTTCGCACGGAATTCCAAATTAAAAATTTCACATCTCTCCTCAAGTGCCACTGTCTGCGGTTTCGAATTGAATTGAAATCGGGCCTCGGGGCTCATATCTTTCATTAGCATTTTTAATGCCTGTTTAACCTTTGTTTTTGAACCGAGTCTCGATTTTTTCCTGCTGAGTTTTTCTTTCAGCTTTCAGCAGGCTTTCCGTCTTCCGTATTTCGGTGATGAACTGTCATAAAAATATTTCTTCGCATTTTATTATTTTCGTTTGATCCACACAGGCGTTTAAATATTTTTTTGGTAAATTGAATTATTAAAACCATTAAAAGTTAAAACTTATCATTCCCAGAAACCAACATGAGTTTCTCTTTGGTGCGGAAGTACTTAAACCAAATGGGGACGCCAAAGTTCCGATCGACTTTGTGTCGCAGCTATATACCCATGGCAGGTCCACCACGGTTTCCGATGAGCGGTGCCCAACGCTTTATCATGGGAGGCGGAACCATGGTTATCATGATGATCATTCCCTTCTGGTGCCTATTCAACATGCCTCGATGGTCGAGGATGCACTTGGGCCTTCCGCCGTTGGAGGAGGAGGAACAGAAAGAGGAGCCACCACCGGCAGAAGCACAGGAGGAGGAGTCCAAGGACAAAGGCAAGGACAAAGGCAAGGATAAGGACAAGGGCAAGGAAAAGGACAAGGGCAAGGAAAAGGACAAGAAGGAAGAGAAGAAATAAACACAACACGAACTCTTTTTAAACGGTGACTTCTTAGATACTTTTACTGGGGTCTTCACAAGATCATGCATTAGTATCCTTAACACCTTAACACCTTTCAATGGACATTTATCACAACCAAAAAATATTAAAATTGCGTGTTAATTTGACTATAAAATCACTTGTTTATTTCATCAAGTGTTATTAATATCAAAACATCTTAATAACCTTTGAAATCCTTTTTCTTTTAACCACTTTTTTATAAGCATCATAAAATGTCATCGATAGTGAAAGTGGGTGAAACCTTATTAAATCATTTCTACCTGCTCAGGTTGTGATTTAGTTGACTTGATTTACTTTGCAGCCCCCGAATAGATCCGCTTTGATGTCTGCCCACCAATTAAGGATCCCCAGTAGCAACACAGACAATAAACCATCCATTGTCCACATCCAATTAGTTGGCTCAAACACCTCGGCTAAAAGTTAAACCGATAGCTCCTGTGCAAATGCTCCTCGACAACCAACCACAAGACCATTTTCCATGGCTGCCTGCCACAAATCAAAATGCTGGAAAACTAAACAAACCAAAATGAAAAAAAAAAGTAAAGACAAACCGAAAATCCCAAACAAGCCGAGAAAACCCAAAAAGCAAAGTGCCAACTTTCATTAAAAGTATTTTTGCGCTCATTGCCAATGCATTCAATTGTGGACTTTGTGGGTCTCTTAGAGTCCCAGGCCTAGTCTAAGCCTGCGACTTGACTTTGACCACCTCCTGTTGTCTGTGGGCCTTGTATCGCATCCAATCCTCATGATCTACAACACACCGTGACCTTCTTCGCCTTCGCTACATAGAAAGAAAAGCTTAGTTTTTGTCAATGCATTAAAGACTTTTTATTAGATATCTTCTTTAAGCTTCTTCTTTTGCTTGGGAATAATTGTGTTGATATTTTGTATTATTATTTAATATCTCACTTTACAAAAGTCAACACAATAATCAACATTATATAACATAAATTATTTACCGTGCAGAGAAAGACTCGCCACAAGTCCAACCAAAAGAAAATCCAGAAACGGCAAACATTCGCACACAAAAATTTGAAAAAGTAAAACCGTCGAAGGAAAGTGAATTTCTTTTTAAGCAAATCAACTTGCCACGCCTCCTATCAACCCCTTAGTCCCCACTCTTTAGCTAGGCCGGGAGATTCACAGATTTTTTGGTGAAATTTCATGTGCCATTAAACTGGTTCTGTCAGGCACTGGACTGTCGATCGGATTTTCTGTTCGCTGCGGTTGTGGCTTTTGGGTCTGTGTTTGGGTTTTTGTTTAGGTTCGGCAGCAGCAACACTCCTTGCCGGGAAAAATGACAAGATATTGTGGCATAACGACTAGGGTTTTACTCATTAAATGATATTTTAGAATTTCTAAAATTTAAATAAAGGTGTGTTGTTGATTATATTAATAAAAATTATCATTTCTTTTATTAAAATACATCTTAGCTGATAAAACGATCTTAATTTTTCAAGCATTCTCTGATTTTTTTTTTAAACTTTAATACCAAGCAAAGGTATTAGTATGGTGTGATATTCTCTATTATTTAGTACAAACGATACCCTCTACTACTTAAAATTACAGGGCATCCAAGCATCTGCAGCGTGTGAATGAGGCATGTGCCCCCTTCTGTTCCCTTTTGTCATCGCCCACATGCCTGGCACAAACTTGCTTAATTTTCATTTATGTTCAGGCATTTAAGTAGCATTTCAGGCAGCCAAGGAAACTGCCTCCTTGGACTTTTTTTCGTGGGCGTTGCAAGATCGCCTTTTTTGGGGCAGGAAAAGAGGGAGATCGAGGGGTAGCAGACACTTGCCGCACTTGCCACACGCTGCGTTGCGTCAGTTTAGTGTGTCAGAAGCCGCAAGAAGAAAGTAGCTCTGGGTATATAAAATCCAGCCGTTTTGATCCGGTTTAGTGGCAGCTACAGGTTCGTTGTTCCTTCGATTGGGGCATCAGTATCGGAGTGCCTTTTTTTTTTACTTTCTGCCGCCACGAAAAATCGTCGTCCACTTTCGGTCGCAATTAATTATGCGGCGGGCAGCTGAAAATGAAAGTGCGCGCTCAGGTTGCAAGTCCAGATCTTGGGTTCTCACTCTCTCTTTCTCCGGCTCCAGCTCCATCTCCATCTTTATTTCCATCTCCATCGATTCCAAAGGCTGTGTGGTCGCTTTTTCGAAATCGCTGGAAATGTCGCCTTTATCCCATCATTAGACACCAGGCGACTTTATTCCAGGACACAGCAAGAAAATTATAATTAATGGAATGTTTTAAATATTTAACCAGCCAAAAATATCTTACAAAGGGAATAATTCCTTAGAACACTAAACTATAATTCAGACTCTCAGATATTAACTTTGCTTCTCATATTAATACAAATATATTTACACTCAAAACTCATTCATTATATCATCGAACACCCAGCTTAAAACCTGTTCTATTCCCCCAGTGTTCCTCGAAAAGTGAGAACATTCTGGCGAAGATCTTCATTATCATCAAACGAGAAACGCCGATCTGCAGATCCCAGTGTCCGTCCATCCACCAATGGCTTCCCATCGAGATGTCGTTGTCATCGTGGAACATAGCGGCCCATAAAGAGGTTGCTTTATGCCCCGCCGACCAACTCGCAGGTGGTCATGGTCACTTAGTTTATGGCCGGGCAACCGCAAGATCGCACACCGATCGGAGCTGATTTGTTGTCGCCATATTCCCGCATCCCAGATTGCCGGCCAAGGGAGGGGGTCTAAAGTGTTCTCTGAACGCTGTCACTAAAATATTAACCAGAAGGAAGGACTCACGAGGCGATTACTTAGAGAGATTCAATATCACGGACAGTATTGATTTGAGTAAAAATATTGGATATATTTATTTATTATTTTGTACTTATAAAAACATTCCTTTAAACTTAAGCTTGAGTGATCCTTACCCACTTAGATACTAATAAATTGTCGCAACATTTACAAACAACTTAAGCCACAATTGCTTGTGGCTAGCACTGTCTATTAGGCCAATCGATTGACTCATCACATCGGGCCCATAACTGTTATTACCCCAATTATGTCCGCCCACACTTTACTGACCATTTGCAGTTCTCCTGTAGCCGACTCGGAAGAAAGAAAATCCAACTCTAATTTATCGGGCTGTCAACACGCCAAACCCCTCCGGGGGACTACCGATCGATTTGTTCCCATGAAAAACTCATTTCAGTTGAGCGCTAATAAAAATTAAGCGCCAGCCAATAAACGTTATAGACAATTCTGTAAAAATAAATAAGAGGAAAGGCCCACACAAAATGGCAATCGATCGACGGCGGCGACACGATCAGCGGTTTCCATTTGATCTAATATGGGAGTGAGACTCGGAGACTGTGACCCCGTCAGCCAAAAAATAACAAAAACAAACAACAATACGATATGGAAAACTGTGGCATGTTTTCTCAACATCAAGTTGCCTCCGAGTTGCAACTCATAATCGTTTAGGACGAAACTTAGAAAAATACAACTCGAAAAGCGCAGACAGCGGGTCGCGGCGAAAAATAACTTTAGACACAAATTATATTAATGGGCTTTTGTTGTGCTCTACTGAAGATCGGGTGCTGGATCGACTCGATTGGGGGAGTGGAGTATGGCATTTTGTCTCTGCACGAATCACGTTTTAGAAATTGCATTGCTCATAGGAGGCAGTCGAAATGCTCAACAGGCAACTGCTAAATGTGCCCCAGTCGGAGTTGAAGTTAGACACTGAAAGAAATGGCTTCTCTTACTATGATCTTTAAGTTAAGTTAAGTAATATCGGATTAATTATATTCCGTAAATCATGCTGACATATCATTAAAAAGCAATCAATGAACATAAACATTAATTTTCCGTTAATATTTACCCTATCTAATCCCTTTCTTTAAGTGCACTTCTAGTCTTTCGGCTAGAGTCGGAATTAGAGAGACAATCTCTTTGGCTGTCAGGGGTTTTTGCGCAAGTTCTGGATGTGAAGAGCTTTTGGGCAGGCAGGCGGCCTTAAGTGGCACTTAGTTTTAATATGCTGCCCTACCGTTTAAATGGGCCTCTCTGGCATCTGCTCGCAGGCAAATAATCGGAGTTACCTGAAATAATTGCATGAACACAAATTAGAGCGCTCCGCATTGGAAACGTTCTGCGATTCCGGTGATGATGATTCCAGTGATTGCGACTCTTCCGCTGATTCTTCGGCTTTCTCCGAAGTTCTCTTGTCACGTCTACTTGAGCACGGCCAAAGATTCTTCACTCCTCACTCCTTACCTCTTCCAATTATATAGTTCTTCGATATTTTAAGCTTACACCGCCGAAGAATGCTTTATAGCCGGCGAAAATAATGCGTATTGTGATCATTGAAGTTGGCTCAAAGAAAATAGAAAATACTTATTACTTACTTCCCAGCGGAGACATTCTTTTTGTCATTGACGTTTTCTGGGTTAGCTGGTATGGTATTTGGCACTTGGGTCAATGTGCCACATGTGGTACATCATGGATGATGATGATGATGAGTAGTAATGGGTGTCAAGGGGCTCAAGGTTCCCAAGCCCAAGCCCAAGTTTCAATTACAGGTTGTTAGGGTAATAAGAGGCGTGGAAATGCCAGAGAAGTTCTGAATTACTAACCTAGGATTAATAGAAAGTTGGCAAATTACTTGATTTACATTTGCAAATTAGCTTGCCTCTGTGGCAGCAATTAAGACTATGAATTCTAGGCCTTCTCAGGGCCCACCATGAACATGAATATATATCCCATTAAAACATGCACAAAATTCCCACAAAATACAGATCATAATGAAGACATGAAAAAATTGATTACCTGAGAGGAACACGTACGATAATCATAACTCCGCCGCCCTTTTCACACAGTTTTCCCAGTTCTCCCCCTTATTTTTCTTTTATTTTTTTCTTCCTCTGTTCATTCTTCTGGCCAACTGCAGCCTTTCAAAGGCCTAATTGCATCACGTTTTTAGAGCAACTCCACAGATGCAGGCTGGGGCATAAACATGCCGACAGAATATTACACAATTGTATAGTGCCAGGAGACAACAGAGCAAAGAAAAGTAATGCCCATTAGTTGCACTGCCGTGATTTCCACACGTGAGTCAAGATCTCCGCCCCAGCTCCTCCGTTTCCCACCCTCTGTGTCCATATCCATCCGAATCTGATGGGTTGACTACTGACTGGCAGGTTTTGTCCATTGGCTTTAATGAACGCCAAGTCGGTGGCTGTGACAATAATAACAATTTCCGATCACAACCCCATAAAGCAGACTTTTCATTTCACTTCCTTGGACGATGAAGTAAAAGAATGCTTAAATGCTTAAAAGTTTAATTGTTTAAAGAACATAAAACATTCTTGAAACAAATTAAATATATTAACTATCTTAATCAAAGCCAGCTGTAAAGTTAAAATACCTTCTCGAAGTACCCAAGGTGCAACTGTTTCGGCTGCGAATTTATGCAACTTCTGAACAAAGTGTCAAGCGCATCGAAGCGTTGCATCCTCTGCAGAAACTACTGCAACATGTGGCAACCATCGTACGCAATCTGCAGCAACCAAATTTGGACAAATAGCGACTCCACTTACCTGCGTTTGACACACATTTTCCAACTCCCATTTTCGTTTTGTAGAACTACTACGAAATGCTGGCCTTTAGACAGACGAGTAGATGCAACTCTGGCCAAAAACGGATGCACATTTCCGGTGTTATTTCGTGGGGATAGGCTTGTTGCATGACAAACAATACCCCAGTCGCAGACTCAGAATCCACGCCCACCTACTGACCAGGCAAAGTTGAAAGTCCAGCAGCTATATATAGTCAGATATGTATATAAGTTTATATATATCTGAAGCTGAGGCTGCCGTTTGGAGCTTGGCCAAGTGCCACCCGCGCGACAAACGTAATTGACCAAAAATGCAACGCTTGGCTGAACCTCCCCAATAGAACAGCAGTCGTCAACGGCCAGGGAATGGAGTCAATGGAGAAGTCAGTAAGGAAACGGCTAACAGATGACCTGTAAATAATAATAATATTTAGTGAAAAAAATAAAGAAATGAAAAATACTTTAATCATTTAATATTATATATCTTTAATTAACAAGAGTGAATCATCCACTGTACCGAATATATATTGAATTTTTTCAATAAACTACTTTGGTGAAAAAAATCAATTTAAAGATAATAATAAAATGAAAAGCGTTTAATAAGCTTATAAAAACGAAAGAAGTAAAACGGCACTTAAAGATATTTTTATATACTCGTTAAGCCGAGCTTGATTCGAAATGGGTGTTAATAAGACATAAACATACTTACCCAAATTATGTGGGTATATTAAATTAAATATACACTATAAAAAACTTGTACTTATTTCATAATTTTCAATTAAACACCTGTTTCTTAGATACTTTTCTGCAACCAATTAAAATGAATATGCCCCAGAATGCGAGGCATCATAACTACATACTACACCTATTCACCTTTTTCTGGCTTTGTTTTTCGCATGCACTTTTATTTGGCTTTGGCCTGTTGAGTTCTCTGAGTTAGAGTGAGTGATTCATGCGAGTCAGGTTCCCATATAATGTGTGGAGAACAAAGACCGATCCGATCCGATCCAATCCAAACCAGCTGCACTATGGTAGTGGGTTGAAGTTCGCCACCGGCTGTTGAACCCGCCATCTGAGCCAACAGATCTGTCTGCCTATTTGGCCAATAATTAACATTTTGTTTTTATTGGGTGTAAGCCAACGCAGTTGGCTAATTAATTCATTAGCGATTGGCTCATAAAATTGCGACAATTGCCGCGACTGGCTTCTGCGATTTTAATGACAATATGCGCGGTCCAAGAGGTGTCGTCATTTTCCTGGCCAGCTGGGGACCATCCATTCCCTAGCGGAGGACACACTTTTTATGGCTATTCGATGATTACGTGGGCAGGCTCCTCGGCCAATTAATAAAGGCTTTTTGCTTATTTCTCTCTGTTTGTTTTTGCTTTATTTATTTTTTTGGGTTTTTTGTTTTTTGTTTTTTTGCCATCGGACAAAAACAAGTCGTTAAAGTTTACCGCAGATGCCGATGCTGTAATAATATTGTATGCAAATCTCTCCCCCAACCAGCGAGTCGGCATTGATATAAAGTTTCAATTTACGGCTCATATATCATAACTTGGTCGTTGGGGCGGGGGTGCTGGGCTCGTACTTATGGGGCTTATTAACTCGTAAAAATGCGCCTGTCACTGATCTTTTAGTTACAAATGTTGTCGGATGCGACGCGGTTTTCCAGAGACCTTGAATCGAATCGGTGAAATTCCATATAGATAAGTATCTTCTGCGGTGGATTGCAATTTTAATGAGATGATTTAATCCTTTTTTAATATTTTTCAGTATCTGTGGTGTGGTTTGATATAAACAATATAATAGTAAAGTAAATGAAAGTATACTATACTGTATATATCTACACTTTATTAAATATTTTGACTATAATTTCGGTCAAATGCAATCTTTTAAAATAAATTACAACTTCCATTAAACAAACTAAGTGAACATTTTTACGTATTTTTAAGTAGAAATAAGATAGATCACCGGATACATCTGTTGGATAAAATTAAGCCAACATCTCAATGTCTAGCCCCCAAAAATAACACGAGTGTAATGAGTAGCTCTCATTAAAGTCAACTCTAATTAGGTTTTTAACCTTTTTTACCATTTTATTTTAAGATCTTACCATTTCCGCCCACTCAAAGACTTGTTACGACCATGGGCGCCATCTAGCGGGGCTGCATAGACTCCTGATTTTGACCTTAACACAAATTGCTCTCGAAATCTAGCAAAATTAAAATAAATACAATAAATAATACCAACCAGAGGCAAAAGCAAAATCAAAAGTCTCTTATCAGCAGAGCAAAAAACAATTTGCTTTAACGAAAACCGGTATCAAAATAAAAGGCCAGAGAGCGGGAGAGAAAGAGCGTAACCCAAAGAGACACAGAGAGAGTGAGAGAAGGAGAGCGTCAAACAGCTGAGCGGGACTTCCAATCGAAATTGCGGCTTCCAAGCAGAAGTAAAATATAAGTCGCGGCGAGCGGACGTGTTTGAAAAATAGAAACGGAAAAACAAAATGAAAAAAGTGCGATTACCATAGAAAAACAGAGATTTCAAATTATGAAGAAAAGCAAATGAAAAAATATAATAAAATAAAGCACAGTGCGTGATTGGCAGTTAGTGCAGTGTTGTGAAATTTCCAACTGAATTTAACGGTTATTTGCGAATGCCGAATTAAAAAGTGCAAACAAAAACGTGACGCCAGATTTTCAATATTCTCGAGCACGAAAATCATGTGTTTTTTGTTATACCCTTGTGTTTTGTGTTAAATGTTGTAGCTGACGAAACAGAAAACCAAATACTAAAATTGTGTGCGGCAAAAGTGCCTTGCTTTGTGTTATTATTATTATTAAATTCAGTTTACAGTTTAACTCACACAAACACAACGCAAACAAAACCTTAAAAAAAAAAAAAAAACGCAAAAAAGTAAAAATAAACCAAAAGCGTACCGCGAAATTTGCAGGTTAGCCGAAAGGGGCGAAAAAATCAATTATATGTTGGCCAGTGCCGGATTTGCAGTGGAATCGGGTTGAGTGCCATCGATAACCACACACACATAATGACGGAGCACCAGGCGGAGGAGCAGGCGTCACCGCCTCCGACCAAGGTCAAGGCAACGCCCACACCCACCCCAAACGCCAAGTTCAAGGACATTAAGGAGGAGGGGTTTTTGTCCACCTCTCCGGACAGCGCCAATGGCGATGCCCAGCAGAAGGTGCCAGCAGATCAACTGGCCATATCCTCGAATGGCCTGCATCCGGAGAAACCGGGCGGAGCCCGTTCCCTAATCCTGCAGGCCTTTCATCAGTGCTCCTCGCCGGAACAGTGCGTCACGCTACATAATATCTTGGACTCATTCAAGGCACCATTGTCCGAGGATCAGGCTTGGGCCCTGATCCACCAATTCGCCGGACTCTACCATCAAGTTGCAGTTCAGGCGAGCACCTGTGCAGCGGATTATGAGGCCTTGTTGCCCACCGGATTTGAGCTGCACTTTCACCGCGACGGCAGCGTCCATTTTTCCGGCCAGGAGCAACTGCCACCTAAGGAGCGACTGCAAGAGGAACTAATTCCCCAGGAGCAGGAAGATATCGGGGATCAGCCGGACCACAGCGCCAGTAGCAGTGGCGACAGTAGCGCCATCGCAATTAACAGAGGTAAGGAGATTAAAAATAATACACTGTACTACAAGGGTAGGGATATATTAATTTGGTTACAGTTAGTTCATAAATATTTTAGTTAATTATTATTTGTGTATTTAAAAATATTTTCGTGAGAAAATCGTTTGTTGGAAAAATCATTTTATTTAATCTTTAGGATCTCTATAGAAACGGAAAAGTTTAAGTGAACATTGAACATGAATTGAAGGAATAGAAAAAGTGATTTCAGATTGATAACATAATGAACTTGGCAACCCCAAATGACATTTTAATGTCGTTTCCTCTCAGGCTTAAATTTGTACTATATATTTTAGAACATATTCTTTTGAATATGAATAATTTTAAATACAACTATTTCCGTATGTTTTGATTAGTCTCCCCCCCTAAGTGTTCCATGCTTGTGGCTTCCTAAAACTATATCAAATTTTGTCTTACTTTTTTTGTTGGCCTGTCAGAGGTCAGTTGTTGGGTGTTGACTTGAGATGCGGAACTGTAACAGTAATGAAAACTGGAGCTGTGATTAGCTGGGCCGGAAAACCGGTTGAACTGATGCCCCACCGAATGGATGGGGCTTTGTCTTTTCGGCAAACGCTTTCATTTTCAGTTAATAAGCCACAGTTAACTTCTTTCTTTCGGGCCTTTTATTTTCGGACATTTGCCGTGATGTGCGTTTCCGTGTGCCATCCATCTGACTATTGGCATCGCCATCGGAATCCCAGAGCTTTCCAAACAAACAACCCACACTATCCGCCATCCAACACAGCGGGGCCAATGATGACCTCTGCATTTAAGTTATGCAGCTTTGATTGAGGTTTTTCTCCACTTCTGCCTTCTGTCTTCTGTCTGATTGCGTGCTGGCTTGGGAAAGTGTAAACGGTGACTCCCATGAAGAAGGTCCCATCCCAGTACCCAGTTTTTCACTTTCTTTTGTATATCTCAGTGCACTGGGAAAAAGTATTGGTCGTTTTATGACTAAAATTGAAGGAGTATAACTTAATTTTAAAATTGTTCTATAAACTTTTTTAAAAATATTTTCTACTGATCACTGATCTTATGAAATCTAACATCTTATTTTACCACATTGAGATTTAATGAACATTAAACATATTTCACCCATAGTTTTTCTTAGTGTAATGATCAAAACTTACTCTTTCTTTTACTCCCCGTCCATTTTCTGTAATTGATGAAGGGTATTTTTTGTCTCCCGGAATCTCTGAATCTACAGAACGTGTCTGAGTCTTTCTCGTAGCTAATTGTTTAATCATTCGTCTGCGAGGGGACTGTCAAAATACAGGTCGGTAATCTATCGGCTTTTAGATAAGCCACGTTAATTGGAAAATGCGTTTGTGAGTGGGTTGTGATGGGGATCTTCAATCTCCTAGGTGGCCCTTAATGTGACTCACACAGCTTTTGGCCTGCAGCATTAACAGCATTCTACTGCATTTTTATATGCCTTCTCAGTGATGATCTTTAAACGAGTGTATGGGTCTCTCAATTTGGTCAGGCCAACTCTGCTTATAGCCGGCATTTTGTATCAGCAAGGCCAATTAGTTAGTTCTTATAAGCAATTAGCCAGGTACATGGTGGATTCTTAAGGGCACGCAGATCCAGGAAGTTAACTTGGAAATATTAATTAAATTGTGTATCTTAAGAGGTGAAGGAACTCTGAGAACAAACCTCTGATATAGCTTAGGAAATTGTATTTGAAAAATGTTCTTTGACATAAGTATTGAAAACCTCAAGGGAATTTCTCCAAATTATTCATTAGATCATTTTATTCATAGCTAAATAATAGTTCTTACGTCCATAACCTCTTAGCATTATAATTTGAATTCCTAATCTCAATTCACACGTAACCTTTGTTTATACTTATCATCCGGACTTTCTTCGGGGCAAAACAGAGATCACTTTGTAACACCTTAATTGCCGCTAATTTAGCAGCTAAAATCCAAGCCATTAGGTGAGATATCGAAAGGTTTGCCCGGGAACTTCGAGAACAGCCAGCAGGGGCAATTAGTCTGCTCAAACAAGTTATTACAGATGGTAGATGGTAGATGTTAGATGCCATCCGACCCCAGCACCTTCTAATGGTTTTCGTTTGGCTGCTTCTGTTTTATCCGAAACTAAATACAAATAAAAATCGGTGGAACAATTTTGCAGTTTACATTTTCGGTGGGGGCTTTGAACTTGCCGCATCGATTTCGATTTCGGTCTTGATTTCAGTTGGTCTCGGACTGAAAATCGCGTTCCATCGCCTCCTGACAACCGCATCGCCTGGCGCAGCGAATCATTGATTGTGTTGGATTCCGCTCCAGACCCTCGGATCCCTCGGAACCCTCGGGAACACCGTGTTGCCATAGCAATCAAGGCGTGGGAGATGGTACATTTAATGGGAAAACGTCGACGGCGCCGTCGGGTCGCCGCGCCCTCTGGCGCCTCGATTAGGCGCGCAGCATTTTCCACCAGAGTTTTCCACATTTTCACGGGCTCACCGTTAAAATTGGCGCTTGAATCTGTCAACACACAAACTCGCCATTACGTTTTTTAGCAGGCTACCAGAAAATTTGGTAAACGCCAGGCAGCAGGTGTTTGGTTATTGAAAATTTTCCACTGGAACTATCGCCCACATATTTCGTGGAGCCTTCTCCTCAAGGTCATGGGTCATGCGCAGTTCTGGAAAATCGAAAAACCTTACACACTTGTATGTGGAAAATGGAAAGGGAAAATTTGTTGCGGTAGGTTCTCTTTCTCTCTCTCTCATTCCCAAACAGCTGTTGATTGTGTTTTGCCACCATTTTCGTTGAGTTTTCTTTGATTCATCTCATTTAATTTAGTTCTTCCGTTTTGAAACACATTTCTCCCGAATTAATCAAAACGATCTGAAAGAAAGCTGGAAAAAAATCCCTTTGGGGCTTGTATCATCCGCTTGGGTGATGATAATTCATTTTCGTGTCTATGACTTTCTTGTTTTCACTGACAATACAAACAACTGGCCGCTCAACTGGTTTAATGTTTAAATAATTACACTAAAAATTACCCAAACAACGGCCAGCGAACAAATGCCCCGAGACTAGAAAACCCAAACAAAATTATAACGAAACTAAAGCTCAGCAACAAATTGGTTCACTTTTTGCTGTCCGTTGTTTGAAGGAAAATGCATGAAAAACAGAAGTATCTTTAATTGGTCTGAGGGGAAATTGTGGCTAATTTTTGGTTAGGCCATGCTTATCTCTTTGTCTAGTAAGAGCTTTTTGGGTGGAGTCTAAATGAAGAGTTACCAAATGATAATTGTAATGGGCCGCCTATTTATTAAGCCAGTTCAATGGGCTCAATTAGCCATTAGAGTTGGGTGTTTTCTCAGATGATGGAGTTTTGAAACAGCTTCAATTTACGTTAAGGTCAACGATTTCGAAGGTGTGTCCCATCAATTTTTAAGAAATTACCTGTCATGACATTTTAAAGTTTGAAGTAGTTTTGAAAGTTAAATTGCATTGTTTACCTATTTTACGAACTAAAACATCTCTTAAACCCTAAGATTGTCTCTATGTAGGGAAATATTTTAGCTTGACCATCTTCAAGTATTTCACAATTCCCAAAAATTTTGATTTGGCAATTCTGGTTGACTGAAACCCACTCAAAGTTTCTTGGAATCTGGGACCGTATATTATGTTTATTTCAGATTAGGTAGCTGCCTGAAAATGCATTTATTATAAACTTGCTGAAATAGTTTATGTTTTTTGGGGACCACACCACGTGCTTTTCGTTTTTCGTGTTAGCCTATATATATTTTTTTTGACACATCATAGACCCAAATTTAATTGCCAGCTATTGTTGACGCTCCAGTTTTTGGGACACAATTAATATAATAATTTTTTCATAATGACAACAAATGACATAAGCACGACGACGACGACGAACCTGAACCAAATTTCAGAGACCCAAATTTATTTTTATATATGTATTTTTTGGGCCTCTCCTAAACTTGTCCACCTGTGCAGTTTGCATTCGAGTTACGAAATCCGCTGACCATTGACTGCATTTTGAAATGGAAATACTTTGTGTCGCCTTCGGACAGCGAGACTCAATGCAAGTCCCCCCCAGAGACTTGGGTTTTGAAAGTGCGTCCCAGGTCTAATAAATCACACGATAATCCAAATTGTTGCTCGCTTTTTGCTTTTTTGCCTTCGTTTGTTTGGATGACACTTGTCCGAGAGTGTGTGGGGTCCATTCAGCTGACACATTTGGGGCCCAACCGTTCCGTTTGACCCTGAACCGCACTTGTTTACGCTCCAAATTATAAATAAATTTTGATGCAATTAAACGCAATCGAAAACGGCAGAAGTCGTTGAGTAAATGCGCCTTCGATAGAGCTACTTTTCGTATTCCTATCTTATCGTTTTTTGTAAGTATATAAATCTATATACGAGTATATATGCCAAGCCGGTCGGTTGGTTGGTCGGTTAATGCATGTGCTAAAGTATATATTCCAAATGTGTGTCGAGTGGCGGCCACATAAACGGCTTTAACTCGGAAGGTAGACAAGAAAACTTGCTAAAAGGTTTGTTAACCCGTGTTTCCAACGAATGTGAGGAGTAGAAATCTACTCCATGGGAACCTGACTCTCGGATATGCGATAAAGCCAACTAAACTTGAAAGAAAGTGTTGCCATTTGATAAGCTTTACTAAATTTTATATATTTGATAAGGTTCTATTTATGGGTATTTATTTGAGCAAAGCTACCCGGTGTGATATTATGTTTGCTTATGAAGAGTATATATTAAAAGGTATAAAAGTCATATTTAGATAGACTTATACTATATACACTTTTTATAGCGCGCTTAGATAAAAGTTTCCAGTTTTATGATAAGCTTAAGTATGTTTTTCATTGTGTGATTTGTTTTCTATTTATGGGAATATGAGAACTCCAAAAAGAAATGCACTTGACTTTTGGTATTACCAATTAAATCCTATATAAGCGACACTTTTTGATAGATTAG